TACCTCCGATTCGAATGCCAAGGTATTCATTACCAGTGGGCGGCCCTCCCGATTGGAATTTCTACGGCCCCGTGCTTTTTCACACGGATCATGAAGACGGTCGTAGAATGGCTCCATCGGCAGGCGATCAGGGTCGCCTTCTACCTAGACGACGGGCTCCAAGTTCACCAGTTTACAGTAGCCCTTCAAGGTGAGTTGGCGACCACCCTGAGTCTACTACGGTACCTCGGGTGGATCGTCAACTTTCAAAAGTCGGACTTGGTACCACCTCGGGTTCTACAGTACATTAGGATACGCTTCCAGACGGGAGTCAATCTGGTCCAGGTACCTCAAGACCGTTGGGACAAGATTGTCAGCAGCGTTCCGTGACGTCTACATGCCTCGTCGTCGGTGCACACATGGCAGGAAGTCCTCGGTCTGTTGACATCGGCCCAAGACTTGACCCGTCGAGGTCGTCTTCAACTTCGTCCGCTGCAGAGATTGCTGTACCCCCACCTGGAGTTTCCCAATCTCCTGGTTCCACTTCCGGCGCAGCTACGTTGTCATCTGGAGTGGTGGCTCCAGCCGTCGAACGTTTGCGAGGGCGTCTTTATGAGCGAGCCTCCGTTCATACTACACCTATTCGTAGACGCGTCATTGGAAGGCTGGGGAGCGCACTTCGGGGACGACCAAGCGGTGGTCGCCAGTAGAAAAGGTCCTCCACATCAACTACCTCGAGATGGAAGCAGTGATTCGGGCGGTCGAGTTTTGGAAACTTCGACTCCGTCGGAAACGGCTGATGATACAGTCGTCCACTGCGTCAACAAACAGGGAACAACTCAGTCGGCGGCCCTTCTGGACCGGACATTCAGGTTCTTCGCCCACGTCGACGACTTGGACATGGGCGTACGCGCCCGTCACATCCCGGGGGCCAAGAATGTGATTGCCGACGCCCTGTCGAGACCATCGAGGCCGTCTCCCACGGAGTGGATGATCCATCCGACAGTCTTTCATCTGCTGACAGATCGACTCTGGTTGCCCCAAGTAGATCTCTTTGCTGCCCCGTACAACAACCGCCTCCCTCGATTCGTGTCGCCGGTTCCAGACCCATGGGCATGGGACCACGACGCTCTAGCGATATCGTGGGGGGTCTAGACGCTTACGCGTTTCCACCAACGGTGCTGTTACCATCGCAACTGGTGAAAGTTCGTCAAACGGCCAACCTACGTCTGCTTTTGGTCGCGCCTTATTGGCCAGCCAGAACATGGTTCCCGGAACTTCTTCAGATCATCGTTCAACCACTGTTCCCGTTGCCAGATCGAGACGACCTCCTTCTTCATCCTCACACCGACGACTTGCATCCGGGGATAAAGAACTTCCAGCTTCACGCCTGGGTTTGCTTAAGACCTCGTTAATGAAGAAAGGCTATTCGGCTAAAGCGGCAGCGCTTGTCTCGTCGGCACATCGAGTTACGACTCGTAAGCTGTAAGATGACAAGTGGACCCCTTTCTCCATTTTCGCCAGGTCTCATGGCTTCAACCCGGCGGTAGCGACCCCACCACAGGTGGCGGAGTTCCTAGTCTCTCTCCGGTCATCTCGGCGTCTGAAAGGGTCGACGATCTCGACATATCTGGCAGCTTTGGCTTCAGTAGTGCCGTCTCCTACGGGCGACAAGCTCACTAACGTACCGGAGTTGCAGAAGATTCTACGTGCCTTCATGGTTGAAGATCAGTCACGTAAATTCCGACCGCCGGCCTGGGACCTCGATGTCGTTCTGCGCAACCTGTCTAGTCAGGCTTACGAGCCTCTCGATAAGGTCGCGTTCGACTTATTGTCTCAGAAAACGGTTTTTCCTTCTCTCGCTGGCTACGGCTGCGAGAATTACGGAAATACATGCCATTGACGTCGGTCGGATTACGTTCGATCAGCGTAACCATGGCAACGTCCATCTTGGTCTCCGATGGGATTTTTTAGCGAAAAATTAACTTCCTGGCCAAGATCCGAGCATGTTCAACATTCCTTCCTTGTCTGCCATTATGGGCCCTCGTGATCACGCTGATCTCACCTTGTGCCCAGTTCGTGCGCTTCGTATTTACCTGCAGCGTTCTGAACAGCGACGACAACATTTTCGACGGCTGTTCATACCGCTCTCAACCAATGCAAAGAAAGAGATTACACGTAATACTCTCTCATTTTGGTTGAGAGCGGTAATTCTCAGAGCTTACGAGGCGCAAGGACTCGCACCTCCCACCTCATCTCATCCGCACGAAGTTCGAGCCTTCGCTTCAACATTAGCATTCCACAGTAATTGTTCGCTACAAGTTATTATGGAGGGCTGCTTTTGGAGATCTACTTCAGTGTTTGCTTCGCATTATCTTAGAGATATCTCCACAGAAGAGGTTGAAGGACTCAAACAGTTTGGTCCACTCGTGGTGGCACAACAGATCTCTCAGAAAAGACAGTGAATTCGTGTTTTATTCACTTTGGAGTTTTTGCTCGACACTTCGTGACATACTACAGGTTACAATAAAAGCTGTTGGTGAATGTACGCATTCTTATGGTTTTTTGTTGCGTGCAGTACTTCTGCTTTTTATTATGGTTATTCGGTGTATGCATCGTCTTCCCATACATTATAGTACTGCTCGTATTTTTTAGTTACTTTGTATACTGCGAGTTGCTCTGTAACTAAATTATGCGCCGACCTCACTTCGATCCGGGTTCAACTGACGTGTGCAGTTGTACTGTCGCATCGATAATTAGTTGTGTGTCGATGAGCATTACCCATGCTATTTTAGTTACCTTGTCTACGGCGAGTTCTGTAACTAAATTATACGCCGACCACATTTCGATCGCAATTCAACTGACGTGTGCAGTTGTCCTGTCGCTTCGATAATTAGTTGTGAGTCGAAGAGCATTAAACATGCTGTTTTAGTTACCTTGTATACTGCGAGTTGCTCTGTAACTAAACTATTCGTCGACCACACTTCGATCGCAGTTCAACTGACGCGTGCAGTTGGCCTGTCGCATCGATAATTAGTTGTGTGTCGAAGAGCATTACCATGCTGTGCGTTCGTGATAAACAACTTGTCTCGTCCGTGCATCTGGTCGAATGTTCTATTGTCACTACAGGGGTGAGGAACTTGGTACATTCGACGTGAAAGTGGTCACTGCCTGATTACTTTCCCGACCCTCCTTCCAGTGTTCCGTCGAATTCTACCCATTTGTACGACTGAAAACAGACTAAAACATGGGTTTTTCAGATTAAAAACGATGTTTTATTGATCTGTTTTCAGTCGTACGTTCCCACCCAGCCATCCCCACAGGGAAGTAATCCAGTCCAGTCCTGCTTGATGGCTTATTCTTCGAGATTTGTGACATGTCATAGGGAGGTGCGTGCGCAACCGGACGGAAACAAGTTTAATGTTTACATTCAAGCTTCTGGCTTCCTCTAAACGTGCGACTAGACGTGAGGGTATGAGAGATACCCATTTGCACGACTGAAAACAGACCAATAAAACATCGTTTTTAATCTGAAAAACCCATATTAAACTCCCCATGTTTTATATTAGGTACTGCATGGATGGATGGCTTGACAAGCTAGTTACCTAAATAGATCATTTGAAACGGGTATATCATCATGATGGGATTCTGACAATATGTCAACAACATTTTATGGTTTCTCCAGCACTCACTCACTCAAGCTATAATAGTGACTCTGTACCTCTGCGACTTGTAGGGTTTCTTTAAGTCCTATACTGACCGACTTTATCTATTTGTTCATACTGAATTCTTTAACCCTTATTCCACGTGGGGCAGTAAGTACCATTTAGAGGCGACAGGATCGCCTCGATTCAGAGGCATTTATAACAAGTGTCCAAGAAGCTGAATTCACATCTCTAGAATACTTGACAACAAAGTGAAAGCTTATGACTTCCGCATTCCCTCCAACCCCATACCAAGGTCATGTCATAACGTCTCTAACCCAAGGAAAGGAGGTAAACCTGACAACTGCAAACCTTAATATAGACATTGGAAGAAGATTCCAACAGTTGTAAACATTTGCAGAGACACATTTTCCTCGGTGAAATCCATTTAGGTTGTACGCGACCAGGCTTTTGTATGAAGAACAAACTTATTCTCAATGTATGATTTGAAAAATTACTGAACAATAGAAAAACAATAAACACGATGCATAAGACAAGACATGCATGCCGTCAAATAAGTGTTTATCCTTACGTTAGTTTGAGACAGGAGTCTAAATTGGTACTGAATTCCGACCATTACCCATACTATTATGCACATTAATAGTGTAAGTTTCCAAGACGGCAACACCAAATTTCCTATGATGCCGTTCGATAATTATTTTATTATTATAATATTTTGTCACGTGGCGGGTTAACTATCACGCAGCCGGCTAGTGACTGAATTTGTCGTCTGCTTCATGTCAGCATTCCTGGAATAAATGTGAAAATCAACAGATTTGCCGACCGCCGTCAAAAACGTAATTTAATAAAAATATTTAGCAATTGGGAAGTACAGTTTACTAATTTCTTCGAAGTTATTAACAGTTAGGATCCATTGAAAAACTATACACGTTTACATGGACGTTTGAGAAAAGTGAATCTTGACGAGATGCACGACGTCGTCCACTTTCAAGGTTTGCTTAGTCAAACAGAACGAACAGAGATTCGGGACATCTGGGAAAATATCCCTTTGGAATACATTAGAAATCTGTATGGGATAGTTACAGCTCTCTTTGGCCATCTATATGAGACATGTTTTCAATATGAGGGATTGCGTGAGTTTGGTTAAACGCCGTTGTGAACAGTGTCCTGGACATATATCGGCGTTCTCAATATTCAAGACGCCATCCATAGTCGTCCAAGTCGTCTAGTGATATAAGATATTCTGAAACTGTTTGTTGTTTAAGCTTCCCGTCACAAATGGCAGTTATTATATGACAATGAATTTTAACCTGACGCAATATTATCAATAAAGGAAAGAATAATTACAACAAAGTATAATCCTATAAGCTTTAATTCGTTATGTTGATGTTCACTTTCGAAGAGACGTGTGTAAATGAATGTTATTTATATTGATAAGAAGGATTACAAGACTGATTAATTTTGTTATGAAAAGTAGCGGTATTCAATTTAAATATGCACCATGTACACATTCACCATATGGCATAACACTCGATGTACAGTGTTTAACGCCATGAAATCGTTTACAAATATACAGAGGGACTAGATCAATAGCTCTGTATTCAGATGACCACAGACATCTGCTCCATACAAAGATGCTATGATAAAGTAATTTTTGTATCAAATAATTTATAAGATTTGATATGAAAGATCAGTCAAACTTTTTATAGTATGTAAGATTCCCATTTGTATCTTCGTTGCCTGCATTGCTGCATTACTGATGTGGCAAATAAACCTAGATATTTAAGGAGTGACGATTTGTAATGGTTGTGAGTTGAAGTACCAATTTTAACTACTTGGTAGTTTATTTCCCTTTTCAAAAAGCAGCACTTTTGTTTTTACAGTGTTTACTTGGAGTTGACAATTCGAACAATACAGCTCACGTTGATCTATCAAATGCTGCAAACCTTTTATAGTGCTAGAGAACATAACTACATCATCGGCGAAAAGCAACAGAAATATCTTAACAATATCTGGATACAGCTGTGTACCATCCGTACAATTATCCGGTATTTGTGCAGCAATGTCATTGATGAAATACAGAACAGGAAAGGGGGAAAAATTCAACCTTAGTGTACACCAATGTTACAGTCATGTAAAAAACATCATAATATACGTGACTCAATTTGATAAATTTTGATACATTTTGCATAATAATTTACAATCTTGTTACTCACACTCTTTGAAAGAACAATGACAACATTATATTCCTGTTTACAGAACCAAACGCTTTTCTGAAATCTACAAAAAATGTATAAATTTGTCCACCTAGTAGTAGCCTTGTATAAAACCTGCTTGTTCTTCCGAAATGTTGTCCAATGAATTTGGCCAAAAGGTAAGCCTTTATTGTGATTGAAAGTTCAGAATAAAAGTAAAGATCTCTAAACGTTTCAATCTGTATTAATTAAACAGTTTTGTTAAAGTTTAAACAGGACCAGAACCAGCCTGTAACGCTTGATCAGTTGGACTAACTCTTTGGAACAACATCCCCGGGCTATTTTTAAACATCTGGTATCTTCAATGAACCGCTGATGTCTCACCTGTATCAAATGGTGGTCACACCCGATATTGACACTATAATTAGAGTTTTTGCACCACCCTCTTTTTGGGGGCGTCGTTCTGTCTCCTATCACCAGGTATGAGCTTTGAAAGACAAATGACCATGTATGATGTCGTTATATTCAATGACATTTACATTTACACCAGAAACCCAGATACTTTCAAAATCCGCCTCTGCAGCAGTTCAATTCGATACGCAAGTTCACATTATGTTCCTCTGATTTATATGTAAACCAATCGCGTTAAGGTGAGAGAGTAACTTTGACGTAACGGTCATTAAGTTCCAAGTCAAATAGATTAAGTTTAAAGACAAATCTTAATCGATTATACAAATTAACACAAATACATCGCACATATTAAATAAAGGTAATAAGCAGAATCTTCTAACAATCTTATATAAGGTATTAAACATATCTGATGAGTAACAAGAATCACATCAATAAAGTGAGCTTCGACGTGGTTTTAACAGGTATTAAACGAAAATATCAAAGGCATTTAAATATGAAAGTCAAAACACCTGCAGGGATTTTGATTAGCTGATGCGTGAAGTTTGACCGTCTGTCACCAATTTAGATTATTCATCATTCATTAGTTGTTTGCAAAGTGAAAGTAATCACGACTAGATATCTTAAGATGAAGGTTTATTCATTGAAACAAGATTTAGTTTCCCTATGATGTCTTTACATAGATACTTTAAATGCATAAGCATTTCACGGTCTACTATGGTACTGAAGAATGGGTATAGTTCGCAACAGAATTGAAACCACGTGATTACAAGTTGACTCATTAGATTACTGTTGATAATCGAAAGTAGGTTCGAGGTTTATCAAGGTTATATACAGAAAAATCTAACGCGGTGTAATTTGCCGATATGAATTATATAATTTCCAGGTCTTGTGAGATGTAAAGATAATTCAGAATTACTTGATTAACACTATAAAACATGGACGAAAATTAGGAATCAATCAGGTCTTTTAAAAAAACCTGGCATATATAAGGTTAAAGTACAGGATAAGTAAATAGTATATGCAAAAAGGACGTAAACTTAATTTCAAATCGGAAGCTCTTTTAATGTCCTACAAATACGCCTCATCCTATCAAATGATCAATTAATAAACACTGTATGATGCTCATAAACATGGAGAACATGTGTCCGATTTTCAGACGCTTGTGTTCTACTACACGGTGCTGGACATTGGACGTTGTGGTCAGTCATCATCAAGGTCTTGACAGTCGTTGAGGAAGTCGTCAGCAAACCTGGTCATCTGGACGAGGCTGGTCAGAGCTGGGAGGGTCACATTGTCATCAAGGACCAACTCGTCCTCATAGTTCTTAACCGGGTATACGTGAGAGCGAGGCAGGCCAAACAACTCTGCCGTCTTCTCAACAAGGCCTCTGATGGCAGCGCTGAGAAACAGCTGTGACATGTCTTTGTTGACCACCTCGCATGCCTTGTCCACCTTGGTCAGCAGCACCACCTGGGGCAAACCTAACGGGAAATAATCAGTGGACAGTGGTTCAGTGATCCAAGGACAAATTTAATACACAACATTTGTTATCACTGAATACACACACCTGCTTGAGGAAACCTTGGAGGTAACTACAAAACCTCGATACAAGGCTTCCATTTTGAACACAAAGGTGGTTCAAGAATAATGTTACTGTCATGGTTACGATTCCCCACATGGGTACAATGTGCATACAGCACCATGACATCCATTTGTAATGGTAAGACTGTGATATTGCTGAACGCTGCGTCAAACCCTACTTACTCACTCTCTCACTGACATGAAGAATATAGGTCCAGTCAAGAAGCAGTAAAACTCACATGTTCACGAGCCTCATTTAAAAAATCCTATCAAATGTCGTCATGTCTCTACACATGAGTCCCAGTGAGTACACAAACGGGATATTTTCAGTATGAATATTATGTCATCAGGCCTTTACCTTGTACATTCACCCTGTGCTGAACTGCCTTGAACGTCTGTAGTACTTTGTCTGGGAATACATCTATGGCGGTGCTGTCTACCACAAACGCAATACAGTGGATTCGGTCATCTAGGGTTGGGTTCTTCTTGTACCCAGGGACGCCAGGACGGACAGGAACAGACGGGTTGAACTGCAACATGGAGGTCACCATCGGAAACAACTGAAGCTGAATCTTTTTGCAATCGCGGTAATATTGAGAGGCGGTCGGGTAGCCTAGTGGTTAAAGCGTTCGCTCGTCACTCCGAAGACCAGGGTTCGATTCCCGACATGGGTACAATGTGTGAAGCCCATTTCTGGTGTCCCCCTCCGTGATATTGCTGGAATAATGCTTAAAGCGGCGTAAAGCCATACTCACTCACTCACGGTAATATTGACTAAATGATCTCTTCAGCTCTCCCCTTAACTTAATTGCATCCAATCCCAACAAACTGTTGATGCTAGTAAAATCATGTGTGAAAATTGACCGACGAATGATAAAATAGAACTTTTGAAAAATGATTACTTTCATGGATATCAAAGTTAAATTGAGTAATAGTTTCTATTTTTTGTGATCAAGCTCGGCATATTACATTTTCACTCATTTGTTAATCTTTTTTTAGGATCATTTTATATAGAACAGTCATCACTCGACTGCGAACGAATCATGTCATATCATTATTTAGAAATGTGCACGCGCACTGTTGAAGTTTTATCTGCTAAAATCGGGTTGGATAGCCCGCGTGAAGGTATTTTAGAGACTATGTCTAGAGTCTTACTCTTCGGGCAGGTAACCGACAGGCAGTGCCCATGTAATATGTTGCTATACATGGCAGGGTAATGTATTGTTAAACAATGTTGTAATTGTATTGCATTGTTTCTGTTAAGATTCAGTAGAAGTTCATAACATTGTGTTTAACAATAATTAGTTGTCAGGGATGTATCACTGTCTAATATAAGAATGGTGAGGAAGTTACTATATGTTGATGCTTTTGGAGTGTAATCTTCTCGAACAGCTAAAGACTAACCCAGCATGGTATGAACGTTCTTGAAGGTATTGAGACTGTATAAGTGCGCATGTGCATGCCTCTATCATCTCCCATTACATGAAGACCAGCGGCCTTGTGAAGATTACATTTTCACTCTGGCTGAGGCACATTTTTTTATGCGTGACCACTGTTGCTGCTAGGTGAATAATATTATATACTGCCATTGTATTGTCAATGAATTCTGCAACTCTATTGTGTACTGCAATTGTAATTACTTATTGTAATTTGTTAACTGGGCAACATTTCTTTTTTATGTGTTGGTGTCACGCATATTTCTGTATAGATTTCTTTGTTAACTTAATGTGTCAATTTGGAAGTCGACACGCAACAATATGTTACACAAAACCTAGTTTAGATGAACAAAGGCCCGGGGTTTTGATGCTACTATCTTATAGTCAGCTTGTTGTATTTAAATACGACCGTATTATCCATCTGTAGTTATCTCTGTCAAATGTCTGACACAGTAAACAGAAAATTGCATATAGACCGCAGATTTTTGACGACGGCTTTCGAGGGACGTACGGTAGAACACACATATATTTCGATATCATACAAAATACTACCGTGAATCTGTCCGGCAGATGGCCATCTATGATCACCATGAGATCCGTCAAATCAAGGTTGCGTACATCTTCAAGTCCCCTGGTGTCACACAGCCAAACTTTCAAGGGCTGCCCAGTCTCGGCCGACTTTACTCTATACAAGCGATACTGAAAATAAGATGGTTAATACATGAGATATACATTGATATATATGCTAGCCGGTCTTGGACATTTCTTTCATGGAGTGAGTTGAGTGGTGCAGTCATGTCAACTTCATTAATCCCATATTAACTTCACGATATCAACTGTACGAGTTGAGATAAACATGCTGTTTTGTTTACTATGTGTTGTCGTATGGGTCATAGACTGAAAAGCATAATCTGTTGGGTACATTAAGAACTGTAAGTAGATGGATGCAGTATCTCATCGCTCCAAATACCTAATAAACTACATGATTTAATCATAACATACATGGTTAATACCAACTTGCAATACATGTCAACTTACTGTAGTAGTTAGGCTGTGTTCTGCACTTCCGCTGCGGGCGACGGAGGTTATCCGCCCTTTGAATATAGAGTTGATGGTGTTAAAGTAGCTGGTCTTGCCCGCTCCCACTGTCCCCAGTAACAAGATGTTCACATGGTTCAGCTTCCCCGGGGGTGCGTACGTCTCAAGTTCAGACTTCAGTACCTGTGGACACACGTTAAAGTCATAGTAGGCCTTCATGGCAATAGCAAACATAGCACCCAGTGTATTCAGAAATGTATCAACTCGAAAAATAGAAGGATTATTCTGATCTTCATAACAATCGAAGTAACAACCGAGCAAACCTTTTGTTTCACCTCAGGTAGTTTCCTCCACGGTAACAAAATGTCCACATGATTCCCCGGGGGTGACTTCATCTCAGGTTCAGACTTCAGTACCTGTGGAGACACATAAAGGTTAAACAGGTAACTGTGAACAATAGCTGCAGATGAAATGACAGTTACATGCAACAGGTTGTAACTGACAGAATAAAAACTATGTACAGTGACTCGACATACCTCAGTGTATGGTTATTTGGCAAATGTACAAGTAACAGTGGCTTATCACATGACCAGTACACCCTCAAGGCCAACAGCAAAGTTAGCACAAAATGTCTTCAGGATTTTATCAAGTTGAAGAATAGAAGAATTATTCTGATCTTCATAACATTTCGAAATAACAAACGAACTAACCTTTGCTTTCACATCATGTAGCATCCCAAACGTTGTCTCTTTTAAAGGTTCAACGCACTCTGAAATTATGTGTCGAAATATCCTCCTGTTATCAAATAATTTATACAACATAGCATATACGAACCCTAGTGTTTAAGTTGTGGTAAGTCTTAGTCTGAACAGGAAATGGTAGTATTACTTACTCACGTTGATATTATCGCCAAGTTTGTCTAAAAATATTATCTTTATATTACAATCTCGACTTTGGGATATTTGTACATATACATGCTACTAAAAACACTCAAACATACAAAATTATCTAAAATGGTAGAAGTCACTACGCTCCAATAAGATATAACTGTTATATGTACGGGGTGTTCTCGTTGAGAATCGGAATGTACAAATAAGATTGTTCAATAAAGTGCTGAGTGAATGTAACCTGTAACTTGATACACCTCCACGTCAGTAAACTGCAAGTTGTTTCCTGTGAAGGTGGCTGCACTTTCCCCTGGCATGTTGTAAGTGTGGTTTGGATTGATGCTTGCATTGCCTTGGAAATAATTGCTCAGTTTATAAACTGTTGAAGTAAAAGGGCATAGATCATGTCCTCCTCCAAAGGTAGGCCCATATGAAGCATTATGATAAACGGTATTCTGTACATTGGCCGTCTTCACGGGATACTGTTGTGGTTGAAAGCTATTCGCCGCCTGGAGCTTGAACAGGAAGGCATGTTGGTCTGATGTCCAGTAACCATCACTTGACCAGCTGACCGATGTGTAGCCACCGAACACGTAACCAGCTGTGTTGTAGCAGACAGACACAGTCGCTCCCTTGTGGTCACACTTCTGATGGAAGGCCTGGGCACTGCACCCGTCTCTGGTTGCCTGGTACAACAGGGTGAAGTCCTTCTTCCCTCCCAGCCATGAACTTAACTGATCCTTGTACGTTGTGCTTAGTTTCGCCATGGTCACTGTATCTCCTGAATGCCTCTGTAGAATAAACAGATTAATTCATCACTTGCAGATGTTGATGCATGTAGGTTGGATGTACAGTAAATTTCACTTGTATTCATATATGTGTACATCTGTATCATCACAGCATGAAGTTGTTGTTTTTTATCCAACTTTATCAAAATGGCAAATTCAAATTTAGTGCAATGTTACTTTGTAACTTTAATCTGCTACATGGATGCGAGTGAATTTGCTATTAATACGTACATAAATATTTTCGCAATGACATTCTACAATGGCACTGAGAGTTTCCTTCATTCTGATTGGTCCAAATGAGATTAAAATCAGTTATCTTATTCCAATACACACCTAAAAATTAAAAAGCCTTTTCACACAACAACCATACGTGTGAATACGTCGATCTATCGATAGCCTACATATCGATGTCAATAAAAAATGGCTGCCGATAACACAATAGAAATGTATAAGTTCGATATCGCAACATTATCAGATGCTATTTTCACCTACTGGCACAATCAACAAGCGCTTGGTAACAACATCACAACAAACATTTTCAAATATATTTCTGAACATTATCAATAAGGAAAATATACCCTAACCGCTGTGTCACAACGATAAGCAGCCTCTCGTATCGCCCACTGCCGCTTCTTACGTTTTCATGCTGTTTGTAAATATTACTGTCACAACAACTATTTTGACAACCATGGACAGTGAGGAGTAACAGAAGTAGGCTAAGGTATTCTGCTTTGCAGTTTGGGGTGTATTACTGTTACTAGGGAGTTATTTCAAACCATCTAGTACATCAATTCAACTTCAAAAGAAACAAATATAGTTATTTCTTAATGACTATAGAGACTTAAACTAGTTCAGCGTTTATTTTGTCACCATGTCTACAACCTGTCCGACCTATTTACTTACGTAATTACTTATTTGTCATTACGATTTCCAAACAATACCATATTCAAAGCGTTCTTGTCGCCATGCATTGCTGAAACTAGTTCCCTGGGTGTCGTTCGACAGAGCCGAGTTGCCTTGACTGGCATACTTTAACATAGGTATAACATAGCAATAGTCTTGTGGAACGGGATTCCGGAGAGTAACTGTCATTACACCATTAGCTACCTTGCTTAATTAACCCATACGTCTGAGGAACTGTTCAAAGTGATGAAAGATCATGATCAAAGTGAGTGAGTGAGTAACTGTTGTTTACCGTCAAAATCAGCACTACAATACCGTGCTATGGTCTGAACATAGTTGATAGAATGAGTTTGGTTTAACTGCACTTTTATATCACGGCGTGTAACTTAGATGCGATGGATAGTATTAAGAGTTGAATCCTTGAGATAGGCATGGGTGTGGTGCTGACAATAGAAAGCTAGAAACATAATCAAGGCAAAAAACACACGGTCACAGGTTCCTAGCCCGCCTAAGATACGCAATTCAGCGCAGCGAAATCTTCAGACGACTGGCCCCCCTCTCTCCCAATACATATTTGATGACATAGTGGAATTATTATACATTAATGGTTTCCTTAAACGAGTTCATTAACAAAAGTATCAGTAAGTGAAATTGATATCAATCATTGAATTAATGTCAATAAATGGTTTATCAGTAATGTAACAGCAATTTATTATTTGATTAATGGAATTACTAAATGCTATGAATTGAAATACTGTTGTGAAATTAATTCTTGCTTCTGGTAGTACTAGATTCATTAATGACAAAATCAGGAAATATTGATATCATCAGATAATGCTATTGAATTAATTGGAAACCATTAATCAAATTCTTGATATCAGTAAATCTATTTGCATCAATAGTTATCGTTCTAATGATATTAGCACCCAGATAACAAACATCATGAACAATTTTATTGTATCATTTAAACAATACCTTGAAGAGAATTAATGATCTCAGTAAATCGGTTTACGTGTGAAGATGGTTTGTCATACACCTGTGCCCCAAAATATTATGATGTTAAATCTTGAAACATTGTCACCACGCACTGATCGTCTTCAGTCAGGCATAGGATCATGTAGCCGAGAGCCGCGATGGAGTCAGATAGTGAAGACATGATCCAACAACATATACAGCCGAAACATCACCTTCATAATTCTTAACACCTTGATAACACCTCGTATTTCCCCAGGTTCTATATTGCGGACAAACCTCTATAGTACGCGCATGTCAACATATCGACTTGGCTACCGCTACAATATTTAAAATGTGCATGGAGGTTAATTATGACATTGTATTTAGTGAGTCTGGGCAAGCTTTATGCCTAGTGTTTATTCCTAATATATGACATTTACCTTCCTAAAATACAAGTTTTATAAAACCTTTTTCATATAATGTCATTCTTTAAGTGTCGTTTTGAAAAACCAAATTCTTATCGCTCACAAGAGGCACGTAAACATTGCAAGTTTTCTGGAAATAGTGCATTGATATATATATATATATATATATTAAGTCAAAACATCAGTGATTTGTCAGATGGACAGTTATAACTGTCAATATTGTTCCAACTTAAACCTGTTGCCGTTGGCACCCTCTATCCGCCCATTCGAGCGATTTGCAACTTGACCGAGTTGTCTCCCTTTAGCTAACTTATAAATATTAATAGCTGAATAAATAGCTAATTTTACTACACATCAACCAGTAGGTGCGTTCGATTATGGAAATATCAGTGACATGAGTCACCCAAGGTTACCACAATTCTGACAACCACTGTTAATCAAGGATAACGGAGGGCAGTATACGAAATAGAACGTATAAACTGCCACCTTATATTTAATTATGGCTTCCAGGAGATGGCGAAACACAACGACCATGCACAACAACATGCAGCTATGAGAAGTCAAAAAGTGTTTCATTTCTTGAAATAGCTGTCATTGTATCATTGTATCCTTTCTATGCATGGAAAAACGATAAGAAAGTTCAAACTGACGGTTATAACATCAAACGAAAAGCAATATCATCATCAAAGTTGCATTATTGATTCTAAAGTATTTATTTCAACAATCGAAAGTTAAATTTCTCTGACGCATTGCAGAATGCACATACTTGGGTTATACCTTGGTCAACACGTATTCACCTGGGTCGTCCAGGGTTTTCAAATCGAACGCAAGTAAAGTGATAAGTAAAGGGATGGGTTTATTTGATGTTTTTGGAGTATGTAAGTGAAGCATTTTATTTCCTATACTTCTATGGGATGAAGTGCAATTTGTTTCTTCAGGTTCCTTCAGGTTGATATTATATTACTCAACTTATGAATCAGGTCAACAGGAACACATGAAGATTCGTATATCCGATCCGGCTGACGCATACATTGGGATCGGGCAAAACCATCTTACTCAGACTGACGACCTACAGTAAAACACGACATAGTATATCATAGACTGGCTCTGGTCCCTCTGGGCTTTTATTTGTCATCAACATGTCGAAGATGTGTTCCCAGTTTATTCCAAGGCACTTTTCGAGTGGTTTCTTTCAGCTTGAATCCTTTGTTCTGGTTATCGTCAAAGCATTTATCCTAAAGTTAGTCTTTGTGGTCTTGTGGTTGCACATAACGTCGGTCCTAACGTCGGCCTTGGAGAGTAGTTGGATTGGTTTCGGTCCTGGCCAACACTAAAGCACATGAAGTGCATGTGGTGTCTTCTGTCTCCTTGATTTTGCTCGAAATGTACCTCTCGTCACCCAGCAGTGAATGGGAGGGTGAGATGGTAATGTGGATGTTAGCCTTCTAGCGCTTCAAGGACTTGGGTTGTATATTCCCCAGGAAGCGGAGAAAGAAGATCGAGTGCACACTGAACCATAGACCGGTGTAATAATATAGCGCTTTGGGCACCCTTTAGGGCATGGATTTGGCGCATTATAAATATGCACATTATTATTATTATTATTTTTATTATGGAGAGGAGTTTATCGTTACTCCCGACATCAAACACCGGTTTGTCCAGTCGCCCACTGGCTCTGGTCGCTATCACGCAAACTGTGTATTCTTCATTTTAGATATAAACATTCTTAAATGTTAGTTATAACATAATAACCATCTTCCCGAGGCAAGGGCGTTACCTGACGATAGAACTGGGCTGGTATTTCTTGGGTCGAACGTAGAACCACCAGTGGCTAATACGTGTTACGTCCCTGCTGTGTCCCTCCTATTGACCAATAAGATTCCATCTCTCATAACACCTGCATCTACTTCAAACAAAATGGCGGCGCCCAGTCAAGACGATCTGATCGATATTCAAGATCAATATTGTAATAAAATGGGTCTCACCAAGCGAAGTGCATCAAATTATTTGAGCCCTTGATTAAGATCATAAAAAGATTCGCAAAATATCTGTCGACGCAAAGTTGACGGTACACATTCTTTGCAAATCCTGCAGTCGACTGAAATCTGCACGTTGAAATTCCATGTTGTTTACGAACCGGGTGTCCAGTTCATGACGCGATGTTGATTGGGCTATGCATAAACTTGTTATTCAAGCCAAAATGTAATTCCGGAATTCCAGCCTATTTCGGCCAGGGTTGAAACTTGACTTTCACTCCATTGCTTTTGGGAAGATGCACAATAACATGAAAATATAAAGTACTGAGTGGAAGAGTTTGGTGTATCGCTGCGTTTAACACTGTCAGTATTCCAGTTGCATTTATACGCATCAGTTTGATGTGAGTAGACGTTAACATTTACCACAGGCAGTGCGCAGACAAACATTTACCACGGGCAGTGCGCAGACAAACATTTACCACGGGCAGTGCGCAGAAAAACATTTACCACGGGCAGTGCGCAGAAAAACATTTACCACGGGCAGTGCGCTGACAAACATTACCAGGGCGAATCTGGGTTTCGAACCCACGATCATAGCCACGGCTAAAGGACGCAACTCTGCACAGAGCGAATTGCGGTCCCTTAGACAACGGGGCCACCCATGTAGCTGTTTTGTGCCCTTATGACGTATCGTCGTATTTATTGGTGTTTTCATCTACTTATACCATGAACCGAGGCATTCTTATATCTGACTGTATGATGACCAATGTTTCAGGCTTGGTCTCCACAATTCTAAATATTTGAAGCATTCGCATATTCCATCAGAGACACCCGCCGTGATATTGCTGGAATATTGCTAAGAGCGGCGTAAAACCAAACTCAATGTCAATGTCAATGTCCATCAGAGACGAACATAATTAAATAAACAAACACCACTTTGTATGTTTGAGATAATATTTTTCATCAGAAATATTCCATGACATTCAGTAAGACAACATGACGCTGCATACATGATCATCTTGTTCCCTATGAACATTTCCACATGCGCCCTAAAACTTCATCGGGGGGTCAGGCTCACAATTGCGTAGAACGATGCTCATGATACCAATCACTGGATTGTCTGGTCCAGACTCGATTATTTATAGACCGCCGTCATATAGCTGGAATATTGCTGAGTGCGACGTTAAACAAGAAACGAAATACAAAACTTCATCGAGTCTTGTTTGCAGTAGTGACGAAACGGGAAGGCATCGGAATAAATATGAAGCAAATGTCTGAACTTGGGTTGATGCATTTATACTACATGAAATTAGTTTCATAATGTTAACTAAATTGGGTATAATTCCATTTTTGCCATAGCAATATAATGGTACCTACAAGCTGGTTTCCATATCCAAATGAATATCCACAAGAAGCAGAGATCTTTCCAAAGAATAATTGTACAGTGTGCAATTATGTCCACCCACAATCAAGTGTCAATTGAAAGTATCAGGAATATCAACATGATAGTTCTATTACAATAGGTTTAAGAAGTGGCTGTCACAATACATAAAAATGGAAACTGTCAACGCTTTACATGTTGTAAGGTTAAATAGGGAACGGAGTTATAAGTGGAACAGAAAAATCATTAAAAAAACTCCTCTCACAAATAAGTTAAAGAAATCAGTGATGGTTGAGAAACGGATTTATCCGAAAGCTTTTAAACAGTTAAGCTCGACATCTTCAAACACGTGCATGATTGAAAACATATTACGCAGTTGTTGAAACAACGGGAGCGATATTGAAGCATGGCAGCCTTTGAATGCACTTAACAAGGACCCACAGCCTGTGAGTAAAGGACGTCCAGGAGGTAATTTGTTTGAAGGTGAAGGCATTAGATACAATGCAATAAAGTGAAGAAAACAGGAGTTCCCAACATTCTCCATTGTTGCTTTCCTGATATATCAACTGCCGGTGCAACCTGTTAATTCAAATATCCTACATGGAATAGGGTATACATGAGGGTCATCAGCTTCTATAAATCACTAAAATGTAATGATTCTATGATATTTAATCAAATTGCTATTCCTCTGATTTGCATTGATGTAAAGTCTTACTTTCACGGAAGACAAAATGTGATTCGTCGATGTATGGTGAGCGTCGTCAATACATTTCTGTAGGTTTGTGGAGAAACATATATGTAGACATATACTTGCAACATTCACGATGGACCATTATTCCCTATGGACAATTCAAGAAATTACTGGCCTCAGGTTTGACAGAAACAAAATATATGTTCACTGGACAAGTCATGGTAGTAACTGAAAGCTTAATCCAATTACCTGTTTGCTACTTGTCATCTATTACTTGTCACTCCAGCTTGATAACGGTGTAAGAATCTACAGCGAAATGTCGCAATGTGCAGTAAATCCATAAAGTTGTACGTTTTCTTACTCAGTCACAGATCATATGTATCTCCTCAACACTGTCATATTAATGAGTTCACACTTGCACTTTTGTTTTGCTTTAGTAACACGGATGAGAAGCGTGATGCTGCAAGCATGGATGTGTTTGTGGGGGAAAATACATTATATATAGTCAGTATAAAATAATCAGTTTTCTTGTTTCATTTACAAAATGATAGAAGTTTTTTTGTGTTGCATAATGTCAACATACAGTCCCTCAAATGAAATATGATAGGAAATCACAGCAGCTTACACCGTACCTCCCTGTGTTCATTGTGTGACTCACGGGGAGGCGAACATTGCAGAATGAAATACAATGAGAGTTTTCTTAGAATGGGCGTAATGGGTATTTTCCGAGAACTAACCGTCACGCAAGTCGGTTATTTCCGAGAACTTGCCATTATGTGAGATGAATGTAGGTCAGCGGGTATCTTTCCAAATCTTTCTGTGAATGAGTAATCACATGCACTAACAATACATAGCGATGACTAAAATCCACCCTGTTCATTGTTCATGTTTAAACATCGGGATTGTCCTGTGACGTTTGTTAGAGATAGAATTACCTTCCTTTCTCAGTAACTATGACAATTTCTTCCCCTGTTGTTTTCAGGACATGCAGTATGTCCAGTGAATATTTTGATTTCGATCTAACAGAAAAGTATTTTTTGAAAGTACCTCTTTCACAACACTTGATACAAGAACAAAAAGAAACCCCTTTTTACATAAAGGATGTGTGTGTTGGGGGATGCTTGCTTGTACTAGTCCGGACTTATGCCGATTTTATTGTGCTAGTCCACTGAAATACTATGCCGCAATAACATGAATACCCCACTCAGACTCCCAACCGACTTGTCCTTGTTTTAGCCCCCGCTACATGTCCTCTGTGTTCCCCGCGCGTCTGCAACGTGCCTACTACTGTCCCTTTCGTGTTTCCTCCGATGACACAATGTTTCCCTCACGTCTCCGACTTTTGTCATACATTTGTATGTGTTTCTGACATATCTTCTTTGTGTTCCATTCATGTCTCTGATGTGACCCATCGGTATTTACTACCCATTTCATACCCGTCTAGTGAGACTGGTACGTGTGTCAGAATATCTTCTTCAGGTTTACTGCATGCCTCGTATGTACGTGTTTCCTTCATATCTTCTACGTGGATTATATTTTTTTCTTAAATCGTATGCTTACATATGCTTTATGCATATGTGTCCTAAATGTGATCTATATATAGCTCTAGAATCAAGATGTCGTTCTGGTCGGGCATATGCTTATGTAGCTACTTACTAAAGAATACAGTGCTGACTGTTCATCTACAGCTTCGGGTGCAAAAGGTTCCTGCGTTACTTTATTAAGGAAGTGAAGGTGACATTCAAACAATGGAGAACAGAGAGCATAGGGCGGTGTTTGCGTTTATTTGTTTAAGTTATTTAAAACCTGCTGCCACGAAAATCACGATGACATCGGTTGTCATTAAGTTCATTTGTATGGAAATAAATACAAAATATACTACAGTATTGAGGTGAATGTGGTCATCATGTAAATATGAAAATGTCATTCTTAAATAAATCGATGATCATGGGAAAAGACGTAAAATGAAAATCTGAATAATTTTATTAAAGGAATTTTCTGTTATTGTGAAAGGCAAAAAGCCTATCTGTTCCCTTATGTCTCCAATGTGTGTGTTTCCTACGTATCTCCTTATGCGTTTCCTACATATAATCTATGTGTTCCGAATGCCTATACGTGTTTCGTGCATATTGTCGTCCTCCTACATATTTCATATGTGCTTCCAGCGTATTTCTTACATGTTGTCTTCATATGCTCTAAGTGTTTCTAATTCGTCATACGTGTTTCTTACATATCACAACATCTTATATTTGGATTAATATATTTCGTCTAACCACAAGTATAACAGCATATAACTCAACATATTTCCAAATAGGCACCAAACGCCCCAAATGGGATTTTATTATCTCTCTGTCGAAATGGAAGCTCTGACGAAAACACAATGCTTGTAGTATTATAACTTCAACTGAAACAGTCATACATATATCAACTGGTTTACCAAACAAAATCAGTATACTAGCGTACTCTTTTTCGGATTTAGAATACTTGCATATGATATGTGTGAATACTTACTATCGACTGCAGTGCTGACTGGGAGTTCCTACGGCTCATCTGACACACCAGGTCCCCGTGTCACTCTATTAAGGAAGGGAAAATGAAATTCAGAGAACAGAGTTCTCGGAAATCGACCCAGCGTTAGGTAGTGTTTGCGATCATGCGATTGGCGTGACCCACATGGTCATGTGAGGTTATTGCGGATGCATATGTCAGTCACATATTCCGTTTGTTTGATTATTTGTTTGTTGTTTAACGCCACACTCAGCAATATTCCAGCTATACGACGGCGGTTCCGAAACCAAGTTGTTGGCATATGAACCTTGGGACACGACTACCCGACCGCCCCGAAAGTTTAATGGTATTGGATGTCATCACAACTCATGGAAGAACACAAGTCATCATTGTAAATAACAAAATTAGAATGACGTACGCTACCGGGACTACATCGTTTGAGATCGTGTTCTACCCTTCATGAAAACACGACGTAACGTTGCCCTGCAGCAGGAAAATGCCCGCACACACGTTGCTCGTGCTGCAAAGACTTTTTAAGGCAACACAACTTTGCTGTGCTGTGTCATGGCCGGCTGTTTCTCCAGACTTCTCCCCTACAGAACATGTCTGTGATGACATAGAAGGACGAATACGAAAGGACCAGAACCAAACGGGAACGCTAGCTCAGTTGGACCAATCGTTTGTTGACATTTGGCACAGCATTAGTAAGGCCGTTTTCAATCAGATGGTACATGTATCTTCAATGCACCGCCGCTGCCTCGCCTGTATCAACGCTCACAACCGATATTGACACTGTTAATTGAGTTGTTGACACCATCCTTCTCTTAGGGCGTGTCGCTACGTTTCCTGTTACCGGATATAGGTTTTGTCAATGAAATTGGTATGATAACGCATTGATCCCACGAATGACATAACATAACAATAACATAACATTTACACCACTTTATATGAAGCACAGTTACTTATGGCCCTCCTTGTATGAAAATAGTGAAGTCAATAGTCATTGTGAATATCCCGTGCCCTAGGGAACAAATATACTAGGGCTGGCTGAAAAATTCTAAGCCTAACTGTGAAAGACCCGTACCAAGTCGATGGTTTTCATTTATTTCTCCACATAGACCACTTCCAGGTTTACACACTTTTGCCAGAGATGCTGCAAGGCCTGGATGCCGGTCAAGAAGAAATTTTCTTCAGCCACCCTAAAAAAAACCTCACAGCGGAAATGACGTCATCATTACTAGGCAAATGGCGACCGGCTAGTTCCTTTTTCATTTTGGGAAACAGGTGGAAGTCTGACGGGGCCATATCGGGTGAATAAGGGGGATGGTCAATGAGTTCGAAGCCACAATCATGGATCGCTGACATGGCAACCACCGATTTGTGAACAGTACCAATGTCTTGGTGGAAAAGGACTCCTTTAGTGAGCATTCCCCGTCGCTTAGCTTTGATAGCTTCACACAACTGTCTCAGTAGGTCTGCATAATATCTTTCATTGATAGTCTGGCGCTTTTCATGATAGTCAATCAGCAGAACACCCTTGGAATCCCAAAACGACTGAAGCCATCACCTTTCCAGCAGAAGGAACCGACTTGGCTTTTTGGGGGGCTGGTGATTCCGGATGCTTCCATTGTTTAGACTGAATTTTGGTTTCTGGTTGAAAGTGATGAATCCAAATCTCATCCATGGTTACAAATCGGGCCAAAAGATCATCGGGATCTGCTTCAAAACGGCATAAATTGTCACGGGACGTCAGGAATCTGACACATTTCTAATTCGCTGTCAAGAGCTTTGGCACCTATCTTGCAGAAACTTTTGTCATTCCCAACTCGTTGGTGATAATGTGCTCAACCCTCTCATGAGAGCTGCCCACATCACTGGCAATATGTCGAGTGGTCAATCGTCGATCAGCCATCACCATGTCATGCACCCGGGTAATGTTTTCCGGAATGGTTGCTGTTGAAGGCCTTCTGGGCACGGGTCATCGTCAAGGCTCTCTCTGCCATGCTTGAATTCCGCAGCCCACTTCTTTACAGTGGAAAAGGAAGGGGCATCATCTCCTAAAGTGGAGATCATGTCAGCATGTACAGTCCGTTTGTCTCCAAATAAGAACGATGAATTGCAAAATAACTCGAAATCCAGAAAAGTGTATGAAACATCGATACGGTACTTGACCATGAATACCCTGTACCTTACAAAATCTGAATTTTGTTTAATTTCAGACCCATGACGGATGAAGTTCTTTAAGAAACTGTCATGTAATTTTGTATAGAAATGTGTACATGACACGTAGGGGGACAAACCGTGGAAGGAACAGCGCAAGCACGGTCTGCACGTGCTACACAGTGACAGTTTTCATTCAATGACAAGATGGGCTACTCAATAGATATTAAACAGTTGATGTTGAATGTGTATGATTTATTTAGAAGTGAAGCAGAAAGAGCAAAGCCTTTTTATGCAATTAATAAATTCTTGAAACGAGCTTTAAAAGCTCTTGGTATGTCCCCTCAGAAACTTAAAAATGTTGTTAGTCGACGAAATGGAACATGTCAAAACCACGCAAGGTTGATAAATTAGACAGTTTTCAGAGGAATCAAGTCAGACGTGCAATTGTTAAACTGCACTCAGAAAATAAGTACCTGTCCCTAAGAATTTTGAAGAAACACCTTGAAACTGACCATGATTTACGTGTTACAAAGTATGGCAGCTGTTGCATACATTTGGTTACAAAAATACAAAAAGATAACTGGAGAAAATAGGGCTGTGTTGTGTGAACGGTCTGACATTGTTCGTCTCCGAAATCATTACCTTCGTACCATCAAGCAGAAACGTGAAGAAGGATATGAGCCCGTCTTCTTAGATGAGACATGGGTAAATGCGTCACACACAGCCAGCAGTCAGTGGGTACCCGGTGGTGATTGTAAGGAGTCTGGTAGAAAGTTACCAATGGGAAAGGGTGAAAGACTCATAGTTCTCCATGCTGGTTCTGCTAGTCAGGGTTTTCTCCCAGACTGTGACCTCGTCTTTAGAGCCAAGGCCAAAGACAACAGGGACTACCACACAGAAATGAACGGCAATGTATTTCTGGAATGGGTGAAAGATAAATTAGTCCCTGCTTTGCCTACCAAGCCTCTCATTGTCATGGACAATGCACCGTATCGTAGTGTGCAGGATCTAGAAAGCAAGACTCCAACCTCTAATAACCGTAAAGGAGACATGGTTACTTGGCTGCAACGGAGGAACATTACCTTTCCTTCTCGAGCGACGAAACCACAGCTCTATGAAATCATCAAAACTATGAAACCTGACCCCGTGTATAAAGTTGAAAGTTACATCAAGGGTCAGGGTCACGCTGTCTTACGACTGCCACCTTATCACTGCGACCTGAATCCAATCGAGTTCGTATGGGGCATCGTCAAGGGTGACGTTGGACGATCGAACACAACGTTCAAATTACGAGACGTTGAACAACTCGTAAAGGAATCCCTTGGTCGGGTAACAGTAGAAACATGGAGGCGTTGTGTGGCCACAGTCGTTGACGAGATGGACTACGGCCAGCAACAGTCCAACCTATAATAGTGGCAGTCGGTTAAGGCACCAGCAGTTCCGACGACGAGATCTATGGCATAAGCGAGTCAGATTGCGACTGAAATTATCATGAGACGGCCCCTCTTACGCTCTGTCATTTCCCCTACCACAGAACGTGCAGTGCATGCGTGCTTGCGCTGTGCCTTCCACGGTTTGTCCCCCCTACGTGTCATGTACACATTTCTATACAAAATTACATGATAGTTTTTTAAAGAACATCATCTGTCATGGGTCTTAAAATAAACAAAATTCAGATTTTGTCGGGTACAGGGTATTCATGGTCAAGTGCCGTATTGATGTTTCATACACTTTTCTGGATTTCGAGTAATTTTGTAATTCATCGTTCTCATTTGGAGTCAAACGGACTGTATCTGTGTTGGAGTGAGCTCTTTCAGTTGCAAGGTACTTGATGACTGCCCTATAGCCAGTTTTGTCCATTTCTGGTGATTTCATTGGGTAGGTTCACAAGATGGTCTGGTAAAAAGACAATAATAACACTACAGCTGCAGTTCTTATGTCTATAATTCATTAAATGATTGTACTTGTTGGTGGCAAAAGTTTAAATCCGATTGAGATATCCCACTTAGGCTTAGAAGTTTTCACCCAGCCCTCGTACCACACGCAATCATATCATCTTGCTGTAGTTTCCAAACATTTCCTAAAGTTTCCGGAAGCAGTGCTGCCAAGCGGCATGGTCATTTCCAGTTTGTCCTCAACACCAATCACGTCGATTTGCCTTTGGTTGGACTCGCTAGTATCCAATTGGAAACTGGGTCGATTTTGACACCAGTATGGTCAAGTTAACAAGTATTTGTAACAAAGTGACGAAATGTCCCCCGCCTGTATATATACCATAGTACCAAATATGAAGACAATCCAGCGATTAGTTCTTGAGATATTGCGGCAACACCGTTTTCCAACTCCAAAAGCAGATTTGCCTGCTGTGACCTTGAAAATGGGGTCAAGGTCACCAAAACCGACTGGTGTCTGCGATGTCTGGATATACGCCATAGTATCAAATATGAAGACAATCCAGCGATTAGTTCTTGAGATATCGCGGCAACACCGTTTTCCAACTCCAAAAGCAGATTTGCCTGCTGTGACCTTGAAAATGGGGTCAAGATCACCAAAACCGACTGGTGTCTGCGGTGTCTGTATATACGCCATAGTATCAAATATGAAGACAATCCAGCGATTAGTTCTTGAGATATCGCGGCAACACCGTTTTCCAACTCCAAAAGCAGATTTGCCTGTTGTGACCTTGAAAATGGGGTCAAGGTCACCAAAACCGACTGGTGTCTGCGGAGTCTGTATGTTCACCATAGTTCCAAATATGAAAACAATCCAGTGTTTAGTTCTTGAGATATCACGGCAACACTGTTTTCCAACTCCAAAAGCAGATTTGCCTGCTGTGACCTTGAAAATGGGGTCAAGGTCACCAAAACCGACTGGTGTCTGCGGAGTCTGTATATACACCATAGTTTCAAATATGAAGACAATCCAGTGTTTAGTTCTTGAGATATCGCGGCAACAAACAGGTGGGACGTACGGACGGACGTACTCACGGTCGTGAATACTATATCCCCCGCTCCGCGCTTTCGCGCGGCGGGGGACAATAATTTAGTCAGATGGGATCGATTTTGATGCAACTGTCTCCCCCACACTCGAAATGAATTCGTCTCGCTTCTTTTCCAAGTCACCTGTTATTTTCCTGAAGCTTTTGTAGCTTTCTTTTAACCTGATGAGGAAGGAATTCAACTACGTCATATTTAGTAGGATTGGGCCACCACTTTCTACAAGAAGTTATCTGTTTTCATGTAACACAATGCCACGTGCAGTATCGATTACAATATGTCGGTATATAATTCCCCAAGCTGCTCTGACTTCAAAACATAAGTTTGTCCAACTCGCCCAACAACAATGGTCGAGTACGTTTCTTGAGTAAGTTTGGTCACTTCAGCTATTTTGTCTGCAGATTTAGCAGAAGCATAAACCTTCTGCATAACACGGACAGCACTTTCATCCAGACTAACATCTAAGAGTTGACTAAAATATTTTGAAGCTCGAGTGTTACCATGTTCAGTGGCATACTTGGCAATCTTAGCACGACTTTGAGGTTGGTATTTTTTCTCTTGATACCACTTTCATCTGAACGTGATGCGTCAGGGATTGTCTTGTTTACTGTTCCCATCCTGGCAGTTTTCTCAGGGGTCGATGCCTTGGCTGGATCAGGCAGGCCAGGCAGAGCAGGGAACCTCTTGGTGAACGTGACGTACAACATGATTATGAATACTAATACTATTTAGTAATGTTATTTATATATGTACCTCAACATTGGAGACGAAGATTTTAACTTTGGTTGGTTCAATTATTTTATTTAATTTCATCATCCTTAGTGCCAGAATAAACACAAAAATGATCTGTTGTATTTAGGAAAGCACTATGTATTGTTTTAGCGGAAGTCCTCTACTCAGCGCTGATAAGGCGACACTTTTTTATTTCTTGGTTTACGGATTTCAAACTCATTTCAAAAGTGAGGTAGGCCAATTTAAAAACAACAACATGTCTCAGATTTCTTTACTTGACTTTTGTCCTAAAAAGTAAGGTAGGTATATAATAAAATTATTCTGGAGTAGCAAAAGTAAAACAACTCAATATTGAGTGCAAATGGCAACATAACAATATTCATGTCATGGTTGCAATGCATGAACGACGCCGCCATTTTGGCAACATGGGCGACGATTTACTCTTTCAACACCAGTCAACCAGAAGATTATACTGTTGTGATACCGAGTTCCCAGAGATTCTTGTGTCATAGATGAAGCCAACATTTATCAAGGAAATTATCTGCTTGTAAAATATATTTGCTGCTACATGTTTGGCTGTACACCATTTGAAAGGTCTAATTAATTCTATTGTTTATAAAAATGAAAATTATGTGTGTCACATTATCTGAATAATTCATTTGCAACTTCGTTTTAAATAAAAAAATGTAAGCTAACACATTCATAACGTCCAGATTAAAGACCAAGGAAGCGAAAATTTTCGGCAAATATAATATTTAATAAAATTCGTACATCGAATGCTGCCATGTCAGTATCAATTTAAAAGCTTATATTGATTCACCGACATAATGATACTAGTAACATCCACTGGAGTCTTTTCGTAGCTGTAAACATGCGATTTTATTGGATACAAATTGGTATCTAGTGACGCTTTCTTGCCGAAATCTGCAACAATGTTCGTGATTAGTCAAATCTAAGCACGTGACTTAAGGTAGCCCATTAAATTACAGCAATGGTAACGTACTCGTGTATGATAATTTTCAGATTTTGACGAAAGGTTTTGGTTAAATCATGTTTTTCTGAACGTTTTAAGCAGGAAATCGCGATCTATATTAGGTTACGAGCTGTGAGACATTTCTTGTGCATATATGTTGTTTCGACCTAGACCCACATACATATTCAGAATCGGCTGATTTCTGATCAGCTATAAAAGATGGACAAAAACAAGGAATCAAACACCAGTTAAAGTACAGGTTAATGGTATATCCACATAAGGATAAAATAAACGTGGAAGCTCTTTTAATGTCTAACAATTACACCTACTTCAAATGATCAAATAATTGTCAGTTACCTACTCCAGAAAATGAAACAATGCTACAATTATTTCTTTTTAATCAATATTAATTTCCAATTGATAGAGGTAAAGGGGATTGATAAACAGGCAGAGCCTATATACATATCCTTCGAGCAGCAGCAGTAGTATATGTGAGATGCTGTAGTTTAAACTTACTATTTTGTCACATATGGTACATCAAAGGTGCATCAAAGGTAAACATGTTTAGACAAATATTTCCCTCATAGAGAAGAAATGATGTACAGAGTCAACGATATTAAGCAGTATTTCTTTGTCTAGGTTGACGTTGCCAAACGGGACGGTTCGAAGGTCATCCATTAACACAATAATTGCTTTTAGATCTAATCTCAGTATAATTTGGACAAGTAAATAGGGGCTGTAAAGAACTTTCATTGAACAAAACACGAACATTCAGCATTATCGCAAACAAATATTTCAAATTTGACGCTTGTGTTCTACTATACGGTGCTGGACATTGGACGTGGTAGTCAGTCATCATCAAGGTCTTGACAGTCGTTGAGGAAGTCGTCAGCAAACCTGGTCATCTGGACGAGGCTGGTCAGAGCAGGGAGGGTCACGTTGTCATCTAGGACCAACTCGTCCTCATAGTTCTTAACCGGGTATACGTGAGAGCGAGGCAGGCCAAACAACTCTCCCGTCTTCTCAACAAGGCCTCCGATGGCAGCGCTGAGAAACAGCTGTGACATGTCTTTGTTGACCACCTCGCATGCCTTGTCCACCTTGGTCAGCAGCACCACCTGGGGCAAACCTAACGGGAAATAATCAGTGGACAGTGGTTCAGTGATCCAAGGACAAATATGATACACAACATTTGTTATCCCACAACACACACACACGCCCGAGGGAAAGCCGGGTAGCTTTACTTCGAAGCCTCGATACAATGCTTGCACGTTGCATGTTGCATTTAGAACACGAAGTAGGTTCAAAGATAATATGTTACTAATATCGTTTCGATTCCCCAGATGGGTACAATTTGCGAAGCAGCAATATGACATCCACCCGTCGTGCTATGGCTGTAATGATATGAAGCATATTTAAGTCTAGTCAAAAGCAATGAAACCTGGACTGTACATAAGGGTCACAAATAAATTGAGTATGAATAAAGAATATATACTCAAGAAGCAGTAAAACTTACATACATGTTCACGAGTCTCATTTGGTAACTTCTATCAAAAGCCATTACTTTTGACCAGTGGTTACAAAATGTAATAATGTAAGCACACTAACGGGGTCATGGATATTTTGAGTATGAACATTATGTCATCAGGCCTTTACTTTGTACATTCACCCTGTGCTGAACTGCCTTGAACGTCTGTAGTATTTTGTCTGGGAAGACATCTATGGCGGTGCTGTCTACCACAAAAGCAATACAGTGGATTCGGTCATCTAGGGTTGGGTCCTTCTTGTACCCAGGGACGTCAGGACGAACAGGAACAGACGGGTTGAACTGCAATAGGGAAGAGTGAGTGAGTGAGTGAGTTGGGTTTTAACGCAGCCTTCAACAGTTTTACAGTTATATCAGGGCATATCAGCTTAATATTAGAGGAAAGCAAGAAGATGTGCAGGGCTCATTTGTCTTCCACTTTGACGAAATCCACGAGTAAAACCATAAAATGTGAACGTGTCCAACAAAATTTTTGATGGAAAACCTTTTAATTATTCTTTTTCGTTATGGATTAAAGTTAAATTTATAATAATTTCTAATTTGTGATCAAGTATGCCGTGTTACATTTTCACTAATTCTATAGTTTTAAATTGAATGTTTTGGACCTTTTCTGCTCAAAATTTATATACATTTCAGAAAATGATTCATCTCTCCACTGCCAACAAATCATTACATACCCTACATTATTTAGAAATGATGTTGAAACTATGTACCTGTGTGAATCATTTTAGATGGAATCATTTATAGTTTGATGATACTACCGTTAAGTTTGGCAAGATTAAATTATTATGCTTTATATCCTGATTGGATAGCACAAGCCAACGTATTTTTACGATAATTCGATTGTTTGCAGACCGTCGTCGTATTGGAGGAATACTGCTGTTCGACGTCAGGCAACAAACACTCACATTTTTATGCAAATTGTGTGAATGGCTAATGCACTGGTAAAGCAGGACATGCGTACCCTTCCCGTGAATATCTGGTCCTAACACTGTGATCCATTCATATAATTTTCGCTACTATTTTGACTTTGACAATGGAATCAGTTTCAGCAGACACTCGAGATTAATATATTTCTAGCATTTGCGTGTTATGTTCAAATGAATATTGGCATTTGGCATCATCGATTTATTGCATTGCTACTATCAATGTTATAGTCAGATTATTAATTTTTCACAAAGACATGATTTTAGACTGTGGGTCGCCACGACTGCCTTCAATCGGTGTACAGTACAACACATAAATGTTTTGATATCATACAAAATATTACCGTGAATCTATCCGGCAAATGACCGTCGATGATCGCCATAAGATCCGTCAAATCCAGATTGAGACCATCTTCAAGTCCCCTCGTGTCACACAGCCGAACTTTCAAGGGCTGCCGACTCTCGGCCGATTTTATCTTATACAAGCGATACTGTAAATGAAATGGTTAATGCAGTTACTTTCTTGGTTACCTTCTCCTCAGTTAAGTGGGGCAATATCAACTTCATCGGGTCACGAGATGAGATTAAACATGTACTTTGACACGAAGGCCAAATGGTCTATTAAATTTCTTTCGTGATTTCTTATATTGTCATAGGCTAAACCAACAATGTCTGTGGTGTATTAGAGGCTGTAATTCGTTGACACATATACCTTTATTTCATTCAAGTAAAGTATCAGCATGATTAAACACCATAATAAAATCATAAAATATGTGGATACTACTAAGCACAGATACATTCAACTTACTGTAGTAGTTAGGCTGTGTTCTGCACTTCCGCTGCGGGCGACGGAGGTTATCCGCCCTTTGAATATAGAGTTGATGGTGTTAAAGTAGCTGGACTTGCCCGCTCCCACTGTCCCCAGTAACAAGATGTTCACATAGTTCAGCTTCCCTGGGGGTGCGTACGTCTCCAGTTCAGACTTCAGTACCTGTGGAGACATGTTAAGGTTCAATAGGGAACTGTGAACAGCTGCAGATGCAATGACGGTTACAGGCATCAGGTTGAAACTGGCAGAATAAAAACTTTGTACAGTGACATGACAGACGAACCTGACTGTGTCAGTTTATGATCACATCAATCCGAAAATAACATATAGAAAGTATGTGTTTGATGAAACAGATAAAATATATTTGACTAATGTACACATAACAGTTGCATATGACATTAGAGGTACACCTTCCTGCCAAAAGCAAAGTAAGCACACGGTGTCTTCAGGAATTATTTAACCCGTAGCATAAAACGATTATTCTGATCTTCATTACAAAGAGAAATAACAATCGAAACCTTTTGTTTCAGCTCGGGGAGCTTCCGCCACGGTGTCTCATCTTGAGGTTCCACACATTCTGAAATTATACCTCGAAATATCCTCACTTGGGCATATTGTCAAGTACTTTATAGAACATACAATGTAGCATATACTTATCGACCCACATGTTTAAGTTGTGGTTACACTCAAACTGAACAGGAAAGTGTAGAATACCTCGTTGATATGTTCACAAAGATCTATCCTTAAGGATATTTGTACACATACATGCTACTAAAAATACTCCACCACACAAAAGCACCTAAAATGGTATAAGCCTGCCAGTACGCTCCAATAAGATATTACCGTTATATGTATGAAGTGTTGTCGTTAAGAATCGGAATGTACAAATACGATTGCTCAATAAAGTCTTTAAGTGAATTTCACCGATGTACCTGTAACTTGATACACTTCGACATCGGTAAACTGCAAATTGTTTCCTGTGAAGGTAGCGGCGCTCTCTCCTGTCATGTTGTAAGTGTGGTTTGGATTCGTGTATCCATTGCCTTGGAAATAATTGCTCTGTTTATTAATTGTTGAAGAAAAAGGGTGTAGATCATGTCCTCCTCCAAAGGTAGGCCCATATGAAGCATCATGATAAACGGTATGCTGTAGATTGTCCGTCTTCACGGGATACTGTTGTGGTTGAGAGCTATTCGCCGCCTGGAGCTTGAACAGGAAGGCCTGTTGGTCTGATTTGTAGCTTCCATCACTTGACCAGCTGACCGATGTGTAGCCACCGAACACATAGCCAGCTGTGTTGTAGCAGACAGAGACAGTTGCTCCCTTGTGGTCACACTTCTGATGGAAGGCCTGGGCACTGCACCCGTCTCTGGTTGCCTGGTACAACAGGGTGAAGTCCTTCTTCCCTCCCAGCCATGAACTTAACTGATCCTTGTACGTTGTGCTTAGTTTAGTCATGACCCAAGTGTCTCCTCAATGACCCTATAGAATAAACAGAATATTTCATAACTGGTAGATGTTCATGTATATAAGTTGGATGTACAGTACATTTCGATTGTATTCATATTTGTGTAGATATGTAATATAACACCATGAAGTTTGTTTTTGTTTATCCAACTTTATCAAAATGACAGATGTTCATGCATGTAGGTTGGATGTACAGTTAATTGTAAACATCACAAGTATCCACATTTCTGTACATTATCTGTAACTTCGCACCATGACGTTTCCAGCTTGATCAAACTTGGACATTCACATTTAGTACAATGAAACAGTATTCATATGTTACATATATATATGTCTTTCAAATGATCATGTCTTAAATAACGAGAATAAAACCTGAAATATCATGTGTATTCTCGTCTTCTTACTTTGACTCGGGGCTAGTAGGGTTGGATATTATATATTTTGTTATACATAAATATTTCCCGTTCTATTCATTCATATTTATAACAAGGAGCGGAACACAATCGTTGGTTTTGATTGGTCCAAATATGGTCAAAATTAGGTGTCTAATTCCATTAAATGCCTCAAAATTAACAAGCCGTTTCCCATAAAAACCTCACGTATAAAACATCTGATTATCTATAGCCTACATATCGATGCCTATGACACTGGCTGTCGATACCCAAATAGAAATATATATATACGTTCGATATGGGAACATTATCAGATGATTGTGTCACTCACTGGTACACTGCAAAAGCACAGGGGCACAACAGCTAATTCTGACAGATATTTCATAACACGCACAATTAAGCAAAACATACAATAACCACTGAGTCACAACAATGTGCCAATTCTTCTTTTTTATGCTACTTGAAAAGAACATTATCACCGGTAATAAATATGTTAGCAGCCATGGGCGGTGAAGAGTAACCGAAAGTCAAGTTGAAGTTCAGCCGTTTTGAAGTTTGCTGGGGAGAGGCAGTCATACTGAATGTGTATTACTGTTACTCGTGAAAAACAACCAGCACATAATTTAGATTTCAAAATAAACAAATACAGTTATTTCACAACCTTTACTAACAAATGGAATAGTACAGCTTTTATTCTTGTGGCTATTTCTACAACCTCTCCTATCTATTTACTCATTTGTAATTATGCGTTATAAAAGAGTACCACCTTTAAAGCGTTCTGGTCGCCACGCATAGTAGAATTGCTAATGCGCTCGGCTCGAAAACCGAATAAGATATATATAATCTACAGTTAGACTACCTAAAATTTCAAAACACAATAGGTTCATCTCTAAAGTAGAAACCAGTTCCCTGGGTCTCGTTCCGCAGAGCGACCGCAGCGCTACGACTGCCGAAACAGGTTTACTTTATACATATAGACAAAACATAACAATGGTGTTGTGGACTGGCCCAGAACAGTTGCTATCATTTACCCACTGGCAACCTTGATATTAACTCATCAATACATCAAAGGAACTGTTAATCAATACACGTTTTAGAAATAGGAAATATCATAGTGAGTAAAAGTTATTTAATGCCACAGGCAGCAGCACAATGCTGTGATATGGCCTACATATTTAACGCCGCTATTAACATTATCGTAGTTATAATACAGCGTGTCAGTTTGATGTGTATGCTGCTGACAATCGAATCAGGACAAACTGGGATTCGAACCCACGATTATAGGTTTCTGACGCGCAAGAATTGCAGAAGTGCGGCGCCTTAGGCGACTGTTTGTTTTGTTTGTTTGTTTGTTGTTTAACGCCGCACACATCAATATTCCAGCTATATGAAGTAGGTCTGTAAATAATCGGGCCTGGACAAGACAATCAAGTGATTGAAATCATGAGCATCGATCCACGCAATCGGGATACGATGACATATATCAACCAAGTCAGCGAGCCTGACCAGCCGATCCCGTTAGTCGCCTTTTACGACAAGAATGGGTTGCTGAAAACCTCTTCTACCCTGGATCATCTGCGCAAGCCGGTTTTACATGTATTACTGATTTATGCAAATTCATTTATTCAAAATATAAATATTAATATTAATGTATTATTGATAATCATTAAATCGTTACTGTTGTCATACAATGTGTAAGTGAGTGATTATGTTTTTTGACGCCGTTTTTAGCAATATTCCAGCAATATCACGCCGGGGGACACCAGAATGTCATACAATGAATTTATTCTTCCCCGCCCTTAAGGCGGGGAAGTATACGGGAGAGGTTAAATTTGTAGCATGTAAGTCGACATGTTGGTTTCTTTGAAATTTCAAGCCACACAGTTACCGAAACGAAACATACAAATCATGTGAAATGTGCGTGAAATGTTGATGTTTATCTTTTCCAGCAATAAGAGATACTTCAAAATCTTCTTGCTATTCTGAGCCTTAGTCACTTTTCGTAATGCTGATAACCCATGAAATTTGTTCATTTTGTTTTTAAAAGAGCTAAAAATGATCCCATTTCGCTAAAGTTAACCGGTCTATATTTTGTAAGAATAAACTATTGCGCATTGAGCGATTATCTCCTTTAGCTATAGGCGTAGTATAGAAGTGATAAATTTACGCACTGACCTTGCATTGCTGTAAATCGTGCCTTATTCAAGCTGTATCACTGAGAGTGAGTGATTATCTCCCTTACCCGAACAGCTCAATTGCGCAATACCTTTGCAATGTATCGTATGTTATTCAGGCAGCCATCGAGAAACGTTCCAGGAAGGAATTTAGGCCAAGCCTGTCACGCGCACTCAATTTTCACACTGCTTTTGCAACATATTTTTCAACACGATTAAATAACAGGCTTCTATAAAGTATGACTTTGTTCAATAAACAACACATGTAAAACAACGGGTTTGATATGAGAATTTTTTTATTAGTTATCTTCATAATCACATGTATGGCGCTTGCTGTGCATAGTTGAGCACAGCATTGTTTTTAATACTTCACTGTATGTAATGTATGGTACATACTATTTCATGCGGCGGTTTACGTTTCTGCATGGTTTATTGCTTTGACAAAAAAACAAAAAAAAATCCAGCAGAGATCATACACCCGTATATGTTCTTTGCTTCTGGATACATAGGACAGGTTGGTCTGTAGTTTGCAATTATTTTCCAAAAAGATAATACGGTTGCATGATATCTCCACGATGTTTGGGTTGAACATAGTAACATTCTTCTAAACAAATTTCAAATTTAAGCCGGAAGCAATCACAACACAAACCCAGTTAACCAAACGGAACCATACACAAGAGTGAGTGAGGTAGTTGGGTTTAACGCCGTCTTGAATAGTATTCCGTGTCAGCTTGATGTGGGAGGAAAGTCTGAAGTGATGCAGGTCTTAGACGTTCACCACTTTGGTGAAACCAACGAGCAAGGGTTTTGTGCTGACAACAAAATCGGAGATTCAAACACACTGTCATTGGTTTCTGGCGTGCCCAAGGGACACAACTCTGCATAGCGAATTGCAGCGGCTTTGGCGACTGGGCCAACAATGCCCCGTAAGCAACTGTAAGAAACTATTATACAACAAAGATGTTTTAGATGAGGTATGTATTGCGGAACATTCCATGAAGAAACAGTGGCTATATTACACATTCACAAACTACAAAATACATGCACAATAAACGACAATTAAAAAACACAGTAACATTCAACATTCCAAAGAGCTACATTATAACAATTTTATTTGTAAAACAAGTGTATTATAATGATATGGAAACAATATGGGAAGTGAGCAAAACTATGGTAATGTTGTACATACATGTGCAAGGAATTTGTTTGTAATTGTTGATATGTTAACAGATCTTGGAAGTTGTTTCTGGATAACTGTTGGTAAACTTATTAAGAATCTGCACCTTTTAACAGAGTGTACTCAATTCTTTATCATGATTGGGGATTATTTGTGATTCTCTTTCTTGGTTGTATTATGTAAGACAATGCGTAATGTTGTTCATCATCTGAGACATCACATGTTTCACAGACGTTGTTCAAATGTTGTTGTTTGTTTTTTTATATCTACAATTTTTTCAATTTTTAGTTTGTGATTACTTAAACGAAGTTTTGAGAAAAGTGACCTATGTCCTTTGTTTTTACAATATGTAAGATAATTCTCAATATTTATAGATAACGTGACCACGTGATATGTTCCTAACTTGCTGCTAGATAAATGGGAATCCATTAATGATTGCGTGAATTTTTACATTTGAACTGAAGTCTATTGAGTATATAATGAGTGGATTCATTACATTTTTTGTGTTCACTATTTTAAAAGTTTGCCAACCAACATTTTGACCAGAAATATTAATATTTGCTGCAAAAGCATGCTTTAGAATGACATTTGTTGCGTTATCTATATAGGATTTTTTTTATTGGTACTAATAATGGGTATATATCAAGATTTGCCTGACAGGCCCAGTTTTCTTGCCTGGGTTTTCTTTGTGCTGACCAATTAAAGACACTGTTTCTTTTATTGTGCTTTCCAAAGATAAGTACATTAATAACAACCAATTTGTACTGAACATAAATTCTCTCCTCCCATAGCTTACACTTATTTCCTCTGCACATAGCATTATATTGCGGGGAGCTATTGATGCTCTGCAGCAATCTCTACTTGTGATATTTGTAACTACATTGTATGTGATGACAGTGAAAGCCGCGCTGGGGTCCGACAGTCAAGCCATGATAACACATACATGTAGGACCGAGACTTCATCTCATAAATCTTATGCAGATCGTGGTGCAAAATTGCACGTTGTATCTACTAAGAGATGGACCTTTTGACATTCTGGGTAGCGGGGCCAGGGATTTTATCGAAAAAATTAATTGTCACCAAGATGCTTGAAAAAGAATTTTATGCCTCAGACAGTTGAAAGGCCTAACAAATATCTGATTTTACAGATGCAGCTGAAAACATATCTAGCCTCCATACAAAATACCAAATCACTGCCGAGTCCCCACCCCCACCCCACCCCTCTACAGAATCTAATTATCATTCCCTTATCGCACCACATATCCCTTGTGAACAATAGCGCGCCTTATGTCAACATATGAACTCGGCTGAAATACATGCACACATACGTTAGTGGCCACATCTATTTCAGTACTGGAGACGTTATCGGCGATAGACGTACACCCATGTTGTAGGATCAGGAAGTAAACCGTGTATCTGGCACATAGCGAGTCGACCACGAATGGACTTTGAAGTGACACAATTATACATTCATAAAATGAGATATGTTGTTGAACGTATAATTAATGAATGTCAAGGTAGGTCGTAAGATAAACTCAAATATATACCTTCCAATCACTAGGGTTGACTCGACCGGATGGATTTCACAACACCAAATTAAACCACGTAAACGTACTTCCCCCGAATCCGACTTTCTGTTCGTGAACTTGATCACAGAGTGGTTTCCCTTTAGAAAAACAAGTCCTGGAAAGAAAATACATTTTACGACACTTCGAACAGTTATGATGACTAAAAGCATAATATGACATTATAGCTGATTTTTCTTTGTCTCTGTGAGTTGTGAGTGAGTGCGGTTTGACCAGTAGGCTTCCCTGCCATATAATAACGATGAATAATGCTGTAAACTAACGTCTGGAAATGACGACTGTGTGTATAACATAGATTCGCACGGTTACTCTCATATGTATCTGGCTACATCAGTCAACTCTAACACACGGAAATCCGTGTACATCAACCAATTTGAGAGTACCACACATGCACCAAGCTTGTTAGGAAGGGCAGAAAGAGAGAGGAGCGAGAGAGAGGGGTAGGGGGTGAGAGGGACAGACAGGGGACAGAGTAAGAGCGTAGATGTTTCGAAGAATTTTCTCTGGGAAGACATCTACAGTGCAACCGTCCATAACCGTTGCCACACAGTGGATTTTGTCCTGGAGAGTCGGCGCCTTCTTGTATCCAGGAGTTTTCAAATGATTTCATTATAACATATCACCTCATTACTATATCTGGTATTTGCATTTCAATAAGAGGATGGTTATGATAAAAGCTACAAAAACTTTTTCCATAATCATAAGATATTTTTGCTTAGAGCTGAATCAGTTCTTTATTAAGAATGAAGTGAAAATAATAATGAAGAGAACACCATATATTTATCAGGAATATTTCCATTTAGAACTGCCATCACATCATCTGCTTCAATGCCAAACGTTTCCTCCAAGCCACGAGTGTCACAGAGGCGAATGTTCAAAGGTATCTTCGACTGGGACGAGCGGATCTTGTATTTTCGGTACTGAAATAGAAAATGTTCACATGTTTCAAATTATGTATATGCTGTACATTATTAATTTAGTAACAGTCTTTGACAGAAAAGCTCACCTGCGTTGTCAAGCTGTGCTCGGCGCTGCCACTGCAGGCTTGACTGGTCACGTGGCCCCAGAAGATGGAGTTGATGGTGTTGAAGTAGCAGGCCCCTACCTCCCCCACCAGTAGAATGTTGACATGCGCTGCCTTCACCCCCTTCCATTGGTGAATACATTTCAATCTCGGACTTTAAAGTAATCCATTTCGGTACCCATGCAACAGTATAGTTGGACATCTATCATGTATTGTTTCAATGAGTATAAAGTGTTCGCGAAAATTGTAAGCATGTCCTGCCCTACCGGTAGCAAAGACATCCTTTGCCGTTTATTCCACTCTGCGGGTGTACGCTCTATCACTAGACCACGGAGGCGGTCTTGTTCACAAACGATTATCACCAAATTATGCATGCAACATTTAAGCAAATCAGATGTATTCATGTGATAAATGAGATATGAAAATGATATTACAACGCGAGCCATATTGAAGCATGACAGCCTCTGAGTCCACTTAACAAGGACCGAATGCCTGTGGGTAAAGGACATCCAACAAGTATTTTGTGAGGACATTTGACTCAATGCAATGAAGTCAAGAAAACAGGAGTCCTAACATTCTCAATGGATGCTTTCCTGATATCAGTTGCTGATGCAACCTGTAGATTAAAATACATTGAACAGGTCTTCATACATTGGATACATCAGCCTATTTAGATCACCAAATATATTGATTGTATATTTAACTCATTACTATTCCTCTGATTTGCATGGATGTAAAGTCATATTTTCATTGAAGACAAACTATGACTCTTCGATATATGCGGAGCTTGGTGAATACACATTTCTGTGGTTTTGGTGAGTAGCATATGTATAAGCAGATACAAGTAATAATCAGGATGAAATACGATTATCCTCTATGGACAAAAATATTATGTGCCTCAGGTTTTACATGCCATGAATAAAAAATACGTTGTGAAAAAGATGAACTGAAAGCATATTCTACTTGTCGCTAGGGTGTTATCCAGCGTCAAAACACATGCCTCCTCAAAAGCCATCACGCTGCCACGACCAAAACGAGAAGGTTCAATCACAATTTGTGTAACATGTTTTTCCTCTACACTATCATATTTTTTAACTGAGTTTTACGAGCTCACACACGTGCACAAATGTGCGTTTGCATTAATATCTTAGGTTTTAGCAGCACTGATGAGAAGCGTTTTGTTGCAGGAATCGATGTGTTCGTGTTGAAATAACATTAATTATGTCAATGTAATATAATATTGTTTAATTTACAAAATCATAGACCTTTATGTGTTGCTAAATGTTTTTACTGAATAAAAACTAGTAATCTACCATGTCCTGGAAGAAATTGTTATTTTGCCTGCCGTAACATACTTCAATTCACTTAAATCTAATACATTTATTGCGCATTCGTTTAATAATTGTAGCTGTTATCAACATACAGTCTCAAAAATGAAAAATGACAGCAAACTAATGCAGCCGACACCGTACCTCTATTTGTTTATTGTATGACTCACAGGGAAGATAACACTGCAAAATGGAATACATCGAGATTTTCTTAGAACTGGCGGGATGGGTATTTTCACGCGAGTCGGATGTTTCCGAGAACTTGCCGTCATGTGGGATGCATATAGGTCAGAGGGTATCTTTCCCAACTGACACTATCATTCTGTGACTGAGTAATCACATGCACTAACAATACATAGCGGTGACTAAAGTCCACCCTGTTCATAGTTCATGTTTGAACATCGGGATTGCTCTGGGATATTTGTTAGTGATAGAATTACCTTTCTCAGTCACTGTCTTTAGACATGTAATTTCTTTCATTGAAATCAATCAATCAAAAACAGTGCTGACTTCAAAGAGAGTATTCATGTGGGCAATCGAACGACTTGGCTACCCCACCGTCCCGTTGTTTATTAAGGGAATTTTCAATTATTGTGAAAGGCAAAAACGCTATCTGGTCCCTTTATCATGCTTATGTCTCCTATGTATCTCTATTGTGTTTCCTGCGTGTCACGTCTATTCGCTGAGTTGCGTGCTTGAGCACGCCAGAAACCTGTGATTGTTAATTCGAATCCTGGTTCTCCCCGATGTTTCTAGGTTCGTCAGCACCATACCCGTGCTCGTGGGTTTCACCGAAGTGGTAAACGTCTGAGACATGCATCACTACGGGCGTTAAACCCAATGCACTCACTAACTCCTACCCGTCTCGTACGTATCTCTAACGTAAATTTCTATGTATTCCCTGTATATTTCCTAAAGCCCGATAACTGTTTTCTACACATCTTCTACATGCTACATATCTGTTACATGTTTCCTATGTACTGTAAATCTAGACATTAACGCGTCTCCAAATTAATACGACACCTCCCTGTTACTCATGCCAAGCACATCGATACGCACATTATGCAAATTTCAGGTCATACATCAACTTTTACACAAGTGCAGATCCTCCACGTGCAAAGCGTTGCAAACAAGCCTCCTTTCGGGTAATCAATACACGTTCTTTAATCTTATCTAGTTTGGATTATCGTTATCGTCTCGACAATGGACAGATATGTCTGAAACTTTTTGTAGAGGGTCACACTTGGTATGAATAGTGGTATGATTAGTAAGCAGAAAGCCGAGTGACGTCGCTCATTCATGAACGTTGTGTTATGTATTTATGGGTCACTGCGATAAGAAAGGACGAAATATGCATTGATCCGATCCTAAAGTGGTGCGAGTTCAGGGTGTGTAAGAAACAGATTACTGCCTTCGACTCTGTCAGATACCAATTATCTTGCAAATTTCCCCACGTGTGTGTTTCCTTCGTGTTCCCTACGATGCATCCATGTTTCCCATTTGTCTACAAGCACTGACAATAACACTCCAATAAACTGTATGGCAAGAGGGATGACTTCAACTTTCCAATAGTCAACTTTTCAAGGCGAAGCGGGATTCGAACCTACGATGACAGGTTTCTGGCAAGGGAAGCAACTCTGTACAGCAAAGGACGACGTTCCAAATGTCATGGACACGTACTACTTTGTTTCTCAGTGACTCCCTGGCAATAGCATCATATATAGCAATTCGCAAAACGTCCAGAGAATGTACATGCTTAAATTGAAATGACTGGTCGTGAATTACCTCGAGGTGATCTGTTCTGTTACTTCCCTGTTGATTAATAAAGTACGAGTTTCTTCACTGAGTGAGACTGGGTTTTGTCCAACGCCGCTGTGAACAGTATTCCACTTATATCATGGCGTGTCAGTTCAATGTGGGAGGAAAGTCCGAAGTGATTGAGATCTCAGACGTTTACCACGGAGGACGTTTATAGTCATAAGTATGACATCTATAGGAACAGGAATTGATCAGAACCTTTAAAAGGATTTGATTCCATTACAAATTCTCTATTCCTTCACGCTAACAACCACTTTCCAGAGATAAACACTGGATTCACTGCAGCCAATATTTAACATTTTCTGAATTTGTTATATCCTTTGTTAACTGGTAATAATATTGCAGTTACGTGTTTTGTCAAGTCGTTATCATGGATTTTAAACACGGTGTTTAACCTTTGAAGTGAATAAGGGTTTAACACCGCTTTGAACTGTATTCCAGTTATATCCCAGCGTGTCAGCATGATGTGGGAGGAAAGCCCGAAGTGATGCAGGTCTCAGATTTTTGGTGAACCCCACGAGCACGGGTATGATGCTGACAAACCCAGAAACATAATTGTGGCGAACCAGGATTCGTACCCACGATCATAGGCTTCTGGCGTGGCCAACTTTGCCCAGCGAGTTTCGGCACCTTTGATATAACACATTGGAAAAAACCCGTTCAAGTGTTTGTTTGTTGTAAATCAACACACCCAACAACATTCCACCTGTATAACGGACGCCTGTAAATAATCCAGTCTGGGCCAGACAATCCGGTGTTGATATTGTGAGCAGTGGTCCACATCGTATGGGGTACGACGACATTTTGAACAAGCCTGGCCACCAGATCCATTTAGTCGGCCCTAAAGACAAGCATAGCTTCCAGGAGAACACTTATATTAACCCGGAATAACCAGTCTGGAATATTATATACAACACTTCTGGGAAGGGGTTGGTCTCTAGTATCCCATTATATGTTGTTTGTTTGTTTGTTTGTTTGTTGTTAAACGCAGCACTCACTTATATTCCAGCTATATGATGGTGGTCTGTAAGTAATCAGACCAGACAAACCAGTGAATGAGATCATGTGCATCGATCTTCGCAACTATATGTAGTGAGTGATTGAGTGGGTATGGTTTTACGCCGCTTTTAGCAATATTCCAGCAATATCACGGCAGGGGACACAAGAAATGGGCTTCACACATTGTACCCAGGTCAGGAATCGAACCCGTGTCATCGGCGTGACGAGCGAACGCTTTAACCACTAGGCTACCCGAAGGCCCCCAACTATTTGTATCGGGTGGGACGAAATAATCTTTTCCCAGCATATTTACGATTATAGTTTTCAAAACAATATGAGCCCCTCCCCACCCACAATGGCTTGAACAAAAGACTCTACCATCATGCTAGAAATAACAATAACAGCATTCATACAATCATTAACGACAAAAGCTGCTGAGCGGTCACGTATATTTTAATCGGATTATTTTAATTGACAACCAGTAAACTCCACGGAAAACATTTACATCATGTCAACATAAGCGTCAGTTCTGATCTTAGCAACATCACACATTCATCATCAACTCAGCGACAACAAGCCATCTGTCTACCATTGTATCAAAGGCTAATAATAGATAATGTTTGCCCTTCAGGGCATTGTCTCTCTCATCTTCCCGAGGCAAGAGAGTAAACTGACTTTAAAAGTCGAGTTTCCACCCTTGCCGAACTAGACTGGAATTACTGGGCTCGATCGTAGCGCCACCAGTGGCTATTACCAGTTATGGCCCTTCTAAGCCTCTCCTATGGACTAATCAGATTCCACCCCTCGTATCACTTGCATTTGCTTCACACAAAATGGTGACGCCCGGTTTGGACGATCTGATCATTAATCAAGATCTATATTGTGATTAAACGGGTCTTACATCGCGAAATGCATCAAATCACGTGACCACCTTGATTAAAACATGAAAAGATTTGGAAAATATCTGCTGAAAGCGAGTTGGCGGTGCACATGCTTTGTAAATCCTGCAATCTACCGAAATCTGAACGACAGTTTACGAACCTGATTTAGATTTCGGTTTGCGATTTTGATTGGACTATGCATTGACTCGTTAGTCCAGCCACAATGTAACTCCGTAATTCCAGCCTAGTTCGGCAAGGGTGAAAACTGGACTTTTATAGTCAGTTAACTATCTTGCGTCTGGAAGATGTGTCTCTCTCTATCCTTCTTTATCGGAGTTCTCTTTTGCTGTCTAGAAAGAGCTAACATGTCATGTTTGTAGACTTTTGTCATACAACTTAACATCACGATTGTTTTCAGCACAAAACATCGTCGCTGTTCCAAGATTCTTTACTCGTTACATGTAAGTGACCCAATAATGACCTATCTATTACGTTTGAGATATCTGCTGTTGATAAGAGAGATCATTTAGGTTTGTGCTGATTGTTCGTTAGTGAATCTACATCTAATCAAACATATCATTCATAACCAAATACCCAGTCATGCTAACAGGGTCTTACTAAGCAAAAAATAATGCAATGTAAAACTGTCTATAAAATAGAATGTAAGTTAATAATACGTGCATGGAAATTATCGACCCTATAATGTTTTAGCAAAAACATCAAATCGGGAGTATATATCTTGAATCCCAGCAACTGTAACCAAAGCGCCCATGTCATCAAATGTTTGAAAATATAGAACTGACTAGGTCCAGTATACATATTTGAATATTATAAAATATAAAGCTGATATTTCAACTTGTCATATCACGTTATACCATCATACAGACACTGTGACTAAATACAGCTGAAACAGTGTAACATCTCTATCCTAAAACATATTCAAACAGTAGATGTGCGTACATAAAGCAGTCGCCGCTTTATAAATACTTGGTTCCAGAATCTGTGGAAACTCAGAGAAGTCCATCATGAAAAGACTGTGTATTGATTACATTGAACATTTGTTCTAATCCAACATCTAAACTATATGTAATCGCTGTCCTGCCAATGCAGTGCCGCTTCAAGAAGATAGGTCTGGGGCCAGGAGGCTGGCCTTGCAATTTTAAACAAATATGTATACGTGCGTATGTGGGGAGGATATGTTCACCTGACTATGGAGCATAGTCTCTCCTTCGTTTGTGAATGTAAGGAATTATTCATTTTGTCGATTAGAAACGGTACATGGGAACTAAATGGAGTTAAATAATTACACATATTTATTAATCACCTTCTCCTCATCAAGGATGTAATATCTTATTAATGTGTTCTGAAAAATCTATGCTGAAAACGACAGTCTTCACCAGTCAAACAGAAAGTACCTGTGTTTAAACCTTGAAATACAAAGGGCAACAAATGACGGAACATGGAAACCAACGTTTATATGATTCAAGCTCTAATCTTCTTCCTCATCCAGGAAGTTGTAGAGATAGTCATCAGCAAACCTCAGCATCTGCCGAAGGCTGATCAGAGCAGGAACGTCCACGTCTTCCACCAATTCCATTTCCTTCTCGTAGTTCTTCACAGGCAGAACATGGGCACGGGGCAGCCCAATGAGTTGGGACACCTGCTCCACCAGTTCGCTCACTGCAGAGCTGTAGAACAGTGTACCCGGATCCTCTTCAACATACGGACAGGCCTTGTCCACCTTGGTCAAGATGATCACTTGTGGTATACCTGCAGCAATGAATAAAGTTCAGCACACAACGTATTGCTACCTCCCTTCAGTTACTGTTTAAAACGCCACTCCGAAGTTTTAGCTGAATATGTAAAATCTCGAATCAGGGAAAAGCGTGTATTAAGGAGTGTATTAAGTGACTCATGTACCGTCCCAATGCAAGAAATACCATAATGAATAAGAAACCAAAGGGATACCTTATAGTGAAACAATACATTAGTCACGGGATAAAACGAATTCGATTACAGAGGGCGAGACAATGTGCAGCATGCAGACAGTCATGACATGTAAGATTGAACACAATTTCATCACCTGCCCAGAAGGAAACCGTGAGTTACAATACTAATAATGATATTTTCATCTGAAAAAATGTGACTTTCAAGAAATCTAAATTCTACATTAGAAGCATATTAAGAGGTTGTCAATTCATCTGTAAAACCTTAGTCTTACAGTTAAAATGTAAAACCTCCCAGCAGGTCTCACTTGAAAGTAGTACCTCTCAACGAGATAGCAAGATACCGACAGCATTATAGGCTTAATATAGGTAGTATAGAAGTAAATGTACTTTCAAAACAAATAATATATTCATCGGTTTCAGGTGTTAAACTGGATACAGCGATTCACGGCACACCCTAAATGTATATAAAATGTTTGAACTTGTGTACCTCTCTGGTTGGCTTTCTGTTGTATAGCTTTAATATTCTGCAGAATCTTGTCAGGGAACACATCCACAGAACAGCCATCCATGACGAATGCTACACAGTGTATCTTGTCCTCTGTGGCTGGGGACTTCTTGTATCCTGGAGTGTCGGGTGAAATAGACACAGCTGGGTTGAACTGGGAACACAGAAGTAGGTTAGATACGAAACATATTCTGCGTGAGTGAGTGAATATTGTTTGACACCACTGAGAGCAATATTCCAGAGACATCAGATAGGTAAACAGTCAAAGAAGAGTCAGGGTACAGTGCCAAGGAAGCAGCCAAGTCACAAAGTCCGACAACAAGAACCGACTTTCCGACAAGCATCAACCACCGGGGACCTATTCTGATCCAAAATCCCCAAAGAAATATACATTTGCTGAACAAAGACCACTATTTATACAAATACAATTTACATCATGGCTGTCCGTTCATACTAAAAGAAGAGTGGGGAATTAATCCGCATAACGATTTAAGGTAGCTCATAACTTGTGGATTAACGTATCTGAAACGAAATACGTTACACAAGAATATATTTGGATAACCTTCACGAAGGCAGGCTTTTAATTGGCATTTTAATTTTGTACATTTTTTCATAATTTTCTGTTCAAGTGTAAGTATCGAGGAGACATGAGGCTATCTAGTTCGTAACGTGATGAAGTACCATATATTTGTCAGGAAGGTGTCCATCCAAGATGGCTACAACATCAGAAGCGTCCAGGCCTTGTGCTTCCTCCAAGCCTCGGGTGTCACACAGTCGGAACTTCAGGGGTTTGCCCGTCTCGCAGGATCGGACTTTGTACTTCCGATACTGAGAAACGAGAAAATATATATCACAGTATAGTATCCAGCGCTTAGGTGTTTATCATTACTCTACGTACATGTGTTTAACATAAACAAGGATCTATCAATTTGTGAAATATATTCATATCAACTTTGTAACTATTTTAATTTTATCATGGGAATTAAGTCAAGGATAAATCTCGAAATGGGTTGAATAACCCTGTTTCTCAAAGACCTCCCGCGTGTAGGTATTAAATGCGGCTATAAAATATGTCAACAACAATCTTAAAAGACATATATGTTCATAAAGCATGTGCAAAATGTCTTCGAAAAGCTTTTAATATCCCAGGATTGTCGGCAAGAGAAACCACATGTTGATTCTACGTATTATCATTGCTCATTACGTTGTGGCCCAGTCGTCTAAGGCGCCGCGATTCGCGTTGCAGAGTTGCGTCCCTTCGGCACGCCAGAAACCTATAATTCCACGTGGGTTCGAATCCAGGTTCGCCACGATTATGTTTCTAGGTTTGTCAGCACCATACCCGTGCTCGCGGGTTTCACCGAAAAGATAAATGTCTGAGACCTGAATCATTTCGGGCTTTCCTCCCACATTAAGCTGACACGCCGCGATATAACTGGAATACTGTTAAAGGCAGCGTTTAATCTAACTCACTCACTGACTAATACGTTGCGCTGTAAATGTAGAATAATACTGAGAATAGATGTACTACCATTACGCATTTGTGTGTCAGGGAGAAGTCTTTGTGTTTGTTGTTGTTTAACGCCACGCTCAGCAATATTCCAGCGAGATGACGGGTGCCTGACAATCCAGTGATTGATAGCCGTCTTGCTGCTGTTACACGCAATCCATCAAGTCACCGAGCCTGAGTGTGTTTGTTTGTTGTTTAACGCCACACTCAGCAATATTCCAGCGAGATGACGGGTGCCTGACAATCCAGTGATTGATCGCCGTCTTGCTGCTGTTACAAGCGATCCATCAAGTCACCGAGCCTGAGCACCCAATTTCAACAGTCATCTGATTTTGTTTTGTTTTTTCTGTTCAACGATATGACGGAAGTTTGTAAATAATCGAGTCTGGACCAGACAATCCAGTGACTGATATCATGAACATCGATCTACGCAGTTGGGTTACAATGACATGCATGAAGTCAGCGAGTCTGACCGCCCGATCCCTGAAGACTGATCATAACCCGGAACTTCAGGGGTCTCATCTGCTGCGACTAGCATAGGTTGCATGGGACTTCTTCTAAGTGTCTGAGACTTAGAAAATATCGAATAGTGGAGGAAGGAAGTCTTCTTCCTGCGTCGCTTCCAGTACATTTACTTTTGAGATATCACTTGAGATATCACAAATGTGTAGACTTGATTTTAATTTCAATCACTGGTCCTTTCGAACAGAATGTTTACAAAGAAAAAGACTTACATTCGTCGTAAGGCTGTGTTCTGCGCTTCCGCTGCAGGCTTGACTGGTCACGTGACCTCTGAAGATTGAGTTCATGGTATTGAAGTAGCTTGATTTACCGGCTCCTACCGCCCCCACCAGTAGAATGTTAACTCGTCCTACCTTCACCCCATCGATGGGGGAATATGTTTCGATCTCAGATTTCAGAACCTGAAACACATGCACCTGTGTAACATCTAGCTGCCTTATACATGATGTATGTTTCCAGGAAAACAAACAAGGATGTCCACATCAAAGCCAGCTCCCAATCCCTGTGATATATAACAGTGGAGAGTGACGCCTTGCGGCCAAAGACTTTCTGAACCTATAGGCATATTTAAATTAATAGACAAAAGTATACTTGAAACATGTCATGCGTTTTCCTTGACAGACTTCGGTAAAGATCCATGTACCTTCAGGTACTCGCTTTGTTCCTCTCGCACATTCCAGTGTCGATGTACCAGGGAATATCGTAAATACCGGTCTACATACTGTGTAAATCGTTTAGACAAATCAGCAACGGAATAAAGCGCAACTAAGGAGGAACAAAGCCCGCTTCATCTATCATCAGCCAATCCAAAAACAGTAGTTCGAAAACAGGCGAAAACAAAATCTTTTTTCGACTCACGTATACATAAACGAAAAATATATTACTGGGTTTGGCAATCAAATGCCACGGAATCACTTGCAATATATTCATATCCCTTTAATACGAACGCCAGGCAGGGTAACAAAAAGTACCATTTTTTAACGTCCTTTGGCATGACGCGGCCTGGGATCGAACCACTGCTCACTCCGGGCAGACGCTCTATCCACCAGACTACAGAGACGGTCGCATTAACTGTCTCAAGATTTAGAATCCGCAAGAAAGGTCGAACAGTACAGTCCTATCATCACTGGTTAACTGTGTTAAACGATTGTTTACCTTTGGATTGGAATCTGTCACTGGTCTCCATGGGTCCTCATTGAGAACGCTTCCATCTGCAAAGGTTTTGTTGCGTGTTTCAGTAATCTTATATTACAAAAACATATATTGATAATAGTGTTTGGTTGTAGTTTAAAGCCATAAAATTCCAGCTACATGACGGCGGCCTGTAAATAATCGATTCTGGGAAAGAGATTCCGGTGATTGATATTGTGAGCAGCGATCCACGACGTATAAAGTATGCCACGCAATCAACCAAGCCACAGAGACTGGCTGTAAGATCCATTTAGTTGCCTCTTGCACTAGCATAGGTTGCTCGGGAACAAATCGCAACTGGGATTTCCTCCAGAGCATGTTCAGGAAGTCAGATCACAACGTTTTCCAAAGACATCGGATCTTATCAAGCTTATTTATGCCAATAACACTTTGAATGAAATTATCAGACCTACCCACCTTTCACACTGTAGACTTCCACATCATAGCAGTTGAGACTGGAACATGCAAGTGTTGCGGCATTGTCGCCCGTCATGACGTAGGTTGTCCCAGGAGCCATAGAACCATTGAGCGGGAAGGATCTACCACTCAAGGCAACAGTCCCGTTGAAACTATGAATGTCATGACCAGCGCCGAAGGTGGGGCCACCGTTGGCGTGTCCGTAAATTGCATTGGTACCATTTGTGGTTGGGTATTTCTTAGGGCTGTTCGAACCTTTGAAATACAAACGAAATAGGAATGCTGTGGGGTCGACCTTGTAGGTATTAGTGGAGTCCCAACTGACTGAGGTGTACCCTCCAAACACACAGTCAGACGTGTTGTAGAAGACTGTGACTGTCGGCCCCTTGTTGTCGCACTTCTGGTGGAAGACGGTGTTGGAGCAACCATCACGGGAGGCCTTGTACAGGAGTTCAAAGGCTTTCATTCCGTTTAGCCATTTGTTAAGTTGTTTCTGATCCTTCTTCTTCAGAGTTTGCTCCATGATCTGATGTTATAAAACATTAATTATTTACATGTACCTGTATAGTTTGTTATCATAGGAACTCGCACAGACTGTTGCTTTGAAATGAAATGAAATGACATAATTAAACAAAGTACGACATTTTAACCCATGATAGCTGTTAAATCTTCGAAAAATCATGATATTCATTGACATGAGTTTGTGCATTGTCATAACATCCCTACAAAACAAATATTTTTCTTCAAAAACTTAGTCAACGTGTTGACATCTAATAACACAATAAATACAGTTGGTGTCATGTTAACACAGGACAGGCGTTGGAATAAACATGAGGTATATAATGCCTTCCAACTTTTTAGCAATAAACGTTTAAATGGAGATACATTAATAAAGAAACTTATCGTCATTAATATTGTCAATCAGATTGTTTGTGTGAAATGAATTATGGCACTCTATTGATGACAATCTCGCTAGTTTGACAATATGATTGTGGTTAATATAACGTGAACGGTTAACGCGTATGTCGTAGTGAACTACAGAACCTGTTTACATATACATGCAGGGTCATATTTATACACACTTCTAATCTGAGCCAGTAGAGAACATCGCGTGTTTCTTGTCACAGGGTCATCACCACATATTCGGTCTGATAGTTCTGTATCACCACCACACCCCTACTGGTGGAAATACACACACCTACATTACTTCGGGCTTGCCCCCTAAATCTACTGACGCGCCAGGAGATCACTGAAAAAATATTTCTACACACTATGACTTATTTTCATATGTCTGTCATGTGCACCATGTGTTAAAGCCTTCTTTTTGTTAGTTTAATTGCTTTTCGTTAAATAAATGCACAATTGGAACGTTTAGATTATTTTGTGATGTCTGTTTTTGTTTCGTTCTTTTTAAGAGGATGCGCTGCAATTAAAATACAAAACTGCCAGCAAAGAATTCGGGCAACAATTTGTATTGCAAAGATTGTCATGTTGTTTTATTTTTTTTTAAACACGTCACCAAATGATCTAGTTATACATCTTTTATACGTCAACATGATTAGTAGTCTTTTCGACCCGTGAAGATCCGGTAGAGAATAGGTCTTCAGCAACCTTTGCTTGCCGTGAGAGGCGACTGAACTGGTTGATTCATGTGACCGTATCACAATTGCGTGAATCGATGCTCATGATATCAATCACTGGATTGTCTGTTCAAGATTCGATTATTTACAGACCGCCGTCATACAGCTGGAATAGTACAGAGTGCGGCGTTAAACAACAAACAAACAAACACACAAACAAACTTCACCACTCAATGCAATAACTTGCACCGGACAACATCCATTGCGCCTGCCGGTAGTATTTTACAACCGCCTCGATCAACTCGTTGTACTAACCCAGCTCGCTGTGGAAATAAACATTGGCGATACGCTAGTAGTGCTTACATTCGGTCACCCCGTGTAACATACGCGTTGAATGTCATTGTGTCAGGTCTGACTATTCATATTAGTAACAAATATCTGTTCATGAATGGTCCTATCTCGGATCGATAACAGAGTTTGATATCGAAAGTAGATCAACACTTCTGAGCGTGGGTGTGATATACAATTACAATTCTTGGTGGAAATCAAAATAACAAAAATGGGTTTACCGTTACAATAATTCCACTGCTTTATGCACACTCTCTGACACGGCCACTAAATATTACACCACCTGCCCAACTGTTCGTCTCGAACTTGCCTCGCTGTGTGCTTGGTGTCGGGATTTCCTATCACGTGGTTTCTTGGAAAAATGACGATTACGGTAAAGGGGGGTAACTCTGTGTGGCATATTGTATGCGTTCAAGTTATGAGAGGTTTAAAAGGATATAATTTCGAATAACAGGTGAACTTAGAATTAGATTGTTTCGACGTTATCCAAACAGTTGAGTTGTGCACTTTGAATGAAGTATGAAATTGCAGTCAATCTAATAACCAGTTACAATTTCTAATTCAATTAGATCTTTTCCTCAGATAGGATATCTCTTGGAGTAGCATTTTATTTAAAAATATATATTTACAAAAGAAACAGTCACATCAAAATGGACCACAGAACAATGCTTAATTTCTGCATGAGCTGAAGCAAAATTGCCAAATGAATCTTGATTAGAGTTTCATTCAAATGTATTTATTCCCCGTGTTCTCGGAGCCGGGCTATATATATTTCTCTACGTCAAGATCTGAGGCCAAACGTCCAGCAGGTCACGCCAAGTGAACTTTCTAATGAGCCAATCAGCGTCGAGGATTCAGAGTTCTCGGTACAAATGAACGAAGCATTCGTATAGTTTTTATTAACCTTTTTGAGCGCCATAACATCTACGGTTGCATTTATTTTGTATAAGCCGAGAATTGTACATATAGTGGGGCTCAAGTAATTACACTAAATTATGGGGCGGTGGGGTAGTCTAGCCTAGTGGTTAAAGTGTGAGCTCGTCACGTCGAAGGCCTGGGTTCGATTCCCCACATGGGTATAATGTGTGAAGCCCATTTTCCGGTGTCCCCCGTCGTGATATTGCTGGAATATTGCTAAAAGCGGCGCCAAACCATTCTCAGATACTTACCCACTCACTCACTGTAAGATCAAAGTGACGTGGGAATAAGCATCTGAGTAGGTGAAAAAAAACGAAAATGTGCGATTATTTCCCTTTCGTCACGAGTATAGATGGATTCAGCAATAAACTGCGCGGTGTGACATGCTGTGCACATGTGCTCGGGTTGAGTTGTGGACGAGGAACTATAAGGAGATGATATGTACTTGTGTAACAGATTCCTTCCTTACAGTGAGTGTAGTCTATATAGTAAGATAGCTGTAACTATAGACCCGAGCGACCAGTGGTATCTGCTTACCGGCTTCTCCTTGTATTCCATCTCCCTCCAACAAAGTGTTTAGCAAGTCAACATAAATGAGAAAAAATACGTCACAAAGCAAATATTTAACATTTTATTTACCGTAAACTAAAAGTAAAAATACGCCACAAAGCAAATATTTTACATTTGATACACAGTAAACACAAGTATTATATAAGTATGTGCAAGACAATAACTTACAAATTAACAGTTTTCCAACAAGAAGATGAGTTCGTCTGAGGCTGACATCTCTGTTGGGTTGATCACACAGACGGTGTCCGTGCTGGTAATTTATCTTACCGACATGTTTTAAGATATATGAATTCAAACAAATTCAAAGTTGATAAGAAAAGACAATTGTTCGATTGCGCTGAGGTTAACTTGTGCTGTCTTCTTGACTTTCATTAACTAGGGGCGAGCGGCTTTTTGCTTCGAAGCAGGGTATAAAGGATTTCAGAAATCCACGTAAAGCGTGTCTTCTATGTGACGGGGTGTAAGGGATTTATTCTCCTGCTCAGAAATGTATTTCCCTCCCAGGTGGGATACATTATTCGTTGTAGCAGAATCACGAGGGTTACATGGAGTAGCGCCGTGTACCCCTCGTCATTCTGCTGAAACGAATTTATCTTTCCGACATGTTTTAATATGACATAATCAAACTATTTAAAAAATTCAAAATTGATAGAAAACAGCTGTTCGATTGAGCTGAGACTAGCTTGCGCTATGTGACGTGACTTCCATTGACTCAGTCTTTCAGATATTCAAGTGCAGCCTGATTGGCTCGTGGCGGGGTATAGGAGATTCATTCCCCCACTGAGAAATGTATACCCCTCCAAGGCGGGTTACACAATATTTTATTAAGATCACGTGGACCAATCAGATGTCATCATTCCGACATGGAGGTATTGATAGCATGGCATGAAAAACGACAAAAAGATGAAAGTGGATGCTGAGTTGATTTTATCCTTGAATATCAATATCATGGGCCAAATGATGACTAAACGAATGGTATGTTATTTGCTTTGTGTAAATGATAATTTCAGATTAATCCCACTGAACACTGTGCAATATGTACTTAACATTTACGAAATCAGGTATGGATATACACATGTTTTCTTGAACGAACGTATGGGACAGATTAAGAATTCATTCTCAGCTCGGAAAAAATGTTAATATATACTAATAAAACGTGATGCTTAAAATATAAATACATAAGTGATGACCTAACGATAACAGCGTCTCCATGACATAAACCAGATATATCGAGTTTGTTGTCAACAGTGATTCAATAATTTATATTTATATATTTACATCTCTTCTTGTGATATCTATGAGGGAGCGATCATTCGATATTCTGAGCGGGCCGTGGATTTTGTATCGAGATTACACATTTTTCAGCTACAGCTACAAAACCAGATATCTGTTTCATATAATACTATGAGCCTGAATTTCTTTTTAAGAAAAACACGTCTCAACAATGTAATTTTTTGCAGATTTCATTTCTATTAACAGTCTGGAGGTTAATCTTCGGGGACAATATTTGTTCAACATCAAATGGTCCGTCCCTTTTGATGGCTAGCAGTCGCCATATCATAAAGCCTTTTGACCTTTGTCATATGATGTGATTCTGATAGTGCAGCTGTAGTATTACAGTGGCCAAAGACAATACAAGGGTAATTATACAGCTGTGACACAGCTATGGTGTCACCGTGTTTCATTGTGTCATACTTATGCTGTAACTAACATGGGCATTGCAAAATACAAACAGCATATTGTTAACGTATATTCTGTATTTTGTTCCAATATAATGAAATGCAGCTTCATTTGAAGCAGCGCACAAACCAATATCACAGAAAAGAAATTTGCTCCTTTTCGAACGAAAACACTAAATGGTACGGGAATATTAAATGATCACGTGGATACCACAAACAAATCGCGTCCTTATAATATGTGTTACAGCCTCCCTTAAGTTCTGAATCTAACCTTTCCAGGATAAGTAACTGACGAGCTGGAGTGACCTAGGAACAAATATGGCACGATGGCTGGGAACGCAGTAAGATTTAGTATCACAGTGGCAGTGCTTACCTGTATACGTAATTGTATTTGCAAAAACAACCAATTAGAAATTGTGTGTACTTTATTTGTTTTACATGTACGTGTAACCTTCCCTACTACGTTGAACGGTACGTTTTCAGTTTATAAGCCACAGTCTTGCCAACAGAACCCTGGTCCTCTCTCTTGTTCACCAGGCTCAAGTATAGAATGTGCAGGGCATTGAGAGCCCACAGGAAGCTCATGTGCATGACTCCCACCTGGTATGATGATATTGTGGGTGACACACATGTTTAGAACCACATTTCTCACGCTTCACTCCATATGGATGCACTCTCTAAAACCATGTCATATGAAATGTATTTCACTTGGCTAAACTCAGAAATTACAGAAATTAAGTGAGGACAGTCTATAAACGCGGTGACGTGGACAAATAGAAAAAGAACAGTTTCTGAATGGAATAAAAAGACAGGCAGAGTCCTTGTTTACTAAATAGGCAGGTCAAGGGAGATTAACTTTCACTCCCAGTGAAGTGGATTAACAGTGAAGCAGATTAACCACACTCGCCTTGTGGTACCATAAAATAGAAACTCCCACTGTTCAAAGTCTATCAGGGTTATCTAGGCATAGAGTTTCTTGAAAGTTTGAACATCTGGCTATATTCGATTTGGAAAATAAATAAAGCGGATTGGAGACAATCTGCAGACCATGTTTGTGACCTTTGATAAAGGGATAATGACAATATCACATGACATGACATGACAAACATAAAAACATGACATGTGAACATAAGAAGCTACACTGTATAGGAACGGTTAAATTTTTCTTGATGATAAATAAACGTTCGATGCTACTTGGCTGAAACGAACGAGTATTCATTTCTATGCAGTCTATATATGATCGTTAGGATCACTACCATGGAAACATTCACTGCACTGCATACACAATAGCTGCTACACAATATCTTCTGGAAGGCCTGGACTCTGCACAGAGTCACACTGCCGATCCTGTATGAACCTTAGCATCTGCCTCAGGCTGAACAGCGTGAGGCGGTCGACATCCTTCTCCAGTTCCATCTCCTGAACATAGTTCTTCACAGGGAAGATGTGAGAGCGAGGCAGCCCCATGAGCTCTGCTGTCTTGCCAACCAGATCCGCTATCTTGGAACTATGGAATATCTGAGACAGGTCCTGGTCCACTACCGAGCACACTGTGTCTATCTTTGTCAGCAGTACTGTTTGTGGAATCTCTGCTCAGAAAGAAAATAAGCTTAACCACATGGACAAAGAGTAGTTAATGGTCCGAAATAACACATGACATGTAAATGTCATCTTGTATTAAACAGCCGCAACACGCTGGTGCATTGTCATATTATGTACATACTATAAATAAATGTAAGATGGCCATTTTAAACGTTTGGTACTCGCATCATGAACAATCCCCTTAATAACGTACAATGTATATTACACAGCATGCAAATGTGTACTGTGAAGTAATACGACATCATGAGTGAGTGACAATGGTTTTGCGTCTCTTTCAGCAATCTCCAAACCACATCACAGTGGGGCGACAAAACCCTGGTCTTTAGCGAACAAAGGTTTTAGCCTCTAGGCTTCCTTTGACAGTATCACAAGGACATTATGATTTACGTTTGTTGTTTAACACACAGCAATATTCCAGGTATATGACGATGGCCTGTAAATAATGCAATCCCGACCATACCACCAAGCAATGTATGGGAATAAGCAGCGATCCATGCCGTCGGAATATGATAATACGCCATGAACCACGTTACCTAACCTCACGTTACCGAGCCTCACCACTCCATCCATTAAGAGACCGACCATTTGATATTTGGATTTTGCTTCGAGATTAGATTTTTTTTTCAGCTTCAGCTACCTAGAAAACAGATATATGTTTTCAACAGTCTGAAGCATAATCATTTTTTTCAAGAATTTTCGTAGACAATATTTTTTTCAGATACATCCCAGCACAAAAATCCCCCTCCCATTCCCACCCCCTCGCCTGCCCATACGAGTATCAAATGGTGGATCACTATGTAGCATGTTATCATTACGGCCATATGTTCATTCCAGTACGATGAATACATTTGATGAACTTACTATGTTTGTTTGCTATTTCTTTCCGCTGGTCGAACTCCCTTTTAATATCTCTTGGTAGGTCATCAATGTCATTACAGTCAATAACAAACACAATGCCTTGCATCCTCTGCAAATGAGAGCTCTTCGCGTAGTAGTCCATGACTTCTTGCGCAAATGAGTACAACTTTTTCTGAAATTGTACCAAATTTGAATCTATAAACTAATAACCAATGAAAACTAAATCGATACATGTGATTCTGTAAATGTAACAGTGAGTGAATATTGATTTATTGCGCTTTCAGTAATATCACGGAAGGCGACACCCTGACGAGTAAACACTTTAACCACAAGGCTTCCCAGTCGCACCTGTATGTAACAGATACGCATAGACATAACGCGTTATTCGTTAAATATTCAAGGTGATCAAAATTATCCGACAATACTGGACTCTAAAACATGTTCGACTTAACAATAAACCTACCATTTGTTTGAATGTTGTCGCTATCAGTCCAGAGGAGTCTGCAACACGGGGAATATGTATGGGTGCTTCCAATCCCGGACTCTCACACAAACGGAAATTGAGAACTGTCCGGTCTCGTCCGCTTGTGACCTGATGCTCCTTCCACTAAAATGTATAGATTGATAGATTGATAGTTTTGTTTAAACAAACAGATGCATCCACATAAATCAATAATTAAATCATAAAGATCGTAATATAAAAATAATTGTGTAAAGATGCAAGCATTGAAAGAAAAGTTCAGATAAATGGATGAATTATATTTATGCATGTATATCAATTCTCCACCTGCCTTGGAAGTGCGACTTTCAGTTGCACCTTTACTGCAGAGGGTGCTTGTGACATATCCTCTAAAGGCGGAGCGAACACTGTGAATATAGCTCGACTGGCCTGCATCTCGCCGACTCACAAGTAGGATCTTTATGGGATCAGGTGACAACCTACAAGCTACTATGTCTTCCTTTATTCTCTGAAAATATAATTAAGTCGGTCTGATAATATGTATATTGTTAATGTGGTCCTACTTCATTATCGAAATAGGGAACAATGCTTGAAAACGAGTTCTCATATTACTTCAGTACTTACTTCATTTGTGTGACTAATTGTTGTCCATGGGGAAGACATACATGTATACTCTTTATCTTCTGAAAAAGATAGAGAAAACATCAAATTCCCCTCGCATATTATACTTTTATAAATTAAGTTTGACTTAGTTGAAAAAAAACTTTAGTTGTTCCTGAAAGTATATAGTTGTGGCTTTTGTTTATACGTGCCATTGAATTTGACGGGACATATGCAAGCATGCAACAGAACAAAATTTAATACATGTTTGTTTGTTTGTTGTTTAGCGCCGAGCAATATTCCAGGTATATTATGACGGTGGTCTGTAAATAATCAAATCTGGACCATACAATACGATCCACGCAACTGGGATACGATGACATGCATCAACCAAGTCAGAGAGCCTGACCATCCGATCCCGTTAGTCGCCTCTTACAACAAGAAAAGAGAAACGCATAACGGATATGTTTGGCCATAAAAGACGTCCAAGAGTAACCGACTCCGCCCAAGATCGCTACATCCGACTGCGCCAGCTACGCTAAAGGGCGACCACAGCCACCTCGACCACATCCCAAATACTCGGACTGCGCAGAATCTCCGACCTTTCCGTAAGAAACCGTTTAAGAGCAGCAGGTCTACGAGCAAGGCGTCTTCGGCGCGTCATATTGGGTCGACAACATCGTCAACAACGACTGCACTGATATGGCCTCAACTGCGATGGAGGGATGTCTGGTTCAGCAACGAATCAAGATTTCTCCTCCGTCGAGGGGATCGAAGAACACGGGTCTACAGACGTCGGGGAGAACGTTACGTCGGAAACTGCGTACGGGAAGAGGACAGGTTTGGTGGGGGTAGCGTTATGATGTGGGCAACTATCTCTCATCATGGCAGGACAGGTTTAGTCCATATCCAGGGCAATCTCACGGCTCAACGATGCATTAACGAAATTCTCCTACCACACGTCCTCCCAATTGCAGCCAACGACAACGGTGTATTCCAGCAGGACAACGCTCTACCGCATACAGCACGGATCACAGGAGCCTCTCTACACAACAACAATGTTGATGTTCTCCCCTGGCCCTCCAGATCCCCGGATGTGAACCCGATAGAGCCCCTTTTGGATGAATTGGATAGACGGCTACGCTGACGTCAACCACAACCCCAGCCTTTGCAGCAGTTGGCCTTTGCGTTGCAGGCCGTGTGGGCTACCATTCCCTAGGATGTGATTCACATACTCGTCTCTTCCATGGGCAGAACATGTCATGCCGCTATCGATTCTAACGGGGGACATACGCGTTATTGATGGTAGCTGACCTTCACCTTGGACTTTTCCTATGTACCGATAACTGAGATGACTACAATCACCAAGTGTTCTCAACAACATTTTGGCTCAATACCTTGTACGGTTCCTCGTATAAATGTATTTTCCTACCTCACACAAATCTGGCTTTGCGTTTCCTTTTTTTTTTGAAGAGTATGTATGCATTTAACAGGATAAATACATGTAATCGCCTGGACATACATGTATATAAATATATGCATCTAACAGGACAAATGTATTCAACAGGACACACATATGCATTTTACGGGATAAATACATGTGATCAACAGGACATATATATATAAACATTTAACAGGACAAATACATGTATTCAGCAGGACACACATATGCATTTTACGGGATAAATACATGTGATCAACAGGACATATATATATAAGCATCTAACAGGACAAATACATGTATTCAGCAGGACTGGGAATGGGAGATGTAACTGGCTTCACAGATGCACAGCTGATATATAGCAAGTCGCCACAATATGTAACAGTTTTTTTACATATACGATTGCACATATACCTACTGCTGGACTGACATTATATGCGATGTGTGTTCTCTTAGTGATTGGTGGTGACTACAAGTGTGATTAATGTGCACCAAGAACATCTGTGAAGATCCGGGGTAGAATATATCTTCAGCAACCCATGCTTCTCGTAAAAGGCGACTATGATTATTGTAAGAGGCGACTGACGGGATCGGGTTGTCAGGCTTCTGACTTGATTGATGCATGTCATCGTATTGCGTGGATAGATATTCATGATATCAATGGATGGTCTGGTCTAGAGACTCGATTATTTACAGCTGGAATAGGAGCGATAGAGTAGCCTAGTGGTTAAAGCGTTCGCTCGTCACGCCGAAGACCAGGGTTCGATTCCCGACATGGGCATAATGTGTGAAGCCCATTTCTGGTGTCCCCCGTCGTGATATTGCTGGAATATTGCTAAAAGCGGCGTAAAACCCATACTCACTCACTCACTACAGCTGGAATATTGCTGAGTGCGTCGTTATAAAACAAACAAACAAGAATCTTACCAAGAACTTGGTAAACTTGAAATCTCGTGGGAATGAGATTGTGAGTCATCAGATCTTCTTTTCTGTGTTTTCTTTGGCGGTTGTACGTCTGACCCAAGTCAGTCTTAATCCTCATTATGGCATCCTGCCTGGACAGTGGGCGGCGCTCACACTTAGTTTCAATATCTCGTCTAGCACTGGCAGAGTCACCTCCGCCAAACGTTGGACCGTACAGAGGATGACAATAGATTGAAGAGTTGTGGTCATCAGTGTCATATTTCCTTGGATCGAAAGATCCTTGATCGTACAGCTTGAAGACGAAAGCAGATCGATCCGATTTTGATCCCGGTGAAGGTTTGGCTTCCCAGCTTGCAGCAGTGTACCCCCCTATTTTATAACCGAGAAGATGCAATCATCCATATCTGTGTCATCGCATTCTATATCATATACAATACAATATACTTTAAGTGTTTGAAATACTCATTGATACTCATATACCTTTCATGGGTGTTGCATTTGGAGAAGTGTTTTTGTAAAACGTTTCTTTAATTTACATATTTATACTTTGTAAATCGAATCACACTGGGCTGTTTCATTTACTTGTACATACCCGAGGATAGATTTATCTTTCTCTTTTTATGCCACCTAATTGATGAAGTGTCATGTATACGAAAGTGCGTTGGTATATTTGGATGTGTCACTTTCAAAAAGTGGTTCGTGTTTTTGTTTCTTAATACTTAAATTTGTGTTAGATAAATTGTTTGCCACTCAATAACGATACGGATCGTTTGTGAAGGAAGTAGCTTTAGGTTAGGTTTTAGCATTAACGATTTTGTAAGACGCAAAGATATTTAATTGGACAATACACTTGATTGGACATTGCTATACATAATATACTCACCAAACAAGTTCTTGTCTGACGAGAAGATAGACACCGTCGGTCCTTTTTTATCGCAACGTCTATGGAATTCATGGGGAACGTTCAACTCGTTTGCACTTTCAAACAACAACTTGAACCGCTTCCTCTCTCCTAGCCACTCGCTTAACATTTCTTTACATAGTTGATTGAACGATCTTGCCATACTGGCTGAAAATTATACGACCAACAAAAAAATGTGTACATGAAAACATATAATCAGTTGCGACAGAGTAGCTCAATGGTAATAATTTTGAATTATCAGTTGATGACATTAATTGCATGCCTACACGTGCATACAGATGAAGAAACCATTTTTATTATAATACAGATTTAAACTCTGTCAGAGGGCTTTGATAAGCACTTAAAGTCTTTCAGAGTCCAATGTGATTTATACAAGCCTGTTGCATTTCCAGTGAGATTCATTCAACATATTAACATGGCCATTAAAAAGGCCAATCACCTTACACGACCTGGGAGTTCAGTTTACACGCCTTAAAACGATTACATCCACGAGAATAATACACGAACACTTGTCAGACTTAGTTGATATTCTATGGTACATTTATATTCAATTACAAAGTTTCTTCTTAATGGCAGCTAACATTTATTGTATAGATCTACTACCTTCTTAAATTATTTCCTTAAATGTGAAGACATTCAAAAACGAACAAGTTGCTAATCCGTTATACCGAATATATACTGAAATGACAACATATGGGAGTGTTAAATGTCAACCGTTGGTTTTACAAAATGGTCCCCGCTGCTCTATGTGAAAGCAACCTAGCATGCCAATGGAACATTTTTATTTATGAATTGTTCCAACTTGCGTTCACAGATCAACTACCGGGGTACAACTGTAAAAGAAAGGCATTCTTGTGTCTTTTTAGTACGTTTATCGACTGAAGTTTATTTACTAGGTGTTGCAAATCAGGTTTTTTAAAGATCGTATCTCCAATTTTACATTTCGCACTGCATGAGAACGACTTACTGCTGGTGCCGGCGACGGCGAAACCCTATCTCGTGGAAAGACCAGATGTATTTAATGACAACTCCTAACATCATATGAATAAGAATAGGATCAGTGACATAGAAATGGCGGCTGCTTAGTTGAGGTACTAATTCAAAAAAGGAGAAATCAGGTATGTTGAATTTGTCGGATGGAAAACCTGCATGGCCAACAACCCCCATACCCCTAAACTAAGGCATTTAGATTTGTGTCAAAACTTTTGAAATGGTCCCTTACTCCTTGCAGGTATCCATGCAAATATGGACGCAAGTGCAACCTATACAGACACGTCCGATCTATTAATAGAACTTTTACCTCGAAACCTACTTTCTATTTCACACGAAACTGGATATGGCATTAGTAATGTTAAACAAGAAATGCGTTAACTGTATTATGCATTCTATGATCGACAAATGATTGATTTTATATTAAATCAACAGTTCATGCAAATGGCCCCTTGGCACATACGATATGTAAATGCTCTAGATATTGGACGTAAAGATTTAACTGCAAACCTCGTGTACCTAGACTGATGCACTCAAGTGCAATGCTTGCAAATACATATGGATATTGTCCTAGATAACCTCACAATAGAGTCATGCTTTTTTGTTATTGTTATTAGCCTGCATTTAGGTTCTATAAATATCAAATACATGTTTGCTTGTAGTATTCCCATTTATACTGCATGAAAACGTTACATACAGAAACGAAACGTGTTTCACATAGTACATATTTGTATAGTACATGTACAAACAACTCTTACCTATCTGATGGTCTGTTATCAGGGAACCTGGCTATGCTGCGCTTCCTAGCCACACAGCATGAGAGAGCATTCATCATATATCAAAGCATATCCCAAGTCACTGGAAAGCCCAACGGTATCTATTTATAGATGACACGTTCTCGGTAAAGGAACAGGGTACAGCACAGTGTTCAGTTCACTGCTCGTGTCGTGTTGGTGTGACATAACACCAGTGTGAAGGAGGCCTGGTTGTTGTGTACATTCGATGTATGAATGTGTGTAGAATGTACGACCATAAATGTACATTTACTGTTTGTAACGCCAACACACGACTGTCAGGCTTACTTTACTTGGTCATACATGTACCTAACACCATTTTATTCAGGTCACAAAGACAAAATTGAGGGTATATAAAAGGTAATATGCATGTCAATGACAAATACTCACCACAAGAGTGGACGGTTTGTATTATTATGAAAAGCGTAAAATACAAATGGTGTCTCACAGTAATCCACGTGGCTTCTGTTTACTTATTGTTTAAATTTGACTACATTGGGTTTTTTTCACTATAAACAGAATGAATATCTCCTGGTATTAATATAACAGAACATTGCCAACGTATGTACAAGTACATTGATTGGCCCAAAATGTAGTACAATAGGTTTTTTTAAAAATATTTTTAACGCGTGTGAATAATCACCAAGCTAAACGTGCAAAAGAGTAAGATCACCTAGATTTATGTTATTAATAAGCAGTTTCGGGTGCATAGTGTTTAGTATGGAATGGAATTTGGAATGAGACAAATGGAACATACCCATGTTTCCAATCTGATATGCTAAGACATTTTATTTTTAATTATAAAAAGCTGCCACCGAAATATGCAGATAAGCTGAGGGACGTAGGTGTCATCTCTTCCCCGCCATTGCCCACACCAGTGCTGAGGGAGAGGAGTCATATATGTACCTAGACGAGGAAACGTTTATTCAACTACAGTAATCTAAAGATTTATGGTAATCTTATGAAGCACAGCAGAGCATACCTTATTCTGGTTTATTTTGATATCTATCATGTTTATTATCATCCCCAAAAAGCAATCTATAATGTCTATCTATTGACAACCAGTCAATCAATCAACGTAGTTACATTCCACCAATGAGCGTATATATTTTCTTGAAATGGAATGTCTCGCAAAATATGCAACACAGTTTCGCACATGTGTGTTTCACAACGGTTAGTAAAAGGCCGGGCCCCTCACCATGGAGTGATCTACCTCTAGGACATCATAGGGCGGTGGGGTAGCCTAGTTGGTAAAGCGTTCGCTCGTCACGCCGAAAACCCGGGTTCGCTTCCCCACATGGGTACAATGTGTGACAATTTCTGGTGTCCCCGCCGTGATATTCCTGGAATATTGCAAAAATCAGCGTAAAACCAGTCTCACTTACTCACTCACTAGGACATCATAACCCCCAATCCTAAAAACAAACTTCCGACTAAGCGCGAAGATTCCGTTATGGAACGGTGCCCTGGAACATGTGTGATGAGCCCTAAACAACCTACTTCACGTAATTAGTAACTTTCATTGTAGGATCTATAATAAGATCGAACAAAATGACTTAAATTCTGCTTGAGAATGGTTTGCCACTGGTGTGCTCATATGTATTGACATCCTCGATTATCCAGACATGTGAGTATCCATTCACGTCCATAACCTCGTTTAGGAAGTGGCTTCGTCGCCTTCGTCGCTCATATCTCTAACTTACCACAGAATGTCTCTCGCTCTTAAGAGTACTTTGATTGGACTTATATTATGCATCGTCCAAAGCATATTGATGAAGATATCTCCTCGACCTGTGTGTCGTGTTCGCGCGGGAGCGTAAATGTGGTTTCTACGGCCTCGGGGCCGCCTCTTCCTTGTTCGAGCTGTAAGGTGTGACAAAAAGAGGTCACGTGGTAGATTAGAAATACATTTACAATTTCTATGTTTCTAACCTTCTAAAACGTTAAATCCTGCCTCATAAACAGAACATTTAGAAAAAGTCATACCAAGAGTGAGAAACAAGAAAACCTTTTTTTAATGCACAAAACTGTAACAATTTTACAACATATTATTCTTATTCTATTCTGTTACTTTCCCGCTACAATTGAATGATTTACACAAGAATATGAAATAGTTATGTTAATTATACAACATATGTACAACTAAACGTACACGTAATAGAAACCTTGTTTACACTTGTAATTGTTTGTCACGATCGTCTGGGCTATTGTACAGATCCAATATTATTTAGTGCATACCCATACCGTCAGTAACAAAATGATGTCAAAAACAATTTTATCAGCTCTAATGGTGTAGATGTGCTGAATCTACTAAAATAAAAGCGAATTAAAACTATGACAAACTGGAACGAGTTTCGTAAATACATAAAATGACAACGCATAATCCACTTTAACTCGAAATCAGAAAAGATGTGTTTTGTGCTCAAGTACAACTTCAAACACATCCTGTGAGATTCAAACCAGTACGACGACATTGTTATGTCTGATAATCTCAAGCCAGAACTTAATTTCATTTTTGTGGCCATTGTGCCAAATATTTCGAATATGCGTTTTCAAACACAGCGCTACACACTATTGCAACTGTTGAATAAGAAAGTCGTCTGTAAATCGCAACATCTGCCTGAGGCTGAGTAGAGTAAGTCGATCTACATTTTCATCCAGTTCACTCTCCTGCTCGTAGTTCTTGACAGGGAATATGTGAGACCGAGGCAGCCCGATGAGTGCGGCAGTTTGGTCCACCAAGTCCCGTATTTGGGTGCTGTGGAACGTCAGCGACAGATTACCGTCCACCATCCGGCACACCTTGTCGATCTTACTCAACAGCACTGTCTGTGGAATACCTGAAACGTACATTGACGCACATACATGTACTTCTTTATTACCAACTCATGCACATTACTCTCACGAAAATCTGACACTCACATAAGACGTTTATTTTCATCAAATCGACATTGTATATGACGCACCATATAAATACGTAATTCTCAAAAGAGTTCTTACCATATCCGTTGGCAGTTTTCTTTATTTGGTCAAACGCTTCCTTTACCTCTCGCGGTAGACCATCGATCACTGAGCCATCTATCACAAAGGCTACGCAGTGAACCTTCTGCTGAAGCAGGTCCTCCTCGCTCAGGGTCTGCTGGCGTATTGGCTGCTTATTCCACAGGTTTCTCATCATTGTAGCCAGCATGCTCTGTCGCCAAACAATGCTCATGATACACTGGGTCTTTTAAAGTTTAACACCCTCCCACAAATCACAGATTTAGGGTTTAATTCTTTCTGGATTCAATTGACGTAAGAACCACCAAACAGAAAACAAATACAGACTACCGGGACATGATTGGGTGAAGACACATGTTTTGATGTATTTATCTTCTGTAGAATTTCATTAGCAAGACACCAGGAACACGTTGAGTTTTTAAAGCTGCATGAAGGCCTATGGAGTATCAAAAACAAATCCAAGGACGGTATTTTCTGTTAAAGGATGTTTCTGCACGCTTACCATGTATCCCGGTGGACTTCCGCCTATGATGTGTTGGATGGCATAAACCATATTCTGTCCCATCCCTTGTTCAAATCCTCGTGTGTCCCAAAATCGGAACTTGAGAGGCCTCCGTCCAGGCCAGGTAAAGATCTTGTGTTCTTCATTCTGGAGCAACAAACAAGGGGGTGATCCTCGCCTTCGGTGTACAATGATAAGCAATTGAAATCAACCAAGTCACTTAGCCTGACAACCCGATCCAATTTCCGTCGCCTTTTACGACAATTGTGCATGCTTTTTTTAGGGCCGATTCTAATCCGGATTCCCCAAGATGGAAGGATATAAGTGTGTGAGTATGGTGTTACGCCGCTTTTAGCAATAATCCTGCAATATCACTGATAATCACACATTGTACTTAGAAACGCATGCCAGAATATTACCATCGTCAGTTGAACTTGATTTCATGACATTTGAGAAACGTTTGGATCAAGATGTTGCAATTGTTACTTAACGACAAGATGGACAGGTACCAAACCTTACTGTGTGAGTGGGTATGGTATCTGTGAGCAATCAGCCAGCAATATCACGCAAATGAGACAGCAGAAATGGACTTCACACATTCTACCCATGTTCTACGTTGAATGCAAGTTTTAGAGTAATGCTGAGTGAGTGCATTATCACAATCATATTTCTTCCTTTGTACCTTTTGTGTCAGACTGTGCAATGCACTGCCCGTAGGAACAGAGCTTGTGACATATCCTCTGAAGGCTGAGGTAACACTGTTGAGGTAGCTTGACTTGCCCGCTCCTATCTGACCCACAAGGAGTATATTTGTGTACTCCAAAGCTTCAGTTGGAGGCTCGAAACCTTCTAACTCTCTTTTAATGGGCTGAAACATGCATCATGGGGAGCAATCATCTTTCTATTTGATAATAACATAGTATGTAATATCAAACATATGATAACATTTTCTTCACCTCTTTCGTTTAAGTATTTTGTCACATCAGCGAAAAAACTACACGGTTTTATTTTACAAAACATTATATATAACGGTTACACCCTTGAATATACTATGTTGACTATATACCTCCACTGCCACTTGACTGACATTTCGCCATGCCTTTTCAACATATTCATCATCATCTGAAATAAAAATGCAAGGAAACAATACAGCTTACTGCGACCACACCATGTCACAAAGGACATGTTAATGTCTGATACTCTGGGTCTGTAAATAATCGTATCTCGCCTAGGTAAACCACGATATTCTCCTGTGGTTACTGAATGTTGCTTACCGTCACAATTAGCACAATACTCCAGTTATACCATGGGATGAGGTATGTAAATAATCGTATCTCGCCCATGTAAACCACGATATTCTCCTGTGGTTACTGAATGTTGCTTACCGTCACAATTAGCACAATACTCCAGTTATACCATGGGATGAGGTATGTAAATAATCGTATCTCGCCCAGGTAAACCACGATATTCTCCTGTGGTTACTGAATGTTGCTTACCGTCACAATTAGCACAATACTCCAGTTATACCATGGGATGAGGTATGTAAATAATCGTATCTCGCCCAGGTAAACCGCGATATTCTCCTGTGGTTACTGAATGTTGCTTAACGTCACAATAAGAACAATACTCCAGTTATACCATTGGATTAGCTATGTAAATAATCGTATCTCGCCCAGGTAAACCAGTGAGTGAAAATATGAGCAACAATGCACACCATCCGTGCACAAACCTAATAGCCCAATCACCATTTCAGCTCCGACAAGTGTGATTCTTGCCACGTTTCTTGACCCGGAATCCTACGGGTATATTGCAGAAATTACATTGGACTTTAATAAATGGATATCATGCTGTAAATATAAAACGTCGAAGCCAGTAAAAGGTAAAACAATTGTGAAGATTGTATTATTGGATCAAATGAAAATCAGTGATGATACCAGGTGTTCGCGAGAAGAGGTAATGAACTGTTACCAGACAAAGTTCAATGCTTCTGTAGCTCTTAAGCAATTATGTTACAGCGTTACAACACAAGAGACTTCATTAACCGAACTGAACAATGTTTTATCTTACCTATCACAAGAAATACTTCAAACTTGACCACCGCATCATGACCGTCTATAAAGTTTTCATTTTGGCGTTTACCAATGTTGTATGCTTGACCTATAGCTGTTCGCACTGTGATGAGATCATCAGAGACCTCCGTTGTGACAATATCCATCGCTCCGTCGACATTGCCACCGCCAAATGTTGGTCCATAATCGCTGTGGCAATAGATAGCACAGCGAGCGGTATCAACCGGGTACTTTTTCGGTTTGAACGTGGCTCTATCGTACAGCTTAAACAGAAAGGCTCTTGGATCCCGCTTGTGTCCTGGTGGGGAGGAGGGTTGCCATGTCTGTCGTGTATATCCACCTTGAAGGTCAGACAAGACAACGTCTACCATATAAAATTAACACAGTTGTTATGCCTTAAACAAAAACAATAGCCCGCTGTTTAGTTTCCTTCCAGACGCTATAAGTTGAGCTATATGTGAATTTTAAACATTGTCTCTGTGTAGCAATTTCAGAATTAACTGTCATACATACTTAAAAAACATAAACCGGTAAAATGCTACGCAACCAATTACAATTTGGCAAATATAGATTTTCAGCTTGACACACGAACAAATATTCTTCTGTGCAGATTTCCTGTGACATAAGTATTGAATATTGCATAATTTAAAGTTAAAGTTAAAGTTATAACAAATCAGGCAAACAGAATTCGAACAAGAACACGTCAAACTCCATATCAAATTATTGATTTTGGGGTGGATTTCTGATATGACAAAAATATGTTAACGTTCCAACAAAATAAATTCCGTACATCTTGAAAAGTCATTGTCGATATATGGCTGAAACAATGTCGTGCAACGTTATAACTCGCTATTTGTTAATCTAGCATAGAAAGAAAATAAAAAAGTTTCTTAAAAATGCTTTTAACGGGAAAGCTCCTTACAGTGATGTAATGAGAACGGTGGAGTTTGTCGTATGTTAAACATAAGTCATAACGAGGCCAATTGGAAAATATTTCCCAGTTAACGCAACTTGTGTTTGTAGGCAAGAAAACTGGCCATTTAATATGTTCGTACCGAAAACACTGTTGCCGTTCGTGTAGAACACGGTAACAGTGGATTCACTTTTGTCACATCGCTTGTGGAACTCTTGGATTTGATTGTGGTACAGTGAACTATCAAACAGAATCTTGAACTTATATGTATCCCCAAGCCATTCCTTCAGCATTTCGTGACAGAGAAGGTTGAATGACATCGTCATGCTGCACTGGTGTCTGAAACAGCACACGTTGAATTATGATTAAGAAACCAGAAAAGACAGAAGGCGATACATGCGTGTGTGCGTGCGAGTTCCTGTGTACACGTGCGCGTGTTTGTGTGACTGGATTGAATTTAAATAAATTGTAAAATAATCTTTCTGTTCGTTATTTTGCCTTTGATGAAGGGTGAGGTACCAATTCATCATTCCGTGAAGACCCGGGTTTGATCATAGGTCTTCAGTAACCCCATGCTTGCCGTAAAAGGCGACTATGCTTGCTGCAAGAGGCGACTAACGGGTGGTCAGGCTCGCTGACTTTTGATGCATGTCATCGTATCCCAATTGCATGGATCGATGCTCATAATATCAACCAATGGATTGTCTGGTCCAGACTCGATTATTTACAGGCCGCCGTCATACAGCTGGAATATTGCGGAGTGCGGCGTTAAACAGCAGCAACAACAACAACAACAAAAACAAAAACAACTTTACTTGAGGTGTGGAGGTTTCATGTATTCATGGTTTCATGTGCATACATCATGGTATCCGAACTGTGACATTGTACGTATTGTGTCGCGATAAACTGTGCCGTTACAGCCGCAGCCACATTACTTATATTTTCTTTATAATTGTCAAACATGGCCATTTGCCATACGTTTTGTTTTTTTGTTACGCACGAAATATATATAATTTGGACGTTGGGTTTAATTTGGATTTAATTTTCCTGTACATAAAACATTTGAAATATCAAAGACATACTATCTGTCGAATTCATTTTTGTCTTTGGGTAACAATTATATGGAGGATATTTGTCTTTTCCTTTGTGGTGAAAATGTCAACTTTGCAGGTCACGAGATGAGATGTTATTTGAAAAACAATTAGACACATGTTCTATTTGTTGTGTATTTTCTGGCATGATTTTCATGGCATCAGTAACGTGAGTGAAATATCAATGTTAATTTTTTAAAGATAAATATAGTATTTTATTATCAAATACATAATAAAGTACATTACATTTTTCTTCTCTGTTGTCTCACGCTGCAATTTTCTAGCTATCAAACGGCGGCCTGTAAATAATTGAGTCTGGAACAGACAAACCAGTAATTGATATTGTGAGCAAAATATCAAAGCTATCTGGGTACGATGACAATTAACCAGGTCACCGCACCTGTCCACCCGATCCATTTTATCACCTCTATTTAACACAAATGTTTTTATGTGAAAACTATTTTTACATGAGTACTTCTTAAGGCTGATCTATTTCCCGAGTGGTATTAATGAGACTGATGTTCCGATGATAGTAACTTAATTACATCAGAGACTCCCTGATTGCACCTGGTCTTCACTGATCCCCGAATCTCCTCCTCATCCCTTCAATATTCGCCTAGTTATACATTCAACACCTGTGATTATAATTACTTATTATTTTGTACATCTTTCAGTACGTGGATCCCGGGCATTTCCCTCACACGTATCTTCCCGGGATAAGAGTGTCCACTGGGCTGATGACAAGTCCTCGAAAACTAGACGTTGATATAGACGATTCGACTCTCTTGCCTCGGGAAGACGCCTTCCTCACCCACCTACGATTTGATATTCTGGGATGGGGCCTGGGATTTTATCCACGAGTTAAAAAATATAATATATTAAAGCTTCAGACTGTTGAAATATTGCCTGCCTAAAAAATACATCGTTGTAAGTTTGGTTTTTTCCTTTAAAAAAATCAGGCTTATAGTTTTAAATTTAGGGGAAAAATTCTGGTTTCGAGGTTGCAGCCGTAAAATATTTAATGTCGATACAAATGCCAGGCACCCCCAACCCTACTACCAGAATATCAAATGATCGGTCCCTTATACGTGTCATGGAACCTACGATATTTTCGTACTTTCGGTTTCGTTTCGGTGCAGACTTCTTGTGTGCAGTGTGACCATACTTTTGTCAGGTTGTAAAAAAGGAGCTAATTGAAACAAAATATAAATAAGCATATCTGAATGTGATTATCCACCCAGTTGAAACATCACTGAAATACCCGCAATAGACAAGAGTGAAGTATAATACATCGACAGCTATTTATCTGTGAACTACTTACATAACAGAATAATACATATGCACCAGGAAGAACATACTTAGGTTACCAAACGATCGATGTGTCAATACATGCAGAGTGACTGAAACTTGATACAAATACGGGGAGTATCGTTACTACATTTTACACTTACCGTTATTTCACAGCGAAGAACATAACAGAGCGAGGAGAACGCAAACGATACACCTCGATCAGCTGCCAGCGACGTATCAAGGGAGACAACTCGTGTTGTTATTTCATGGCTTGCTGTCATGACGCCCCAGGTAAATAAACAAACATGGGGAAATGATTGACGGATATGTATAACTTCGACCGATGACACGTCTTAGAGTAGCCAAATATGTTCGTCGTGTGTTCTAGTCATTTACCTAATAATGACAAAGCTTAAACAAGGAGTGCACGCCCGAAAATATGTACGAGTATTTCCTCTTCTCCGGTCGTCACGATATGGCTGAAATATTGCCGATGTGACGTAAAGCATAAAACCACTGACGTAGCCACGTGAGCTGACAGTTTCTCAAATGCCACAAAATGAAAAATCAGTCTCTCGCTTATTTGCATGACGGTAAAGTCCCGTTAGACCGGAGCCTTTCAGATAAATAATGTAACGCTTTGTTAGAAACAGAATATATCATCAGTTACTACTTCAAGACAGACTTTGTTTTCTCAGTAACCTAAAAATGTTTATTTTTACCACAACACACATTTTTTCAGGCCATTACTTCACAAATGGTCCACAAGAAACACCACAAACGACGAAAGTACTTATCTTATAAAGCATAAGCCATTAAAAAGCAAGTAAAAAGTGTTATTGTACACTTGAGAAACACCTTGAGAACGAGCTACTGTACAACAAGACATGCGTACATGTATTTGCCTGGATGTCCTGTCCCGCACTAGGTATCATACACTGAGCAAATGTTGTACGTTTGAAAAAACGTATAATATGCATTAAGCATCATTTTGATCGAGATAATAATAAAGGTAGTCATCAGCAAGCCGGAGCATCTGTTGGAGACTAAGCAGAGCTGGAACATCCACTCTGGCGTCAAGTTCTGTCTCCTTCTCATAGTTCTTGATTGGCAGAACACAGGACCGGGGGAGACCCATCAGCTGGGCAACCGTGTCAACAAGATCAGACACGGTTATGTTTTTAAAGAGACCTGACAAATCTTTGTCCAGAGCAGGACACACCTTGTCCACCTTGGTCAACAGAACAACCTGGGGCACACCTGCAAGAAGTACAGAAAGGACAAAGGTGTAGAAGTGCAGGACATTATACAAACCAGTCCAAATGGTATGTCAGTAGTGATTGTGAACTCATTACATGGCCATTGCATATATAAACATTAATGTAAGTGTAATATTACAGATCCATTAAGCATTTTACACATGCAAAGGCACTGCTTCACTACAAACCTGAACTACTCGAGTACAGTCAGTGTGATACATGTATATGCTTACATCCTTACTAACATCTAAATTAATAGAGAAAATTCATCCTAAAGAGCACAGTGTATTAATCAATTATCATGGAAGCAGAAAGGGGTGCCGTTATGACAATAAAATGTTTATTCGATTCACTTAACTCCTTGCTATTATATTACAAATCCTGTGCATGATCCTGTGCATAGGGTACAGGTCACAAAGTGATCCAACACTGGCCCCAGGGGGGAACTGAAAGGGGCTTAGGTCCTGCCCCATACTGATTTGTTCGAATAAGCCCCTATTCACAAGGCAGCAATGGGCATCTGGTTATGGTGAGTGAGTGAGTGAGTTGGGTTTAACGCCGTTTGGGACATTATTCCAGTTTTATCACTTTCTGGTTATGAGATTGTGATGACAAAACCTTCTTGTACCTAAGATGCAACTTGTATTGTATGCTAACCCTGGTGCTGAGAACATAATTTGAGGGCACGCTGATCTGTTGACCGTGGTATTATATGTGTAGCGCCATGACCAAGCTCTAATGCCTAGGTACGGCAGATATTAAATAACACAGTTACTTTATGTATGCTATGCCATCTGATAAACAATACCTCGAGCATTTGCAGTTTCCTGAAACTCTTTGACAACGTGTAGGATCTTGTCCGAATATACGTCCACAGTGGAGGCGTCGACGACAAAGACAACGCAGTGAGCTGTATCTCCGAAGGCTGGCGATTTTCTGTAACCTTCTGTGTCGGGAACCAGCTTCGTAAATGGGTTAAACTGAACACCACAAAACATACATGCAGACACAGAAGTTTCTAAAGTAACCTGACTGCTCAAATGTTTAGAATATCTTTCCATTGTTAAGGGGGTCCGATGTACGATTTAGTTGAAAGTAAATAACCCGTATGCTGACACATCTGTGACTGTTCTTCTGAGAAGGTATGAGACCACATCATTCAAGCATGTCACATCTACAGCAATACTACTAAACATGAATTATTTGCATATACATATATTCCGAAGTAAGACTATCAATTAAACGTATTGCCAACAATTGACAGCATCTATTGGGAAGAAGTAAATCCTGCCGGGGTACAGAGCAGGAAACAGAGGTACTGTAAATACATATACTCCAAACTGTAGTGGCTTAACACAGATGGTTGTCCGTCTACACCCCGCATGTATCCTTGTGTTATACGTTGACCCTTTTAATGTCCATATACTATTTTCAAACACAAATCTGTGGTTGATGGTTACTGTAAAGTTCCTCTGCAACAGATTTTGATCTGGTGTAAATGTGTTCATTTTTCTAGCCACACTATGGCTGAAATACTGCCGGACAAAGGACACTCTAAGACAACGCGTAATTATGCACAACCTGAAATCCATTCTCGATGTGTCCATCGAGAAATGCCACCAAGTCCTCTGGTTTCATCCCCTTGTCCTCCTCCAGGCCTCGTGTGTCGCACAGACGGAACTTCAGCGGCGTACCAGACTTCGACCTCACTTTGTAAACCCTGAACTACATGTGATACAGAAAATATACATGGACGTAAGACGGACACCGATTGACAAACGGAAGTGTTCATCTAGTCGCTGTATAAACGATAGAATACCATTTCCAGATGAATATTGTTTAACTCTGCAGTCAGCAACGGCCAAGATTGTAATAGTACAGCCTGTTAAACAATCGAAGATGGACTTTGCAAACCAGTGATTAAGAGAATGAGCAACGGGGAGTGACAACCTATCCATGCTTCGACTCTTACGACATGAATGCATTACTAACAGGCCAAATATACTCGGAATCATCTTGAGTATATAATATTCAAATAGCGAAGTAAAAAGCCTCCAACACAACTGACAAAAAGTTTCCCATTATAATCTTGAATGAATTCTACCGTTTGTACTGTCTTACAACAGCAGGTTTGACTTCATCTAGCTCCTTCTTGTATCTCCCTGCACACATGATTCAGGAACTACGTACCATTGAAGTCAGACTATGGGTAGCACTGCCACTCCTTGCCTGACCAGTCACGTGGCCCCTGAACAAGGAGTTGATGGTGTTGAAATAGCTGGACTTGCCACTTCCTACTGCACCCACAAGCAAAAGATTGACATGGTCCAGTTTCGCTTCTTCAACGGGGCAGTAATTCTCCATTTGTGACATCAGCTTCTGATGAACATACAAGAGCAAAAATAACATCTTAAAACAAGATAATGCACCTTCGGCCAAGAGCTCATGATACTGATTACGGGTGATTGTCTCAAGACACCCATAGTCGCCTGTTATGGCAAGCATGGGTTGTTCTAAATATTCTAAACCGGATCTTCACGGGTCCACTGCTGATTACGTAATCGTCCTTTGTGGTCAGTGAATAATTCCGAATGACCCCAAGTATGTATATAGATGACTATATGCCTGGCCACCCGATCCACTTTAGTTGACGCTTATGACAAGCTTGTGGCCAGTTCTACCCCGGTATCCCCACAGGGTAAATAATGTTCAAAGAACAAAGTGAAAACCTCCCACCTTCTTCTGGCAGAAGACAGTCATCTATTAATAATCATCATGTGCATAAGTCATTATCAGTACTGGATTGTCACTGCCAATCGGTAACCACGTGACACATTAAAGTTCAAAATGACTACTTTCAAATTCATCATTGTGTATACGAGGTCTAAATCTTCCGATAACCTGCGGTGGAGTAGACTAGTGTGTGAAGCTCGGGTTTGATTCTCACATGGGAACAATGGATAGAACCCGTTTCTTACACACACCCAAGTCACGCACCCAGTTACTGATACAGAATGGCAACCTGTGCCCTGTGTCACGTGATTAGCAACAATTAGACACGCGGGGGATCCCGAGTAGTGGTACATGGACATTATGTAGCAATATACAGACGCTACACACCGGTCAGCGAGATACTAACCACCAGGTCCGTGTTGCCGGTGTTTCGCCAAGGCTCATCGAACTCGACATCTGCGTCTTAAGCAAGAAAAAAAACAAGATATGAAAAACAATAGCGAATCTAAATCATGGCCTTAAGTTAACACTATAATGGCGTATAAAGACGTAGTCTTCATTGTTTCTGTGTCTGCGACAACCTATGACGAAATTTATTAATTTCCCAATATCATGGTGTGACCGTTTCCAGTCTGTAATTCGTATTGTGTGTGTATTGTTGCCTCTATTTGCGTTTTGTTAGTAATAGATCCCCATTACATATTTCGAAATAACATCGTTCCAAATAATAAAAATGTATAATAGAGCAACAACCCATATATTAGGTCTGACATGAGGTTATTAAAGAAACGATAAAACACACACACACACACGCGCGCGCGCGCACACACACACACCAGTGCATAATCAAAACACTGCGTGGATATCAATAACATAGTCTAGTCAAAGCTGCTCGGCAAAAGAAAGTGTACAGACATGTTGCATGGTTGCTGAAAATGTAACAAACAGCAAATGGTTTTCGATGGTGATTTATTTGAAACGAGTATCATAGCGTTTGGATCTTAAGTTTGCAGTATTTCGGTGACTGCTTTCACCACAGTAAAGTGTAGATGACGTTTGTAATTTTAGGGTCAAATCAAATTTTCAAGTGCATAGTTCCTTTTGCACGGCAGTTTAGGTCACCACCATCTAAACCCGCGCTACTTGTAACCCTATGGATACAGTCTGATCATGTTATTCTACGTTAAAGAATTACTTTTTGTAACTTGACAAATCTAATTTCGGGTAAAATATAAATCATTCCGAAGGTTTCTACATAATGCATATATGCAAGAATAAATTAAAGGTTCTCCATTTTGGATGGAAGCTAAACTCTCTCAACACATAAGAATGACAATGATATTCACTACATGCCTAAACAACACTGACCTCTGACTGTAAAATGTGAAAGTTGTGATACGCTAGGTATGTTTTAAGGTAGAGATACGGAAGCCTTTAACTGATCATTGACTCAATCAATATTTGAATCCATGACAGACCCGTAAAGATCCGGGGTAGAATAGGTCTTCAATACCTATGCTAGCCGTACAGGCAACTTTGCTTGTCATAAGAGGCGACTATAACGGGATCAGGTGGTCAAGGCTTGCTGACTTGGTTGATGCATGTCATCGTATCCCAACTGCGAAGATCGATGCTCATGATATCAATCACTGGATTGTCTGGTCTAGACCGCCGTCATATAGCTGAAATAGTGCGGTGCTGAACAACAAAGAAAGGAATCCTTAATGGGGGATCATCTGATCGCATACAACACAAACAATTTACCTGACGACTGGTATAACTTGCAGCTTATTTAAAAGAAACTGAAACCAACTTTTTAGTAATTAACCGATGGAAACCACAATACACCAGCCCCCTGATCTACATCCATCTCAACCCCCCCCCCCCCCCCCCCCCCCCGCCCTTCCCTTGATGATTCTGCTTCTGGTTCATTAACTTCCCCTTACCTTGGACCTTGTAGACATCAATTTCCGACAGTTTGAGATTGCTTCCTGTGAAATCTGTAGCTGTGTCGCCAGCCATGTCATAGTCCGCCCCGTGTGTACCTGTTGTTTCACATGGGAAAAATCCATCAGACTTGAGAAAAGGACCTTTTTTAAGAAATTGTATGTCACTACCAAACCTTGGACCTTCACCTGAAGACTGGTATATTGCCCTTGCTTCATGTCCATCTTTAAGCCTGTATTTCTTGGGGTGAAAAGATCCATTTCTATCAAGCCTGAACAGAAATGCTCTGTCATCGTAATTCGTTCCACTGCGCCAGCTCACTGAGGTATAGCCCCCAAAGACCCCTCCAGTGGTATTACGTCCAACTGTCACAGTTGCTCCTACATTGTCACATCTGTAGTGGAATCTCGCGCTTCCACATTCATCTGTTGCAGTGCTGTAGAGCAGTTGGAACCGTTTGTTTCCTCCAAGCCACGTGGACAATTGTTTCCGATGGCATGAAGACAAACGTGAATTCATTTCCGCACTCATTTTCTGTGCATGTAGCAGGATCTGTGAACCAACAACAGCTGTCAAACTGGAAAACAAAATCAACAGTCTTTTCTTCAAAAGTACATGACACCCCACAAAGAAACACTTGTTGCAATATTACAGTTCCACACATCACAGTATGACCTCTTTTATGCATCTAACTCTACTTCTGTGTCACTTCACTGGGGGCTACGTCTAGGCTCTACAGTTAAATCACCCACCCTACATGCAAGACTTAGCCCCCAGTGACTATTTCCTGTTCCGGCAAATGAAATCTGCCCTAAGTGGAAGACGCTTCCAGGATAACGAGGACATAAAGGCTGCCACAGAGGCGTGGTTAGAGGGCCATTCTGTGGATTTCTATAAAACTGGTATTAAAAGCTTGAAGGACAAATGGAATAGGTATATTTAGGTGAATGGAGATTATATTGAAAAATATAAGTGCAAAAGATATCTTATATTAAAGTTGCAAAACTTATTGAATGCCCCTCGTATGTTGACGTCCCTATCGTTGTTGGTGTCGTTTCTAGGACGATGTGGTTCTTGGTGTTCATCTTATAGACGATGTATCCTACCACCAGAGACTTTCAGCTGTCCGTTTTCAACAGTGTCAAACAACATTTCATGCAGCTTCAAACATTCTCTGATGACTTATCACTCATGATATAACATTGCTGTAATTCCTACTTTCACATGACCGTCTTCGTGGTGTAGTGGTAGAGCGTCCGCCCGGAGAGCGGAAGGTCCGGGGTTTGATCCCCGGCCGCGTCATACCAAAAGACGTTAAAAGACGTTACTTGTTGTTACCCTGTCTGGCGCTCGGCATTAAGGGGCCAAAACAAGGACTGGTCGGCTCGGAGTCAGTATACTGTGTCTGAGTGGGATATTCATGTAAAACTGCGGCATGATATGTCAGTGAGCTAGCACTATAAATCGGCATCAGTCCGGACTAGTACAAGCAGCCACACACAAACACGTGCATGCACGTCGCTATATAAGTGCAATAATCTTGGACGCGACGTTGAACCCCATTTCACCTCACCTCACCTACTTTCACCTAGCTTCTTGTCGGAGAGTATTTCACGCGTATCGTCAACACACCTGCACTTGGCTACAACAACACCAGGGTATTTTAGTGTCCAGATACCTTCCTCTCAAAGAAGCGACAATTCCTCTCCGCAGACTCGACCTGTATGTCTGTCTGTTTCAGCCCTTCCCTGAATCAAACTGTTTACCTTACCACACACAGCCTAAAAATTGGTTTCGTGAATATTTCTGATCACAATATGTTCAATAGTACAATGTACAGTAGATGGTATCACTTTTGATGTTAATCCTTTGAACAAAGTATTTTACATGGACACACTGTAAAACTTTGCCGTAAAATATACGGTAACATAACGTGAAAATGCAACGGTAGGATTCTGTTATGACACTTGTACGCCGGAATGCCGTGAACGACAAATATTTTACGGCGTTTCACTGCACCAAACGAAGTTTACGCGACGCTACCGTTTGGCCCCAAGGCATTGTGGGATACTGCCATCCACGCTGCCGCCATTTCACGTTGACCTGAGAAGAATCGTTCCAGAATCTGATGTCACAAGACTCATCTGTTGGTAATTTGTACACATTCGATGTCTAGAGTATGCAAATCAAGGGTTCACATGTTTATTATTTAGGTTTTCTATTGTGTGCTTCTGTATTTTTGTTCTTGACAAATGGTATGACGTATCATTGCAAAGAATGTAATTTTGAGACTTGTATTTTACGGCAGTATGTCAGACATTATCGTTTACACAGACATGTACCAAATATTTTATTTCCCTGTTGCCAAGACCTTTGTGTAAGAAAATTTCGCACGTACAGTGCGTTTCGGGCACACGTATTACGTGATCACAAGCTTAACACAAACATAAGTCAACCAGGGTCAATACACGGCCAGTCACATTTACGTCTTGTGTGCAGGCAAAGCTTTTGTGAACATGAATTCTCTTCTATTGATGAGCTCTTGAAACACTTGCGACAGCATTTAGAGAGACGAGATCCCATCATTTGTCCATTCAAATCATGCAATACCAAAATTCAAAATAAATCAACATTCTCATCTCACATAAGCAGAAAGCACAAGCATCATGCTATATCAGAGTTATCGGATTCAGTTCACAGGGCTAATATCACAAATAATAATCTAGATGATCGTCAGAATTGCATGTCTGCACAAACCGACAACAGGCCCACTGAAATTGATCATGATGAAAATGAAAATGAGGATGCTGATTTAGATGACACCACACAAAATCAGTTCCTGAAAAATATTTCTCAGTTCTACTTAAAGCTGGAAGCAAAACACTTGCTACCCGTATCTTTGATTCAAGATATTATAACAGAATACCAAGCTCTTCATGAATTTAGCAATGACATTGTAGTGAGCCGAATCATAGAGAGGCTTAAGTCAAATGGGATTTCAGATGTCATCATTAATGACATCAGAGATGACATCAGAGCATCGGATGTCTTTTCTTCTTGCAATACAGGCCCTTTAAGATCAGCAAAGTGTAGGTCAACTTTCTACAAACAACATTTTCCATATGTACCCCCACAGGAAGTAGTTTCGGGTTTCAGTGAAGAAAGTGGGAAGGAACAAACATTTCAGTATGTCTCCATTCTCAAAACATTGTCAAGCATATATACTTACCAGAGATCACACATGGCAAACCATAATAACAGTGGCGTATCTTGTGAGCAACAGTCAGGTTTTCAGGACATTCACCAGGGCTCACTGTTTAAAGGCAATGAATTCTTTCAAACACAATTGGGCTCATTTCAGATTATTTTGTACCAGGATGCATTTGAAGTTGTAAATCCTCTGGGTTCAGCTAAAAGAAAGCACAAGCTTGTAGGAGTATATTTTACTCTCGGAAATTTCCCGTCTTTCAAGCGTTCCACAATTGACCATATGCAATTAGTTATACTTTGTCGTGAAAAAGACCTGAAGCAATTTGGTCCAGATAAAGTTTTTGGTCCATTGGTGAAGGATTTGAAACACCTTGAAAGTGTTGGTCTAGATGTGGGAAATGATCTTTTCATTAAAGGTTCCTTATTTTGCATTCTTGGTGATAATTTGGGTTCACACATGGTTGGGGGCTTTGTGGAAAGTTTTAGTGGAAAACATGTTTGTAGATACTGCCTTGCTGAAAGATCAGAAATGCTTCATGAATCCTTTGCTATTAGAGGTGAGAAAAGAACCCAAGAAAATTATCAAGAAAGTGTCCAAATAGTGCTCAGTGAAGGTCTTAACAACCACAAAGGAATAAAGCAAAGTTCTATCTTTAATGAGTTACAGCACTTCCATGTAGTAAGTGGACTGCCACCCTGTATAGGGCATGACCTATTTGAAGGAATTCTTGCCTATGATATGAAGTTGGTCACTGATTACTTTGTGATCACCAAAAGATGGTTTACCTACGACCAGCTAAACAAAAGACTGATTGGGTTTCCCTACACAGGCTATGATGCCCTTGACAAACCCTGTGCTGTAAACCCCACCTCAGATAGAATGCCAGGACATGCAGTACAGAACTGGGTATTCATCAGACTGTTTTCCCTGTTTGTTGGAAAATATGTTGCTGACACAGAGGTCAGGGTTTGGGCCTTTTTCCTTTTGATTAAAAAGTTGGTAGAAATTGTCTGCACACAAAGTTTTGAAGTTTGCCAAATTGCAATTTTGAATTCTGTCATAGAGGATTATTTGCATGAAAGGAAAGAGATTTTTAATGTTCAGATGCGTCCAAAGCACCATTATTTGGTACATTATCCAGAACTGATTTTGAAGTTTGGGCCTCTGATCCGCCTCTGGACACTTCGATTTGAAAGCAAACACTCCTACTTCAAGAAATGTGCTAGGAAACTTCAGAATTATAAAAGTCTAGCAAAAACACTCTCCCAGAAACACCAGCTTTTGCAGGCTCTATACAATTCAGGTAGTCTGTTTCCAAATGAATTTGAAGTGGAAATACTATTACCCTTTCACCCTGAAATGTATTCAGAAAACATCAAAGCTGTTCTGTCAGGGTGTGGCTTAACTGGTTCAAACTCTATGAAGGCCACAAAGGTTTGCATAAGAGGTATAACATACAAATTGGGAAACACACTGGTGATCAGCCAACCAACTTCTTATGAAATGTTAGTTGGATGTATTCAAGACATATTTGTAGAAGGAAATACAGTGTATTTTTTGGTCCATGAAATTTTATGCACATATATTGATGCTATGGATCTTTATGCGTATGAAAGTTCACTTGATCATGATTATGATGTGCAGTGTCTAACTCTCTCTCAGTTTGCAGATTGTTATACAGTGGAGATCTATTTTGAATCAGGGACGAGCTACATTTCCCTGAAGCATTCATTGTCACAGTGACTGTCAACGCTGACAATGGCCAGTGGGATTTCTGAGGATGAGAAATGTCTCAAGAGACATGTACTTGATCTTATTGGTAACCTGGATGAGGACACTTTGAACAGTATTGTTGATGTTCTGAATACCTTAGGCGTCACACATGTGGATGACCTGAAGTGGGTGACACCGGATGATCTGGTAGGGAGAGTCAAACCTGTTCATGCAAGGAAGCTACTTAGCCATTCAGTGTGTGAGTAGTATTATATTTATTTCATAGCTAATGCACATTCACCCAATTTAATGTTTCGTCTTTCAGCTTCTTATGGTAAAAAGGGGGCACGGGTGGCCCAGTCATCTAAGGCGCCGCGATTCGCTGTGCAGAGTTGCGTCCCTTGGGCACGCCAGAAACCTATGATTGTGGGTTCGAATCCCGGTTCACCCCGATTATGTTTCTAGGTTTGTCAGCACCATACCCGTGCTCGTGGGTTTCAACGGGCTTTCCTCCCACATTAAGCTGACATGCCGCGATATAACTGGAATACTGTTAAAAGCGGCGTTAAACCCAACTCACTCACTCACTCTTATGGTAAAAATGGTTATTCTTGAAAGTTGTTGAAGCTGAGTACATAGTGTTACATGTCATTACAGTTTGTTGTGTTGTTGTCTGCCCTTCCACTAATAATTACATACCATGTAAGACATGGCTATTGGAAAACAAAATACAGTTCTAAGTCATTATGTATGATAAGGTCACAAAAAAACTTTTGTGGCTGCTGTCAAAAATAGGGTAGCTGTGTAGGCAGTTTTGTTTTAATACAATTGTGGAAGGGGGTGGAGTGTATCTTAACCTGAAGCAAGTAATTTTTAATTGTATTGATTCTCCTTCAGAAATGTTATGTAAATGCTAATAAAAAAGTTAGGGTAGTCACATATATTTGGGGTAGGTCAAGTAATTGGAATCACAACTATTTTTGCTAAGCCTTAAGGGTTATATGTTTGCATAATTCTCAGTATGATACTACTAAATTTGTCCATTTAAAAATAGTCTGTAATTTCAGCACAACCATCAAGAAGTGTCCCCTCACCTTCATCCAGTGTGGATTCATCCATGTCATTCTCACCGAAGAGTCCGGGTCCAATATTGATACACAACATAAACACTGATCCCAACTGGCCTGTCAAATTAGAACTCCCATTGAGAGATGTTAGTGCTGCTGTGAGAAATGATTTGGAAAGGGGGAAGAGACTACATCCAAGTGCCAGACAGGACCTTGTCAGATTGTTTGTTGATGCAGTCAGGAAGAAGACTCAACATGCATCGAGACCCCAAATGTCTGTCATCGCCCAGAGGATGACTGCACGGTATCCTGATAGTCTACAGGATAAACTGGATGGGTCTATAATCGGTTCGGGATATGACAGTATTCTAAATAAACTTGTCTCCAGGAACGAAAACCTAAACAGATCACTGAATGCAAGTAGGATGTGTCTTTCTCGCAAGAAGAGACCACTTGCTAGTGATTCAGGTTCCAGTGATAACTCAGATAATCCTGAAGGTGGTTGTGCTGCTGCAGCAGCTGAACGACGAGACTCTTATGGCTGCATCAACTGGATGCCAGTTCTCACAGGGGACACCGAATGCCAGGATATGGAACATCACAAGAATAATTTAAAGGCAATGTATGAGAATTCAGAAACAGATTATGAGAAGGTATCACGCTCCATGAAAGCTAGTTATGCTCTACAGCGCAAAGAGATTAATAGTGGAACTTCGATGGATGAACTGAAGGAAGAGTGGCCTTATCTGTTTGAGGTCAAGGGTCTTTTGGCTCATGCTAATGAGCTTTTGGGAATAGACATAAGGAACGCCTTAGGAACTGCTTATAGAGACAAAGCGGTGAGAATAAATAGATTCTTCAAAACTAAATCCAGTTTCAAGTGTGAGATGATCTACGAGGAAGCCAGAAGGCAGAGTGAGAAGGATAATGTCAAGGCTTGGTTGGTCGCAGTGATTCTGTGTGTTCTGAACCATTTTGGTGAAAAGGAAAAGGATGTCTTCTTTGTTGTTGATGTAAGATGTATGTTTAATACTACAATTACCATCACAAATCGTTCAAACTTGATTTCAAGATGAAAAGTTTAAACTTGACTTGACATCTATTCATTGCTAATGTTTCTCTAATGTCTTCAGTTTCAGTATGAGACTATAACATTTCTGAAAAACATGCTGTTTCTTGAATATCATACAGACAGAATATTATATTTTTCACCATCTGTTGGAACAGGAAACAACAAGTGTTGGAGCAGCAGAGAAGTCCACAACAAAGGAATCACTACAGCTGATAGTTTTTGGTAAATGTTTTACTCAGTCATTCAAATGTAATATTGGGCTCTCTTGGTGCTATTTTGTTTTCTAGAACATACTTGCACAGCAGAACAGTTTTTCATACATACTGTAACAGTCTTGCTAAATCTTATTGAAATTTAGTAGTAACATTATAAGTTTCACTGTGAATAGTTACGGATGGTTATATAATGTATTTTAGATTATCAGACACTAACTTCAGAATACATCACTATCCAGTCAGTTTATAATAGAATAGTATTCTTCACCCACTATATCTTTTACTTTTTGTTCCAATAAACAGGTGATTCAGTCCTTGCAGGCAAGACATACATGTTGATGTGTGACAGAATGGTCATTTCACCCATGGACAGAATCCAAAGTTTCATGGACGCCTTCTCTGCATTCTTTGCATCGTTCTATGTGTTTAATCTGGAGTATCCCCCTGGGGCTTCAACAACCATGGAGTTTATTCAGAGGTATTCCACATTCATTCAGGCTTTTTTGTACTCAGAAGTTATGTGAGAAAGTTTGCTCAACTACAAATTGATTATGTCAGATTTTTTGTTTTGGATAACACTTTCTTAGTAAAGTACAGTTTCTTGTAAAAGAATTTAGCTGAGTCCCCCCCCCCCCCCCCCCCCCCCCCCCCCCAAAAAAAAGTAGAAGAATCTGTTCTTCACTAAGAAAGTGTTATCCAAAACATAGCATTAGTTATATTTGACCACTTTCTGAATGGCATTGTGTGCAGCGTTAGAAATTGGCACTAGTCCTGTAGTCCATACCAAACTGCCCAATAGTAAAGGTATCCTAAGGAGTAGTAGAAATTGGCCCATTTTAAGGGTTTTGCTATATGTTATCATTATAAGGAGTAGTGGACAAAAACTGTTAGTTTCTAACCCTGGTGTGTTTAAAGCTTTTGGCCATAGGAGCTGTGCCAATTTACACTGGTCAGAGGGGTACACAAAGTACATGCATTGATCTAGTTGTCAGACTTTAATTTTGTGGAATAATAAGGGTGAGTGACTCTGTGTGATGGCCATTAGGTGCCTCACTAGGGCAGTGTTGGTTTGAATCCCGAATGGAACTCTTCCCCAAAAAGTACTAGAATATGTACTTTACTAAGAAAGTGTTATATTGACCACTTTCTAAATGGCATTGTGTGTTCACACAAATTGATTGATTGTTTTGAAATTCAATTTATTCTTGCCATGTTAGTCACATGTAGTACATTTAGTATTAAAATGTGAAGCTCAAGTATACAATGCACTCTGCACAAGCAAGGCACGTTTTGGTCTGTGTATAAAGATAAATAAAGAACTCGGGACAGTACAATATTCTTTAATAAAATAATCATACATGATACACATCTCTAAGTGAATGTTTAGTTGTATTTTAATGTGATTCAGGTGTTTCATTGGCATCAACCCTGATAGAGGATCGAAAGGGAACCAAGGGAAGAGGAAGAAGACAAAGATTAACCCCAAGGTTCTCAGCTTAATCAACGCTCTTGCGGATTTTGAGTGGCTGGAATCTGACATATAGCCTGTTCAATATGCAGCAGAGATTTTGTTAAACTACACAGAGTGTAGGCGCAATTGATAGTCTGATTGTCTGATGGTGTCTATCTATCAGATAATAATGAACAATTTTGTTTCTTGTATGTAGTTGGTGCTGTTTGATTTTGTTTATATCAATATTGTGAACTGTTCACGGTATTCCATTGTCTTTTGAGAGTAAGACAGATAATTGAAAGTTTATTTTCTATAGAAGTTATTCATACCTTGTCAGTGTTCGTCAAGGATGTGAAGTAATAGGAGCAGTTTAAAATGTTTGATACTGTATGGTTAGAGATTGCTGATAAAGTTAAAACTTCAATGGGCTTTTTCTGAGACATTTAGCTGTCTTCATTTATAATAATCTGAAAATCCTAGTTTAGACATGCTTATTTCCTGTTCAAAATGCAGCAGATATTTTGTTAAACTTGAGGAAATATCAGTACTGCTTGTGAGTGTAGTATGCTTATTGATATTTCCACAAAGGAATTCCTTTCAGAATTGTGAGAGACAGTTTTGTTAACTGAATGTTGTGATTTAAGTGGAGAATTTCTCTGCAAACTGACATCATACTGGCTTTCAGATTGGAAATATTTGAACAGCCTGTAGGAGCAATAAATGAAAGGAACAAGTTTGTACAAAGAAGGTCCTGTTTTGTCAAACTCTTTCTGTTATTGCATGCTAGAGACTAGGTCATACTGATTGATTGTGTGTCATTTAGTAAAACATGATTCGACAATAATTGAAATTCATATTTCCAGGTTTCTCTTTCATAGCATATAGTAGTGTTATCACGATTGTTTCTTGTTGAAAGTTTTCAAAACTTTAATCTTCTGGGATTTTTAATTTGATGTGTTTTTTTCTGGATTAGTCTCCCTTTGTGAGTTTCTTTAAGACTTTACTTTTTTATCATTTAAGGTGACCATCATCCATGTTAGTGTAATTGGATTCTCTAGAAACACAGGACACTGGCTTAATTGGCTACTTTTCAATCTGGGTTGTGTTCAGGTTGTATTGAGCAACTGTGCAAGAGGCATTCCAAGTTTTGGAAATGTAACTCTGGTTGTGTTTGGAGTCATTCAAATAAGATTTTTTGTTCATGTTACATGTGTCCTTCACATCCCAGTTTAGGCAAATTCAGATGGATTAGTCAGTTATATTGTGACAGACTTCATGATTATTAGTGAACAATTAAACATGTCTACTCAGATATTTCGGAATTTAAAAGAGATGGCCATATGTTACTGTTTACATACTTGAAGGTTCCAGAATATCAGGAAATGTCTCTTCTCATGTCAACCTACAGTTGCTATTCACACAATGTTGTGTTTTGTCATTTTCCTCCTTAAACTGACCAAAATACAAGAGGGTATATCTACTATGATGTGTACTAATCTTTACATTGTAATACGAACTGTTGTAAAAAAGAATAGTTTCACACTACAAAAAATAAAACATGAATCATCTGGTTCAAGGATTCCAGTAACACAGTTGTATCTTATTTTTTGAATAGAATGTGTTCGAAGCTGATCATAACCATACATGATGAATCTTTAGAAAATGATTGTGGCTGTCGTAACAGCTTGTAAACAAGACCATATTTGGACAAAGCGATTCTAGGATTACAGCAGTTTTAAGTCCCCTGCTATAGCTGTGGCTTAAACTACTGGAGCCTTAGAATTGCCAGAGTTTTACCGTATTTGTCACGGTATAAATAATTACCGCATACCGTAAAGCTACTGGCTTTGTACCGGCAGCATGGCTGCCAGAATTTTACCGTATTTTTCACGGTATAAATAATTACGGCATACCGTAAAGCTACTGGCTTTGTACCGGCAGCACGGCTGCCAGAATTTTACCGTATTTGTCACGGTATAAATAATTACGGCATACCGTAAAGCTACTGGTTTTGTACCGGCAGCATGGCTGCCAAACTTTTACCGTAATAATGCACGGTAAAGTTTTACAGTGCACTTCACGCCCAGATATGGATGCATTCCGTCTACTTTAGTAAACCTATATGCATAAACAATTACTTTTGACAAATCAACTGTGCAAGATTAACAATGATTAATCAATCAACGCATAATCGGTTAATCCTTTGATCAATGTTTTTTTTATAACTCAACTGATCATTCCTCCTTTGCTGCCCTGTCACGTACATATTTCACAACATGTCACACATCAGACCTGGGTTCACCTGCACAAAGCGATCTTAGCGCTAAGACTATTGTAAGCCTATGTTAAAGTATGGGAGTTACGATCATCTTAGCGCTAAGATCGCTTGTGCAAGTGGGCCCTTGATATATAACCCAATCTTAGGTTGAATCATTGCCCTGACACTTATTGCTATATATCGTCGAAACCCTCAGAGGCAGGGGAGAACGTAATTTAAGTTATTTTGCATAGTTTCTGTCGGGTAATCTAAGTGGTTCTACCACTAATTATACTCGTAATAAAGTTATTAACTGATCATCAAGAACATGACGACAAAATATACTAGAGTAGGTTTAAACAGAGGCCATAAACCGGTACGTGGTCTCTGGTTTATACCATGAAATATGGGTCACAAGAAGTGAGTGGTTATGGTTGTATTATTATATGCATTTTGCCTGATAAAATAAGGGTCGTTGCTGTTGAGCATATGAACTGAATTTCATTGTTGCAAAACTAATACGTAGACGTATATGCTGTATACTAAACTGCATAATTGTACATACACATTTTAACATGCAGACGGATTTTGCAAGGTGAAAGGTCATAGTAAGCACCATCAATCAAAAGCGAGAATTCAAAGGTATTCCTTTGTTGCCTGTGAACGAGGTCCCCCAACTGCCCCTTCCCTGACCCCAAGCTCAGTTTGTTGGGTTGCGGAGGCTAATTGGCATCCGGTGATGACGCAGGCTAATTTAAACGGCGCCGGCTAGACGGCTTACAGTTGGAGCATTGTTTCCCTTTAAGACAATACACCCCTCCCCCACCCCCTTCACACCCAACACGCAGAAAGAGGTACTCACTTACTGACATACATCGCTATAACGAAATACATTAATGAATTTCCTCACTCCCCGGCATCAACTCCCCAAGCCCCAAACCACATCTGATGCCTACGAAATAATATAATAAACATCTTATGTATTGTAAATAAGTACGCGGGTTAGAATTGGTCTTCAATAACCCATGCTTGCCGTAAGAGGCGACTATGCTTGTGGTAAGAGTCGACTAACAGGATCGGGTGGTCAGGCTCGCTGACTTGGTTTTGATGCATGTCATCGTATCCCAATTGCGTGGATCGATGCTCATGATGTCAATCACTGGATTGTCTGGTCCAGACTCGATTATTTACAGACCGCCGTCATATAGCTGGAATATTGCTGACTGTGTCTATTAAATATTTTTTACCCTGTTACTTGTACTCATTTTTGTTTTTTTATTTTTTTTTAATTATATTTATTTGTACGCAAGTTGATATTCTCACGATCTTACCAAACTGCGAAAGACATGTTTTATTGACTGCACTGTATTTTTAAATTCCCGGACGTCTGATGAAACCTCCCGGACGTTTCCGGACGTCTGATGAAACCTCCCGGACGTTTCCGGACGCCCCCGGACGTTCCCGGGCGTCCCCGGACGTTAAATAGTAGGACCCTAGAAATGTAAATGTCAGTTTCGGTTTCTTTTTTAACAAAGTGCAATTATATTTACATTGTATACGGCGGACATTGTTTGTTCCAAATAATATTTTTTACAACGGTAAAAATACCTCGAAATAATTGTGCAGACAAACCTGATCTTCATTCTATCAGCTGACCGATGATCTAACAATAACATACCGCCCCATGTCACAGTAAGCTGTACCTGAACGTTATCGGTGGGTTGGTCAGAGTTCTGTATAAATAAACGTTACTGTGTGTAAATGAACATGCAATGAGGATAAGGTCGATTGACAAGCAATAACATACACACGTCTTGTGCCGAGAACAAGGAGGCCAATGGACTTCAAGAGGGCAATCCGCTGTGCTGATCTCCCTCTCGTGAACAAGGAAGTGAACTTTCGGTCTGTTATAGGAAGGAAGCTAACTCTATGCAGCAAGTGGCAATTTGTGGAAAATCGTAAAGTGCACCCGTAATTACGATCGAATCGCGTGACAATTACTCCACGCGTTTATTGTTGTCAATGTTATCAACGGAAGCTATACATGAAGGTGATACGGTACAAATCATTATTCCACTGTTGCAAGTGTTAGGGGAAAGGGTTTTGCCTCAAAATAATAATGAAAATTGAAATGAACTTGTAAAGGAATTATATATTTCATCTGGTTTTCAATGCTCGAACAACATGAGCTTTATATTCATAATAGTATATGTATTGTTGTAATCCAGCTCACCATCAAAGCATTTAGTCGCCTAATACGAATGGCAATTTTCAGGGCCATCCATGTATATATTGTCATATGTATATATTTCTCATCTCCAACCTCAAACGAGTGGTCGAAATAATGTAATTACTTTTTTTATATTTTTATTTTCACTATATGGTTAAAACACGTGATAACAGTCTTTAAAATATGTGTTGCATAAATGCATGACGTAGAACGAGTCGCTTTGCTTCGGAAACGAAATTTTGATAACCATAACTGAAGGAAGATCAAGTACACCTGCTTTTTTATGAGTGTTTTTTAATCACATCTAAAGCGGCGTGGAAAATTGAAATACGAAAACATTTTATTTTTTCTCTTCGGAATAATCATGGTAGGGGTCTTGTGGTTTTAAATTCATTTCTTGGCTCAATCTCCAATGAACCAATATATTTTTATACAAAATTACTCAGCCACAACTTTACAAACTGTAGGAATGAGTGTGGGTTAAAGAGACATAATTAAATTCATCAATATTTCTTTCAATGTTCAATGACATAAACAACAAACTCGGTATGCTTTGTTTTGTACCTCGGTTTATACAATGTATAATCAATATAGTAGTAAAAACAACCATGAACATCATACATAGAGGTATATACGTCAGTTCAAGTCATTTAAGCGTAAAAGTGGGCGGCTGAGTAAGTATAATTTTACGCCGCTTTTAGCAATTCTAGCAAAGTCACGTCGAGAGACACCAGCAATGGGCTTCACCATCCATATGGGGAATCGAACCCCGGCCTTTGGCATGACGAGCGAACGCTTTAACCAGTGGCCTTCCCCAACGCCCCACTCTTTGAGAAACAGATGTAAGAGCTAAGTATTGGAGTGAATGAGTGAGTTTAATGTTAACGCTTTGCATTACTTCAGCCATGTCGTGACTATTGGAAGACTAGAAGGGGCATCATCATGGCAATAACGGTAGTCATCAGTGGAGTGTTGACAACGTTCACGGACCCGTTGGCTGCAATTAAAAATATAATATTGAAAATTTATAATGCAAACAAAACAAAACATTACCACAACATGGTATAAAGACTTTATACATGATACGTATTAACTGCGTGTATTTATTTAATAAAGTGTACAAATACTATCAAGGCAAATAGAAAACTGAATGATTATACGGCTTCTTTTTCAATGGATTACTGTTGTTTTTCGTTTAAAGCCGCGCTCAACAATATTCCCTTGCCCCTTATACACGCAGCCCAGACAGCGAATGGGACTTCTCACAGAAGGCACTGCAAAGTCAAACCCACCCAGAACTTTTCGGAGAACTGGGTACTAGGGATGCAAGTGTGACAATTCGAAAGCGAGGTCCAAAACCTTTTCCGGAATCTTGTCAATGACATTTGTGTCTAAAGGGACAGAAAATTGGTTGATCAGGGGTTTTTTTCTAAGCCTAACAAACAAATCCAACAACTGCGAAAGTGCTTTTAGTTTTACTTATGAACATAATTTTCTCTGCTTTTCAATTCACTTCTCATATCGATAGTGAAGCTTTTCAACTCCAGCCAGGAAGAAAGAAGTTTTCTGTAGCCACCCTGAAAAAGCCTATTCACTGCAGCTTTGAGGTCATCGTTATCGTCATAGTGCTTTCCACGAAGCTGTTCTTTCAGTTTAGGAAACAGGGGGAAATCACTTGGTGCCAGGTCTGGCGAGTATGGAACCCATGCTGTTGCACAGCAGCCTTTGTAGGTCGAGAGGAGTGAGGCATTGTCATGCAAAAATAGAACTCCAACAGTCAGCATTCCTCGCAGCTTTTCTTTGATGAACTCTCTCAGGCAATAAAGCTTATCAGCATAGTAGGGACCGGTAATCATCTTTTGACTTTTTCGGTATTCAACGAGGATCAAACCCTTTGCATCCCAGAATACAGTGGTCATTACTTGCTTCACTGTTCTTGTAGACTTTGGTGCCGGAGAAGTGGCATGGTGCCATTCACTGGATTGACGTTTTGACAGCGGCATCATGGTGGTAGGCATATATTTCATCACCCGTTACTAATCTCCTTTTCTATTTGACGAAATCCTCCACCCACAACTTTTCCTTAAGATTGTAATTTAAAAACTTTGGTACTCAACGAGCAGATATCTTATTCATCTGTAGATTTTCATGAATAATAGTTTCAGTGGGTCCATTCCTTAGACATGTGCATTCCTCAAGTTCAGCAATGGTAATACGTCTATCTGACAGTATACGTTTTCTATATCCTTGATTGATGTTAGTTGAGGGTCGTCCAGACCTAGGGTCATATCAAGGCCTGTTCGCTCGACCTTAAACATAGCTGCCCAACTTGTAACAGTGGAATAGCTGGGGAAAAACGTATCCCCTCTACACTTGTGACATGCGGTCATGGATTTCTTGGGGTGTACGTTTCTCTAAGATAAAAAAACTTCATGACTGCTCGGTAAACGTTCTTTGCTATTGCTGAGTCCATTTGGACCCCTATCGCGTTGAAGTGGCTGTCATTAATATACAAACGGCCTCAACAGACCGAATATACTTGCAATGCACTACTCAAACAGTGTACTACATTGATTAGTTTACTGTGTTATGGCCCATAGTGGAAAGTTAGTCAGAGTTAGAACCTTTTGATCAGCCCTCGTATCGTTGGTGATACATTTTAACTTATCATCTTCTGTTATGTGATTTCTTAAGCAACCTTGTGACTCAAAGACCTCATGGTCGGGTAATGTTCTTCTTCTGTTATGGATGGGGGAACAATGTCTGAACCCCATGACAGGTAAATGCGCGTAATGCACATGTTGACATATATGACGATAATGATGAAGAACTGACAGATCAAAGACAACAGGTCACTATGTCATTAAGAAATGACTTCAATGTTTTTGCAGACTTTGCGTAAATCCCCAATAAACGATGTTTTATTGAAATCAATTCATATAAACAGGCCATAACGACAAATATTGCCACAAAAACTGTGAGAACAAAACGAAGTCGGTGACATCAGATTATTAGCCAATCAGGAAACAGTAGTCCGCAAGTGGGCGTGGCCTTTTCGACTTCTGGGGAACAAAAACGTACAATACATTGCTTGATTAACCAATCAGATGGCATAGAATCACTTGCAATTTATTTATTGATTAATATCCTATAACATGGGCGTACCTACCTGGTTCACAGGCTGACTGTCCGAAGTACGGGGGACAGGCTGAAAAAGTGCACGTGTTTGAAGACAGTATGTACAGGAATAAGATATAACTAATTGCATGTTAAGAATTATTCTCACTCATTTCATTTCACTCCGCAGTGAATAACACAAATTAATGTATCGTTTTCCCAAATATATTTTACCCCAAAAAATTAATGCGAACCTGAAATCCATAAAATATAATCAACAAAGGTAGTGACTTTAATATAATTGTACAATATAGTTAACGAGAACGTGTTATTAAATCGATTATATTTTTCTTGCTCTTTGACTGAGCCGGGGTCTTACTGACGGATATTATAACGCGCGCTGCAAGTGGAACCTGTATTCAGTGATTGCAAGTTGCTTATGTTACCATTTTTCTGTGACGTCAGAAGGAATGCTGCAGGGTTTATACACAACATCTGTAGGATGGTATTGGCTCGGGACTGTAGCCGTGGAGACAAGGTCTGGCGGCGGCTCCACACAGTGGATCTGGCAGATACACACTCGCTGTTGTTCATCTTCAAGCATCCGTACATGACAGCATAGCTGCTGTAATCTGTGTCAACGACCCAGTATGGATACTGATCTGAAATGACAACATCAGCTCAATTGGTCACACAATATCCTTCGATAAGAATAAGGTGTAGGATTAAGGTACGGTTGGACAGGTTTCGCCTAGACATAATCGACATTCCTCGATCATAGTACACATTCTGCCACCTAGCGTCTTGACATAACAAGATTCCTAAAACGAAAAGACTATAGTGTTGATATTGTTATAATATCTAGCTTAAGAGAGGCATCTGTTTAGATTTCATTTTGTCTGTTTAATGAAATAGATGAGGCTCCCCATACAGTATGTTGGTGGTTGTTCTAATACAATACTAAATACATACCATCACTGTTGCCTTTCACTTTGAGGGTAAACTTCCCCGGGGTTTCTGACTGTTCCATTATGGCCTCCCTGTAGAAACAGCCTTGCTTGTTCCTTACAAAGAGAGCTATATCTATTGAATCTCGTCTTGGTGTATACAAGAGAATATTTCCTGAAGCTACGTAGTGTATTTATTCTGGTATTCAGGTTAGAAGTAACATTGCAGTAAGATTCAGGGCAACATCTCCAGTGGTACACGACTCATACCTTCCTCTGATGAAGGCGGACACTTGCCCGTCACTTCCCACAACGTACTCGTGTTGATAGTCTTGGAAAAGTTCAGACGGTGGAATGTAGGACTGAGCCAACCATCTCATTTCATACCAGCTCCCAGAGTACTGTCAACAGTCAGCAGGGTCAGATGTATTGTCAGTACAATCACGAAAGAACAGCATTTTGAAATATATTGCATGGGAAAATAAAGATATGAACTATTTAAACCCTGGTCGTCCTGCGTTTTCGTAGAAACGCATCTCTTAATTGATAAAATAAATTGGATAATGTGAATGTGATGTCAACTGTTATACATATTGTCATCAAACACTACCACCAGCCTACTGATGTTCAGGGGTAGCTGAAAATGTGGCCTGACTATGTGGAACTGAGTGAATGGACTTGGTTGCTAATTATTTGCATAATTCTTCCCAGACAAATCTTTCTTCCCGCACTGCAAACACGAAAACGTCGTTTTTTTCCGTATATGGTCATTGGACGGAAAAACGACTAAAAATTCATTAAAATTGATTAATTGGTCAGCGTCTAGAAAGTGTCCAGAAAAGGGTCGAGTTTTTCAAGCGTAAAATGGACGGAAAAACGATGCTTTTTACTCCGCCTTGTACAACTGTTAACGGCCAATCAGCTTCCAATCGGAAGCTTTAGGTTTCGTATTTCTGGCATGCCTTGCTCTTGTATCTGTCGCGCGCAGTGCAGCGAGATTTGCTGATAAGCTAGTTTTAGGATATGTTACATGTTAATGGAATTCAGACACGCGCCAAGAAGTCAAACCAAACAATGTTACTAAGTTTATTGTGGTAACGGCTATGTACAGTTACCCCTATCGGATAATGGGTTGTGTTTCATTTGGTTATAACAATAACTAATTTTTAAATGTGAAGTTTACAAGATATACGACTTGGACGAGAGGTCGGTCACATGACGTTCTTCACGTGACTGTATTCTTGAAAAGGCGTAAACACTGACTACTTCCACATTCCTTGGGAAAACCCTTGGAATTCCCTGGTACGAATTCATACAGAAGCGTGGTTGCAAGCCCATTTAAGGATACCCTCGCTGCAACCCATCCCAGAGAGAAAAAACACGAAAAAAAATCCAAACTGTCGCAGTGACAATTTACAGAAATCTATGAATTTACCTTAGTATCTATTTGACACATCTTCACAATCACCTTTCAATGATCGGCCAATTGATCAGTGATGCCAAAGGCTTGAAATAGCCACAGGTTAATTAACAACTTCGAAAATATCTCCCGTCACGTTTATCGTGTCGGCCATTTTGACGTATTGTACTTGATGTAAATGTATTACGACGCTCTGTCATTGTAATTGACTTACTGAGGTAATTCTGTAAAAGATCTTCTCATCTAATGAGGATATTGTTTGGAATATATTTCTTGTAAACATACTAAAACATATGTTCCTCGCTTTGGGGGAACTATTTTATTCCGGGGTGGCCCGTTAAATCTAGTAGTAGGTCAAGGCACCATGCGTGATCTGTTATTTTATGTGTTTAAATTACGATTTGGGGCGTTAATAAAATACACTGACGCAAGTATATTCTATTTAAATCAATTGGATAATTGAATATGCTTTCTTTTACATATTACATAACATCACTGCACAAAATATGAACAGTTGCAGTAACACACTACGGTAATCGCATTAAACATCATTTTCAACTGTACAGTATTTCAGTTATATCATGGTGTATCAGACTGATGTGGGATAAAAATCCGAAGTGGTTCAAGTCCTCCAATGGTGAGCGTATCCTGCCACACAAGTGGCACCCGTCACAAAACATGCATGGACAAGTCAATTGTTCACCTGAACAAAGCACGGAAACACACAATGATGCCCGTCCTCAGTTTTACCGAGCATGTAAATTATTTTGTCCGTCAAAAACATGGACGAGTATAAACAATATGTTCATTCACGTAATACATGTCATACATTTGACAAAATGTATTGACTCGGAGCACTTTTGTTAATCACAGCGTATGCAGTTGAACTCATCACCCATCCCATTATTGATAACCCTTCTTGAAGATCTATGAAATCAGAAGCTGCAACACTCTATCTTTTAACTGGCATGTCAGACTTCTATTTCATTACTCAGTTTTATTTGCACGGATTACTATGGAAGGGACATTGTCCCGTTGTCGCATTGTCGCATTGACGCCTTTACAAAAACAAGCAAAACGTGTCAAAATTAACAAAAGCGCGACAATTGGCCATTTGTTGCATTGTCGCGTGTTCGCATTGTCGCTCTTTGATAATCCTTTTCTTTATTTTACAAAAGGGCGACGATGCCATAACGCGACATTTTCAAGGTCAAAATATGTCTCGTTGTCGCATTGTCGCCCCAACACAAATGTGTATAAAAGGCGTAAAGTTCAGTTATTGTTACAGTTAGGAAGTTCAATCTGATAAATGTACGTCTTGAAATGAAAACACAAGTCCGTCCGCGAGTCCATAACGTTTTATTGTGAGCTCTTCTCTAAAAGTGCTTAGTGTTCAACTCCCAGTTCCAAACACGTAGTACCTCCTCAATAATCCACATACCTCCAGTGCAGTGGTCTTCCGGAAGATCTTACTCTCGACCGTATTATACAACTGACGAGTGCACGCCTGACCTGTGACCTCGTTGCAACCCTCGTGATGTGTTTGCCGAAGGGAGAGGTGTAGGAAATGTGTGCTCCAGCCCAGCGCAGAGCTCGCGACACACTGTATACTGATTTATACTGTATACAGTATATTGCAGTTGATATACTGTATACTGCATGTGATACTTATTTGCGGACATGTTACGACTTTCAAGATTCAAGATTCAATTTGCATATATTTCATATACAACAGACCGCCGTCATATATCACTGGAATACTGCTGAGAGCGGCGTTAAAACAAATTGTTTTCATAATGGAGCGCTGCATTTAAAATAGAACCGTATACATATGTACATGTAGTACCAACTCACTCTATTTGTTTCGAATATTCAGCAGAAAATATATTATTAACCAGGTCTTTGGGAAAAGATATCAGATTTTTATAAGCAGCCACATAGGGATGATAAAGGACCCCTCGCTGATTAGGTTCTTGTTTACTTAAGAGCAGAGTTGGCCATGTTAGATGATATAACCAAAATCCAGGCGCTCCGGAGGGGGGCAAGCTGGTCTTGTTAGTGTATGGTATGAGCTGTGACGTTGACCCAAGAGAATAATGTAAAACATGAGACCAACTCAAGTCTATAATGATTGGGAAAGTCTAGATTTCCACAGCTCTAGCCTGAAATTAAGAATTGTTCTATGCTCCATTTTAATTGTATTATTTTCATTTTGTAGACATGGATGGACCAATCAGGAAAGAAATTGATGGAATATTAATATTACATATTACCACTGATCCAGTTAAATTCATCACACAATAATAAATTAGTATTTGACATTACGGCATTTGGTTATTAGGGCATGATCATGTACATGTTCACTGTAGTAATGTACACACCAGTCAACTTGATTATAATTTTTATCAAAGTGTAGCGCGGCATCAACGATTACTTTATGATATCCTCACTTGTCATCGATGTATTGACATCGAACAATGGACGGGAATTCGAAATTCTTATGGATAGCTTCAATAGGGACAGCGCCGGTGTCAGTACAAATTTCCTAGTTAAAATAAGTATCTACAAAATATAACCTGAAGCAGACAAGAACAATATTGTTTTATTAATGCTTAATTTCATGGATAGAATTAAGGCAATCTAGGCTTGCCAAATCGTTCTAGACTTGAGCTGGATTCCTTTTAAATTTATTCTGTATGGTCTGGGAGACGAACGGGCGTCAGTATCGCATGGAGAACTGGGACAGCCTTAATCAGTGTAATCGGATATGTTGTGGAGTTTCGGTTTTGGGCTGTTTGCTGAATATATAGAGTTGCGAGTTATGTATACTCTGTATTCTTTCGTCATGGTAGCATATATATTTTCTATGTTGCTTTTTGAATTATCCACAAATAATGAGAACTACAATGTAAACCTCTCTCTGGAGATATGCAATAATACTACTGAAGGGCATATCTAAAAAATGGGACTTCTCGACAAATATTTCTTTCTTAAATACTACCCGTTACAGGTATTCTGATCATTATATCATACTTTGTACAGTTTAAAAGTCAAATAATGGCAAATTGTGTATCTTTCTACATTTTGAATTAATTATATTTTCTGAAATAAAACCTTAGCATCAGATAGTGATATACACGAATATGATCTATACTATTATAAATGAATTATCAATTTTGTATTATGAATTAGATAAACAGAAATATGATAGTAAAACAAATTATTTTAATCTATTCTTGTGAGTAGGTAACGAGAGATCTAGGCAACGCACTAACGTAGCCATTTATGAAAAATGAAATATTAAAAGTTTAGGGGTTTGAACATGCACATTGAATGACAGGGAAGAAAGCAACGCAATAATTAAATTATGAATCAAATTATGTTATAAATATAACAGAATATTTAGAAAATATAAGTTTAATTTCTCATTGTTGGAAGGTGTTTAATAATTATATAGATTTTGTTTGATTGTTTGTTGTTTAACGCCGCACTCAGCAATATACCATATTTGGGATACGATGACATGCATCAACCAAGTCAGCGAGCCAAGTCGCCTTCGTAGAGGCATGGGTTGTTGAATGCCTATTCTAACCCGGATCTTCACGGGTATTTTTTTAAATAATAAGGTACAATGAAATTCTGTATATGTCCATAATAAGTGTGTATAAGTAGATGGATAATATGTCCATACACGCCAAGTAAATGGTATATGCATTAATTTAAATGCAAATGATTCAATGATGAGTTCTTTCACAAGTCCATATTTCAAGGCATGTATTTGATATTCATAATAACTCCACAAAAGCTACACAATGGCAACAAAACGGTACCAGCATCACAGATACCAATAATACATGAGATACATATAATTACTTTAAAGTTAAAACATGTATCTAAATAGAAAATTAGAAGGATACACTTCCGACATTTTTCGTACTTTGTTTTCGTTTGGAGAGAGAAGTTGTGATTGGTATCTGATGG